TCTGTATCCCACCACCCTACCGCCTCATACTGGCCCATGTCCTAAACAGTCCTGCGCTTGGGCTTGCCGGATATTTGACTGCCTAACGAGTTCTGATTTTGACATCGGCTGGTGTGAGGTTTGTTTGGGTCCGTTCCTCCCCAAGCAGCCTTATCAGCATCCGAGAAGGATCTAGGCCGGGTAACCGGTGCAGATTTAGGTGGCGGAGAGTGAAATCCCTCCCTACCCTGTCCTGGGGTACGGGCCTGCTTTGGTTAAGCAGGGGTCGCCCGAGATTATAAAAAAGGATTCTCTGTTGGGTTCTCTGGACTTTGCTCGGCGTCCCAACAGCGATGAGCGTGGACCTCTCCGTGGTGCTGCTGACTAGTAACCCTATCTCGGGTGAAGCGAACGCATGCTCAAGCCTTACCATTTGTTAAGGGTCCCTTCCTGTATTGCAGAATGGAAGGATCATCTTGGGATTTTAAGACTAGTCTTCGTCACCTTTTCCCAGAGCCCAGCAACAATAGGTATGGGCTTTCGTGGGAATGGAACTCTCTGGTCACTGAGCAGCATCAGTGGGATCATAGCAAATACGGCAGTTCTTGGGGGATAATTCCTGTACAGTTTGGGGTTTCTGAGCAGACGAATTATTGCTGCATGTCCCTACTGTTGGGCAGACGTACTCCCCCGGGGCAGAGCTTGCTTGGGGCTCGATCATTGCCCTAGAGATCAGGGCATTCCTCACAAACCTACCTGCTTTGTTAAAGGCAGGGATCCCCTCAGGTTGTAATTCCTCACGAGGTTATCCCGGGGATCCAACAGCAACGAGCATGGACCTCTCCGCGGTGCTGTTGACTAGTATCCCAGGCCTAGGCCTGGGTGAAGCCAACGCATGCTCAACTCCTCCTTCGGCGCCCCGACGACGGGAAATGGAGATCTGTGGGAATCAAACCCTTCGGTTACTGAGTGGTGTCAGTGGGGCTTCAACAAATACGGTACTTCTCGGGGGATAATTCCTGTACATTTTAGGGGTGTTGGGCAGACGCAACCTTTCCTGCATATCCCTGACTGTTGGGCAGATGATACTTCTCCGGGACAGAGCCCTGCTTGAGACTTGATGACCACTCCAGAGATCAGGGAATTCGCAGACCACACGATCATTTATATCCCACCAAAAGCGGGGGGCCCTCGAGACTGCAAAGCCATTTCCTTTGGGTTTTGGGCTTGCTCGGGGGTCCAGCAGCGATGGGCATGGACCTCTCCGTGGTGCTGCTGACTAGTAACCCGAGCCCGGGTAAAGCTAACACATGCCCAGCCCCTACGACTTCCCGGCGGTCCATCAGTGATGGGCATGGGCGTGAGCAAAATTCAACCCTTCGGTTACTGAGTATTTTCAACAAGGCCTTAGAAATACTACCGGTACTTCTTGGGAGGCAATACCTGTACAGTCGAGACTGTTGGGCATATGCACTCTCCCGGGGCAGAGCCTTCTACGCTTGAGGTCTGGTGACTGCCCCAGAGATCAGGAGAATCTAAAGCCCACGATTCGTTAAAGATTCGTTAAACCTCACAAAAAGCAGGGGGACCTCGAGACTTGTAAATCCTGTCCACAGGTTAGGTGTCGTGGTACGACGGCGATGAGCATGGACCTCTCCATGGAGCTGTCGACCAGTGACCCACACCTGGGTGAAGCCAACACATGCTCCGAAAAAAAAAAGAAGGAAAGGAAATGCAAGAGACCAAAGCAAATGTATTTTCTGAGGGACAAGCCGCCGGACAGTTGAGCGGCACGGGGAGAAAAGCCAACTTAGTGACTGTGGACTGAAGGACAAATCGCGGAGTACTGGAGGATAGAGGCGCTTGGGAGTGAAGGACATGGCCCCAGTAAATGAGGAGTGAAGGACGACCTTCAGGACACTGAAGAGTGAAGGGCAAACAGAAACAGCCGGGGCACCGAGGATTGAGAGACCAAGGCCTCGTGAACTCAAAACCGTAAGGGGCAGATAAGGAGCAAAAAAAAAAAAAAATTACCAAAGGGAAAAGTACAAAAATACAGAATATAAAAGTGTGAGGGGGCCATGTTTATCACATTCAACATTCAAACTCCCTGTAAGCCTAAGTAGCAGTAGATTTATTAAAGTCTAGCGAGGTTCCCAGCATGCGTTGGGGTTGCCGATGGCCTCTCAGGAGGGAGGTATGGGGACGTGCTCACCTAGATAATTAAGTGCGAAGCACTCAGAAAGTTGTTCTTTAATCTATGTGTTAATTGGCCAGTTGCCGGCCGATATTTGGTGCACAGCGCATTCCTGTGTGGCACCTTGTCCGGGTCATTCGCCAGCCGATTGCGAGTAGAGGGCGCGCGGCAGCACCTCCCCACCTAGGGTCCCAGCAGCGCCGACTCGTCAGTGGACATCACCATGGCCCGGGGATGGGACTCCCCGGGGGGGGTTTCGAGGCCCTCCAGCAGAAGCCTCGGCGTACGCTGGGGGCTCCTCCGGACTCTGATAAACCTACTACACTCGCTCTCAAATCGACAATTTGATGTTGGTGTCGGGTACGACTATAGTTCATCGAGATTTTCAAGGGTGAATCATATTGTTACGTGCAACCGGGTTTGCAGCATCTCACCAGGCCAAAAGACCAAGTTTGTCTGGACCTGCGGTTCGGACATGCCTGGGAACATACATAAGTAGCACAAACACATTAGGAGACACATATTGGCAGCTGCTATTACTATGCTATACTATTTATAAGGTGTTTGATTTATATGTTTTGGCCAAAAACGCATCTGCAAAATTGCTTTTAATTTTCCAATTCGTCCTTAACCCTCAGTACCCATGAGGTTCATAAATCACCTATCTCATCAAGGGCGCCGGCAGCGCCCAGGGCTTGGGGGGCGCCGGCAGGCCCTAAGGCTCGTCTCCCGGGCTGTTCCCGTCGACGGGGGTCAGGTCATTTGCCAGTTGATTGATTTGGCCTCCGACGCATGAGACGTCCGTGTCGGGCACGGATGGGGGACGGGGCCGAAGGAACCCTTGGGATGGACACAGGCACCCCGGTGCCTTTTGGGCCCGGGGTCCCGTGTTTGCACATAGGAGCTCGACAATAGTTCGCTCAACTATCTTCGCGGCCTGGTACTCTTACAAAACGAAGAACTTGAGGGGACTATAATAGTTAAGCAGTCAATTCGCCTCATCAGCAATATCGAATCTGCAGATGATTGGCGAATACCCTTTTCCGACCATTAAATAGTCACAGACCAACTGGTAAACCATGCCTATTTACAATATAGGGTACTACAGGATAAACCGATAAACCCATCACTGTCTGGCCATAGTGATGCTATGTTTTCAATTGTAGAAAGCCATATCCCACTTGTCCGTACCAGCTCTAACTTTGTCGATAAGCGCCCACCGGACAGCCGAAGTCTGTCAAGGGTTGTCCCCACCCCGGTGCTGCGGTGCGCCGGTCGGCACCTCCAAGCCCCCAGCGCTGCCGGGGCCCTTGATGGGGATGGCGGTGCTGAGGGACGGAACTTTCGGGGTACTATTAACTGAGGGACGCATTGGAAGAAGAAAGAAAGTAAAACCAATTATTTGTTAGCTTTTTTGGCTAAAATGTGTACTTAGGGTAAAAACATTTTATATAGTGTAGTGAGGAGACCCCCTCCCCCTACTACATGGGTGCCATCCAGACTATGTGACATAGCCGGCAGTATACAGTGGCCGGATAGCTAGTTCTAGAATACACCTTCTTACGCCTCCCCGCTATTTCCTGACAGCTACGCGTGTGTTCTGTGGTGGTTTTCTGCTGAATCGACCCGCACGTCTCAGCACGTGCTGCCATCGAGCGTTCCCCTCTTCAATAGATAGCATAGAAATAGCAGCAAACATTCAAATCTAACATTGAAAGTCCTCGTGGGCCAGTTATACTCAACACGAACATAAAAATTTTCGATTCAATAGCGAGTAGTAGTAAGTTTATCAAAGATCCAGCGGAGCCCCCAGCGTACGGCCGGATCACCTGCTGGGCGGCCACAAAACCTCCCGGGGAGCCCTGTTCTCGGGCTATATGATGCTTCGAGGCCGCCCAGTCCACTGGAGAGTCGCCATCCCAGGCCCGGGGGCCCGCCGTCTGGACGCCTTTCTCCAAGTCCCGGCGCTGCTGGGACCTTTGATGCAGAGGTTCGGGATTTAACCAGCAAATCAGCCAAGGTCGGGCTGACGCTCATCGCCTCATAGCAACAAAAGCTACCTAGCTGCGTACACGGCCCGCTTCGTCATTTTAGTCGTTTGCAGAAGATCTATCCTAGGGTATAAAAAACATAGACCCATAGGTCAAAAAAGTGGAACCATTCCACACTGCCCATAGGTTAAGTTTTAATCTATGTTTGTGCGAGCTGACATTGCAATCAGCCAGACAGCATGGGGGATGTAGTATGCTAAAGTATGATCTACAAAGGATAACGAAAGGACTTCCTAAAAAAGCAGTTGGTACATAACAATTGGGCAAACTCGCCAGTTGGCGGCAAGAGACTTGGCGCACAGTACATCTGTGTGAAGTACCGGGCTCAAATAATTCGTCAGTTGTTCGCTTCCGCTTCGGCGTTCGGTATGTGACATGCAAGCCGGTCGCTGCCCGGGCGGGCCTGCGGTTTCGGGCTGGCGGATAATGGTGGCGCCGGCTCGAAATCAATATCGGAAGCGAGTTCGAAGTCTCATCTTTTTTCTTGGCAGGTTTCACTTTTCCAATTGTAACACTTAAGGTTCTCTACCTTACTCAATTTCCTGCCACAAATGTGGTCCAGCGTGGCACTGCTCAGGATCTGAATGCAATATGGTATCATTGCACAGTGCATTCCAGTATTCAAAATCAATGCCAGGTCAGGCAAAAACAGATATCTTCACAAGAACAAATTGTACACCAACATGCCCCTTTCGGCATCCAGCAGCAACACCAACCAACAGCAATTTTCAACTACCATTACACCTCCTTATACCTCGCCGTCTCTGTTCCTATTATCCGTCGAGGTCCATCGAGTTCCAGAATTCCCCTCGCCTTGACACCGAATCTTGCTGGTCGATCGCTTCGTCGATCCGACGCTTGGGTTTGCAAGGGGTGGAATGAATATCGGTCCTGATATTCAGCAGCAAAGATGGCAATCGAAATTCCCTGGGAATATATGGTTGAAGTGGACATACCCGTCGACAGGCTTGGTTGTACTTAGTACATAGCCAAGGACCAGCGAACGAACACCAGCAGAACCTGCTTCACGTCGGCTTATCGATTCAATGAACCGATTTGCCTTGGGGGGCATGAGAATGATCAAGGCATACATGATTCAAGCCTCGGGCGTGTTCACCACCCCAGCACACAGCGACGTCGACCACGGTCTCCAAGACCTGACGGACAGTATAAGGCTAGAAGAAAGAGTAACTTCAGTACTTCAAATTAGTATCACATTATCTTACATATGCTTGTTCTCTTGGAAGGTCCAGGTGGCACGTCGATACCGGTACGAATGGCCCGGAATGGCGCCCGCGAGGCTACTGATCTAGTTAGCTCGGGTGCTTTCAACTGATGCACCGTTCGCCTGGCCTCTACGATCGAGGCTTCGATGGCCTCGAACTGATGCACAAGGTGATTCAACTGAGGGAAATGGGAGAGGGCTATTAAGATCGGGTATTACTTACAGTAAGGTAGTAACGTCCTCTCTGAACGCGGGGGTTCCGGGGGCGGTAGCGGGTGTCCAGCATTCTGTGGTACAATGGCCTCTGCCTTTGACTTTTTTGATAAGGTTCTATTTGTGCAACAGCTACTTTAACGGCTACAGCGTCCATCTCGACCAGAGCAGTCTTGAACTAACTCATTGCGCGTAAACCATGTTGGCTCACATCTCAAGCTATCATGATCCTTTTTTAGCTACCCATGGAGCATTGCTTTCGCCCGGCAAAGCACTTGCTGTTCGTGGTAATAAACCTTTCTGACGTTTTCCAGTTCTTGGCTTGCCTCTTCATACTGAACCTCGTTATACTCGATTCCTCCAGTTTTCTGTAGTATTCTTAGCTTTTGTTGCAACATTTCTTCCTATTGCTGCACTTCACATAAAGCATAATCAGCAAGAAGCAGCCTCGATATCTCATCTCGACGGCAAAGAAAACTGCGATAGTAGATCCTGACACCACGTCTTCAATCGGAACTTACAGTCTGCATGCCCGTCCAAGCTTCTCATGGTTTAGCATGAATGGTGGATTTCTTCCTGTTGTCCAATAGGAATTGGTTTCTCACGGGGAACTTGAGCTGGTGAAGTGGCTGATAGAGAATACAGAGCTTGAATCGACCCCTAGGGAGGCTTTGAAGACATTAGAGGACGAAATTAAAACAAATCCGGACATTCAACGTAGAAAAAGCTGATTCGGGGGTCTACCTCCCAAAGCGGACTAGTAGCTGTATGAGTGATGTTTTCTTGACGTCCATGATACCTCAGATTACTTAAACTGATAGCTTAACTAGCTGCTTATCAACCCTGTAATTTGTGGAAGTAGCAGATAGTGAAGTCTTTGAAATTATTATTTATGTACCCCCGGATGCATAACGTAATTAAATACTGACGCAGCCGCCCACTACTGAATATTCAAAAAGTAGATCAAGCCACCAAAACACCATTAATACAAAAAACTAACTATTAGGGCACCGATTAATGGAATGGCCAATATTCCGGCAGCCGCTACACCTAGGAGGTGCCCGTTTGGCTGGTGGGGTTGGCAAAATAGGCTGTTCAACCTCTTCAACCGGTGCGGGCCGAGGCTGTTCAACACGTTCAACTTGCTCCACTGGTGGTGGTATGCCCTCTCCAACCGTAACACCCTGTTCGCACCGAACTAGGCGATTCGTTCGTGCTAGTTTTCGCCGTTCTTTCTCATTTGCAGCACGTAGCTCAGCATATTCCTGCGCTAGTATCGCGGTGTGATGCAATATGAGATAGCAGCCCTTGATCAACTGATCTAGGGCAATCTTGGAAGGGCGATTCGTCCGTGCTCGTCCTTGCCGTTTGTTCGCATTCGCAGCACGTAAATCAGCATTTTCCTGCGCTAGTATCGCGGTGTTATGCAACATGAGATAGCAGCCCTTGATCATCTGATCTAGGGCAATACTGGAAGATGTAGGAGGCCTTCTTGATCGTTCTTTGAGTAAGGCCTTGAGTGAAGAAGCAATTTTTTGTAGTTCAACTACTGTTCGTGATTTTGTGCTGAGCTGGCTTGGTTGGCTGGAAGGTCGGTTGATTAGGGGTGTTGGTGTTCGGAGAGAGATATTGAGCTTTGAGAGCACTCGTTCTGGGTCTAGTGGGACTAGACCAGCTGCCGCGAAACTATTTTGAATAGTCTCTAGTTTAAAAGCTTCACGTGCTTGAGGATATGCTGCTAGAAAATCTAGCTTGTCGATATGGTTGAATCCTAACCGTGCTTGATTTGTAATCAAGCGGCTATAGGACTGTTCGAGAACAGCATGAAATCCAATCTCCAGAGGTTGAAGAAGATAGGATGAATGTGGCGGCACGCAGAGTGGGATGATGGAGTTTTCAGAACAAATGCGGTCAAATTGAGGTGTAAGATGATTTCCATGGCCATCAAGAATCAGAAGGCGATATTTTCCTTTCGTCCGGATTGATGTGGATGGGATGAATAGATTTTGGAGCCATCTGTTGCTGATCTCATCTGAAGTCCAGCCATTTGGAGAGACTTCAATTCGCCAGTCTTTCGGAATCCCATCAAGCCAACTAGTGTTGTGGTTTTTGGCTTTGAAGATAATGTATGGTGGGAGTGCAAAACCAGCCGCACTAATTGACTCAATAACAGTCACCCATTCACGATTTCCCGGCTGTAGAACTGCCCGACGATCATGATATTCAGCTCGAGTAATCACCCTTTGTGCTGATATAAGGCCCATCGCAAATCCAGTCTCATTAAAGTTATAGATATCATCTGGTTGGATGCCATTCTCATTGATGACAGATTGAACCGTCTTAAACCATTCACGTAAGGTCTTCCGGTCCTCATTTTGAGCACATTGATGGTCATAGCGCTCTGAAAAACGTGTTTGAAGCTCTTCTTTGCGTTTCACGAAGTTTGATGCCCAATTGATCCCAACAGTCGGTGAGGGAGTGTTTCCACGGTTGGCAAGTAGAATATTAGCCATTTCTCTCACAGTAGAGGACCTAGGCGCTACACCGCGTGAATCCATTGAGAGTATCCACTGAACAAGCGATTCTTCTTCAAATTCAGTCAACTTATGACTATTAGCGCGTGTATCAATGCGAGAAGGTGTATTGTGGAGACGACGCGCGAGTGTTGAACGGGGTATCTGGTAACGCGCAGCGATAGCACGTGTAGAGTCGGTAGAACCATTCCGAATATCTCTGATGGCCAGGAGAATTCGGCCTTCCTGTTCGACTAAATTTCGGCTTGATCGAGCGTGTTTTGGTGGCATGCTGGGTGGTTGAAAGGGGAGGGTTCGCGTCAAAGCGCGTATTTCGGCCAGAAAGCAGATCAGGTCGACAATAACAAGTGGCTCGGGCCACATTCGACCGGAAGATCTATTTTCCGGGTACGGTGCTCGATTTGTAATCTATTATGATTGGTCACATATAACAAACAACCCTCTTTTCGGCTGAATGGCCCACTCGTCCGTTGATTACGTTATCCATCATACTATTCGTGCCGTAGGCGCACATCGCCAGCCAACATGCTGGATGCCGTAAGACCAAAGTTCAGTTCGTTGGGGCGGCTTTCGCAGTAGTGCTATGACTTATCCTCACTCTCCTGTACTACTATCTAGGGTACCGGACTGCAACATGCAGAAAGCTCAAATGAGTATGTGTTGACTTTGTTGTAATTCAGAGGAAGATTGCTTGTATTCCTTCTGGACAGAAAACTTGAGGGCTTATATACACATGCGACCTCCAGATTGATTTCCAATCAAAGCTGGTAATTCCGTGAGGTTAGGAATTGATTCCGTTACGATACGACATATCACAACAGACTTCGCTCGAGCTTGGGCTGTTGGCCAACAACACCGCACAGAGGGCCTGCTAATCGCTGCCGGGTCCCCCTCCCCCAAGGCAACGGAGAGGAATGATAGCCTCCGGAAACTCCTACCAATCACTGGGACAGGTCGGTGGGAGTGGAAGAATAGAGGTGCACTGGCCGACGACAAGACCAGAACTGAGCGATCCTCCTGCACCAATTCCTGGCCAAAATCTTTCTCAAAACAAATCAGGAAACCTGTGCCTGTGTGAGAAATTAGAAGGAGAGAGGAAATCAGGAAGAGGTGGAGCATGTGTTAGCTTCACCCGAGTTCGGGCTACTAGTCAACAGCACCACGGCAGGTTCATGCTCGTTGTGGTTCGGTCCCCAAGACATCCGGCAGAGAGGAATTTTGATCAAGAAAACCCCTGCCTATTAGCTCCCCGGGCAGGTCAGTTCAACGCTAGTTGGTCATCTGAGATAACCTGTGAGAAGGGATTGTGGTCTCAGGAATCCTGCCTAGTCTCGCCGGGTCAGGGTTGGCAACCAATGTGGTCGATCCCTAAGATAACCTGCGAAGAGGAATTATCGTCAAAGGGACCCCTGCCTAACCTCGCCGGGACAGGTCGACCATTCAAAGAGAACTCCTCAATCGATGAACCGCGATCGGTCGGTACAGGTTGCGTGGGCCTGTTCGGCCATGGAGCTCCGCCGCCTTGGGCAGATGTTGATGAGCTCATTCATCTAGAAGGAGATCGTTTGTTAATGATCTGAGCCAGCAGAGTGGATAGGAAGGGAGGAATTTTCGTAGCATTGCTATAGTTGAGGGACGAACTTGTTTTCTGGCAACCCTTGGAGGGTTTTGGGAGGTTTCTGTCCTTGTGTGACTTGTCTCTGATGCGCAACGTTTCCCCTTTTGCGGTGTAGCTCGTTTTCGGTGACACCCCTGTGAGGCGACTCTGGAGACTCCCGGGAGAGAGCTCTGTGCGGGCCAGGTTAAGCAGCCATATCGCTCGATCAGACAGCCTGGTGGCTCATCTGGACTCGGTAGCGTCAAGGCCTCCTCGAAGGGTGACAATCGACCGGGGTCGTCACTGAGCGGCAGAGCAGCAAAGCTCAAAACCTCTTGTCATCTGCGGCCTGTTGATTTTGCCATGATAATCCACGCTTTCGCGTGATGTTCGAGCTGTGAGAAGAGAAGCAGAGAAGGGGGTGATGCAGGAACGCGAAGTAGATCGGCGCTAGCAGTGGAACTAAGCCTAGTTGGGAACGTCTTCCGTGCTGAGTCAGTCAGTCCCGTCTCGGCCCAGGAACCGAAGATCGCCCTGAGGTACCCGGCCATCTTACCTGATCATAACAATTCGTGGCTGTGATTGTTATCGCCTGCTGGCACTTTTCAAGAACTCTGCATTCTGGTCCGGCTGCATTTGTCTGCCACAATGGATGTACCTATCCAACTGAATTCGCTCGCCCCCGATGCCAGCTGCACGGATCGCTTGGTTTTCTGCCATTTCATGGTACGAATACATATGACCCAGTCATAAAGACTACTGCGGTTTTATAGGGTCTCCCAACTTACACTATTCAGATTGGCATTGTCAGTAATCGACAGAATCCAACCGACTATGATGGTGACATGCAACAAGCACGGGAGTACGGCATTGATGCATTCGCCCTGAACATCGGCACAGACTCCTATACCGACAGCCAGCTGTCTTTCGCTTACGATTCTGCCGCTAGAAATGATATGAAAGTGTTTATCTCGTTTGACTTCAACTGGTGGCGTCCAGACCAGGGTAGCGATGTCGGAGTCAAAGTTCGCCAATTCGCTGATCATCCCGCTCAACTCATGGTTGACGGCAAAGTGTTTGTATCCTCCTTCTGTGGCGATGGTGTCGATCCCGATGCAATTCGAAATTCTGCCGGTAGAGAGATCTTCTTCGCACCAAATTTCCATCCTGGCCAGGGCGATTTCGGTAATATTGATGGTGCCTTGAACTGGATGGCGTGGGATAGTAATGGACAGAACAAGGCTCCGACTGAAGGAAACGCGGTATCTGTGGCGGATGGTGATGATGCGTATGTACAACGGCTCGGTGACAAGGCATACATTGCGCGTAAGTACCCGAGCCCCTCCGGAGCCTTTCTTCACTATTGTTTGCTGATTTCAATAGCCGTCTCTCCATGGTTCTTTACGCACTTTGGGGACGAAGTCTCCTACAGCAAGAACTGGGTGTTTCCCTCTGACCTGCTATGGTACCGACGATGGAAACATATTCTGGACCTGATGCCTCGCTTCGTGGAAATTATCTCATGGAACGACTACGGCGAGTCGCACTACATCAGTCCCTTATCGTCACCACACACAGATGACGGCTCATCGAAATGGGTGATGGATATGTGAGATTTTACTCCCGCAATTCCAAGGGCTCTCGTTAACAAGTTGAAGGCCTCACAAAGGCTGGCTCGAGATGGCCAAACCTTTCATCGCGGCCTACAAATCAGGCTCCCCGTCGCCAACCAGCTTCATTCACGAAGAAATGATAGTGTACTGGTACCGCCCAGCCCCCAAATGTGTCAACTGCGACGCAACCGACAACACCATGCAGGAAACCACTCCCACTGGCGGGTATTACTGTCGCGGGAAGCCAGACGGGTGGGATACAATGGAGGATGAAGTATTTGTCGTGACGTTGCTGAAGGAGCCCGCCCTTGTGAAGGTATTGTCGGGGCCGAATACTCGAACCTTGCAAGCGCCGGCCGGTGCGCACGAGTGGTCTGTTCCGATGGGTGTGGGTACCCAGTCATTCGAGGTTCGTCGGGGAGAGACTCTTGTCGAGGCTCTCTCCGGGGTCAGCGCGCGAGACATTGTTGACAGATGTCCACTTGGTATCTACAATTTCAATGCATATGTCGGTACGCTACCTGTGCATTCTGAACATGATCAGTTGGGACGGGAAGGAATGGCTCTGTTGTTGCAGGGTCTGCGATCGCCTCTTCCGCCTTGTGAGGAGGTTTCAGAACACCATGTACCTCCTCGTACTCACTCCCGGATATCTTCGCCTCCACCAGAATCTCCCAGCTGCTGTACCATCATCTGATCATGAATCAAAGGCGTCCGTTTACGCGCACCGTTTCGATATAACATGTCAATACTTTCTGGCCGTTCCACTCACTGCGTTTATACATTATAAAGCCTGCTCGACTTCCTTTACTTCACGAATCAAATACGCCTCTAGACCAGCCGGTCTGTCTTGCTTTTCCAACGCGCTTCTGTACCTTCGAGGATGTTTGTCTTTCTCGGTAGAGACCTTGCAGAAACTCCGACTTACGAAATTTAGGATTCTGAAAACGCAGTGCCATTGTCGAATCTTTTATCCGGTGATGAATGATTACCGGCAAGGTCTTCTTGCTGAAGGATTTCTTGCTCTTTATCAGTCCATGTCGTCAAGTTGGTCTGGCCAATGCGCCCTCCATCCGAGCTTCATCACCATCCTCGACGACCAGGAAGGCCACAGGGTTCAAGTACGTATGAAGAAATTGGCTGGGAAATCATGAGATTGTGGCGTTTGATCCTGGTGCTTTCTGGCTATAAACTGTCTGGAGTCGGGTCGAGGCCGGAAATTCCATCATGGGTCAAAGCATGGCCCGAAACTAATTGCGATGAAGGCAATGCAAGGATCTACATCGCGCGATCGCTGTGAGCCATTGCGTACTGAACAAGCTTTATGTCTTTTTGAGATTCACCGAGTGTACAGTGCTGACGTGTTGTCGACCATGACGTCGGGCACATGATTCATAGGAAACCCCTGGATGGCTGGCATGTCATGATCTACCTTTAGCGACATTCTTCACATGCATTTTTCGGAAGTTTCGTTCCGCTCACGCCCCTTGATTCACACGAAAACTGGACTCGAACGCCTCAAGCTATAAAAGGGAATTCCAAAACTCTGTCAAAGCCAGGACTCTAAAGAAGCTACATAGACGATCGGGCACGAAGATCTCTAAACACGCACTAGGTCGCTTGGCAAACCGGTCTGCACGACAAGCCGAGCCGGGTACCGACCTCCTCAGAAAGGAACGTGGATCAATCCACTTTCCCATTCGAGACGAGGACAATTCCTATGGAAAAAGATCTGCATATCAACCCATTTCATGACAGCTTGAGTGATAAATATATGGCTTATTAAGGAGAGAATCTTCCAAGGAGTGCCATAGGAGCCACACACTGACATATGAGCATCCTGAAACCTCCCGTCTCCTGCAAAAATGTTCCGGAAGGATACAGTTCAGGCTACGCTCAGGTACGATACCCACCATGTTCTTGATTCGAAGTCTAATCAATTCCGCCTGGCAGCATCGATCGGGGATGTGTCTTCGTTCCCATCAATCCCGTCTCGAGCGAAGATTCCTGCGTCACTGGAAGGTTACATCTCCATCTTTCCCAAGCTATCTTGGGCAAAAGTATTTCCGTCAAATTGGTTGGACGATTGAAAATGTGAGTCACCTTTAACAAACCATTACTCCCTCTATTTTTCTAACGCCGATTCCTACTAGCCTGCGCGATGATACGTTTACAAAGTCATATTCAGAGGGGATCACATACGAGCGAAACCAGGTACTGGCCACGTCAAAAATGCGAAGCTCGTTTGAGTTGCCAGCTGGTACTTACGACTTCCCATTCGAACTACCGTTAGAGCGCAAGATGATGGATACCCTCATGGGACCTGGGCATGAATATCATTCATATCAAGTACATGCAGCCCTGCATCGACGATTTGCGGCGGATGTGAGGCTGTCGCAACCAATCATAATATATCGATCACCTTTGCATCAGATTGATATCGAAGAGCCATTCCTAATGGTGAGTTTTCACGCCGGAGGAAATTGTGAACTCGACGCTGACAAAATTTCGCTTTCCAGTCAGAAGAAGGGCAAATAGACGAAAAGCTGAATTACCGCGTGACAATACCCAGCCAAAACATCCCATTTGGTTCAAGCTTTCCAGTCGACCTCCATTTCGCCCCATTTCGCAAAGATTTAAAGCCGGGGGCGATCACATTACAGGTCATGGAGAAACACCAACTTCAAATTCCACTAACTGCTTCGGAAACGGTCACATACAACTCTTTGAGCTTCCGCGCACACAAAAGTCATTTGATATTCAGTCAGACATATGATGAGAAGGATTGGAATGGGAGCGAGTCGGAGCTTTTAGACCTTGAGTGGTCAACATCGAAACTTGTTCATCTCCCCCAAGATCTGCAGTCCTGTACACAAACTGTGCAGTCGAGGACGATTACAGTCAATCATACATTATGCTTTCAAGTCGATTTCAAAGACGAAGATGGAGATGTGACTACGGCAAGCTACCCTCAATTTCTTTCCATCGTGTTACACTAACAACTGTCTTTCACTAGGTCTCTGGGAATATTCCATTCAATGTGTACATGTGTCCGCGTGCTGTCATGGAAAACGGCACCGTATATTGGCAAAATCTTCAAGAGCTCAAACAGGATGAAAACCAGGTCCCGCCACTATACGGTGCGCACTCGGCAGATCCTAGCATGTTATTGCAGATACCTCCAGTCTACTCTTTAGTTGCCAATAATTATGCATGAACCCGTTGGAATCTAGCTACGAGCCCAAAGGGGCCCTACACGGAACAACTTTCATCGGGCTTCACCTGACTAACGTAACTATCGGTTAAGCTGCGCACACGGTTAGGCTGTGCAGCCCGCCCAGAAACGCGTTCCGACGCGTACCCACCATCTTCAACCGCCCACCATGTCACCAACACGCATCAAGCCAAGATTCGGCTAATCACGAGGCCTAATCATGCCAACTATTCAGAATTTTCAAAACGGTCAATTTCCTAGTCTCCGCGCTGCAGCTAAGACATACAGCATACATGAGGCTACAGCACGCGCGCGAATGAGAGGAACGCGTTATACTAGTGATACTCGCCTTGGTCGCCAGATATTGACTGAATTTAAAAAAGGAATATTGGCTTGTATAGTGGATACTCTCTATATATTTACGTGGTGTAGTACTTAGGCGATCTACTGTGAGTGTTGGTATCACCAGCTAGGTACTGTGTACACAGTTAAGTGGACAGTTTGTATGCTCCAAAGCAAATAATCAATTGATTCTGTTGATAGATGTGGCCGACTGGGCAGTGGATTACATTACTCTACACGAGCAAACCTCCAGTTGACGGCTTTGCTTGTCACTCAACAGATCACTACAACTTTGATCATTATTATAATACAGACATCTTCAGGAATGGGAATGACATCGTTTAACAATCCAGTTCAAAAAAAGGCCCGTGCGCGTACTGGACTCGAACATCAACAACCAAGAAACCGAACAGCATTAGTGTAATCTCATTGTCTAGTAGAGACAAGTTTTCTCACAGTCCAAAACAGCCATCTGGCTGATTTTCAAGCCATCAAAAAGCAGCCTGGGAGCTAGGCCTCCTCCACGGAGCCTCCTCACCAATGCTCAGGTATTCGTACCAGTGCAACATGTCTTTCAAATTCGGCACAACCGGGTTGATTTCAAGATACTTCAAGAAGCTTCCGTCGCCATCAACTCCAGCCAGCCCTTCTGCATACTCGTCCCATTTATCTGGCTCATGAGTATTTTCGCGCGGCTCAAATAATTCTTCGAGTGCAGGTGGGAGGGCGCCCGAGACAGGTCCTTGGCCCGTCTTGATGCTCGTGCGCATCGCCAGTTTGAACGTGTGGAATAGGTTCCGCCCTACCTGCGAGCGACATGCAATGATGGAGAATGCTTCTGTGAGGTTGAGAAAATCTTGATCGAGAATGTTGAATCCGTCCTGTATGATCAGACAGAAAAGTGAAACGTTGATAGCGTACATAGCAAAGTGATGACTATATTCGAGTCCGAACTGCTCTTTGAAAGTCTGGACGAGAGACGCAATTTCCCGCGCTGAGGAGATAGCCGTTTTCATAGAGCTACCCATATAGGGGGTGTGTGTATCTATCGGAACAGATGATATGTCTCCTTGAAGATCGTGGCAGCACAGATTGATGACGAGGGTATGATACCTCATCCTATGATTGTCTTCGTCAGTAATTTAGGATGTCACAAATCTGCAGATAAATTGCAACACACCTGAGGATCAAGATGTATGGCGCTGGCATCTTCTCTGACTGAAATACTGTGGGAAGATTTCTATCCCAGTCACAGAGGCGATCATATAGTGCTCGTTTGGCCCGGTCGTCCTTATTGGTGCGCATAACCTCCCATGATGCATCCCTGGCTATGTATGACAGGCTACATGCCTCGTCAAAGTACAAGCTCATGTAGGACCACCGTGGTTCTGCTTGTAGTGGGTACGGTATCCACAATTCATCATGCTGGGTATCATCGCGAGAAATCCGACTGAGGTTCACTGATTTAATGCGGCTGTTCTTGAGGAAGTTCATATGGACAATCCTGAAAGTGGTCAGATTTTCCAGTTGCTTTCAGAGATAGTAATGAAATAGGACGCACGTATCAATTTGAAACAGGCCCCACGCAGTTCGTTTGAGAGACCGCTTCATGTCGTCGGAAACTTGTGAGGCCTCTAGTTGTATATCGCCGGTATTATTCACTAGACCCATTGACTCCGCCATGCTGATCGCTCTATTGAGCATTGTGTATCCGTAGGCATCCCGGCCTAACAAGGAGTATCTGAATTTCATTAGATCAATAAAATCGGCAGATCACCTGAATTGCTACCTACCTCTCGTATAGTAACAGAATTGCCTGGAGAGAAGACAAGCGGACATCGTTTCTGCTCTGAAATTGGTGCGAGCTCAGGTATGATTCGGCCTCGGCTAGGAAGTGAGCCCCCTTTCTCTTCACGTCACCAGGTAAACTGTACGCCTCTGAATAATCAGAAAAGAACTAAGAACGTTAAGAAATTCTCGTTAGCTTGAAATTGACTCATCAAATGCCACCACTTACGCAAGCGTTAGCGAGGAGAGCGTTGACCAAGAGCGGACTGCAAAAATCCGAGTTCATATTGCCATTTTTCATGTGCTTGACAAATGTCTCACGGCAGAAAAAGGCGTAGAAAGGGTATGCCCAGGTCAGATAGAGTGACACCAAATGTGAGACGAGGTCATCACTGTCGGTGACAGTTGTCCAAGGTTTTGCTGGGACTCTGAACGGAACAGTGCTGCACAGGTATTGAATATTCATAACCATAGGCTGAGACCTAGTAACAGCACTGTCAGATTTACTCTCGGAGTCGACATTTCTTGACTGGCTGATGATTCTGTCGTTCAGGCGATAGATTCCTTCGCTTGCTAGCATTCCGTCAAGGGCTACACGAACTTCTCGCAGAGAGTCAGGATCTTGAATCATGTCTAGCAGATGTCGTTCTTGGTTATGATCCCCAAGTTGAACGGCCTCGAAAAGCTGGCGAAGCAGGTCGCGATAGTTGAGTGACCCGGCTTGAGCGTTTATAGGCTCTTTATACTGCTTCATCACTTCCCTTTCTTCCCAATCGAGACTCTTACGGTCCTGAGATAATCCCGCAATGTCTTATTTCCTTGTATCTGCTCTTGGAATATGCTCAGAACGTGTTCCTAACAAAGTGAGCTGGTTGAACTTACCCTGCACTCGTTCGGATGGGCTAAAGATCCGAGTAATAGCACTTGCCACTGATCGCTAGCCCGCTGATCACTAGCCCCGGTGCAACGGTCGACCGCCTGGAAGAGATGTCAAAAATCCAACTGGCAGTTGACCATTGTCCGTCGTGCACATTATACTTGTTGGGGACAGTCATGGAGAGTGTGTCACGTGATCTTTGAATGACTAGATGATGATATCAGACCTTCCCGAATCGGCTGGCAACCCAGCCGCGGCTTGTTCTCAGCTCCGCATTTTCTGGAATATTAACGGTCCGGCCTGAAACTGATGTCACTGATGTGGGGATCCGGGGCGACCTTCGCGATCCGACGACATGCGCTAATATCGCCAACACTCATCCTTCTTATCAGGCCGGTATCGAGGTGAAAACGAAAAACAGGACCTCGATCCACATGGCCGAATTACCATTTAGAAACAGCGTTAGAGCTGAGGAAGTCGACTTTCCTGTAGTCTCCAACGCTCCTCTCCAAGAGGCAGCTCAGATGCAAATGCCGTCTCAGAGGGCACTGCCGTCCATCAGATTGCAGACTTCCGCTGGCCCCCGTCCCTCACCTCTCGGAAAGGTCGCGATTCCTAGAGGCCGCTCTGTGGCCATACAGGGGCGAAAGCGCGTTTCTAGGGCGTGCGAATCATGCCGAATACGCAAGACCAAGTGCAGCGGCGAGACTCCGGTTTGTAGAATGTGTCGCGAATTGCGAACGACATGTCAATATCCGTCGAGTAAGCGGGAGCGGATGATAAGGTATTTGAGAAATCAACCCATTCGGAACATCGGTATGCTGAGAAATATGCTCTTCAGACAGCAAACGGATCTTTCGACAAAACTGCAAGCTTGCCAGAATCTACTGAAGGAAGCGAAACAATTTGTGCCAGGGCCCACGGCGCAGAAAATAGCGGAATATCTTGTGAGTGACCCATTCTAATGATCCGGAATTTTGAATTCTCGCCTAGCATCAATAGTGAGCTGTCGCTAACAAATAGTTTTGTAGCAAGATGACGACTCGGGCTACATGTCCAACGACGTGGGCTACATGTCCAATGACGTGTCCAGCGGGTCGTCGCACAGAGTTAAACGCTCCAAAGACGAAGCAGCAGATGGAGAATCCAGTTCAACCTCTTCAGTTGGATCGTTGGAATCCTTGGACCAGATCGAGTATGATGTCAACCAAAACGATCAATCTCGAGCCACAGGCAATATCGGAAAGAGCTCAGAAATCACATGGATTCAAAGACTTGAAAAGGCCGCAGAGCAACACCAGAGCGGTCCGTCCGGCCAATTTGGCTTCGATAGTACTTACAAAGATAGCAGGGCAAGGGAGGAGCCGCATCCGCACGAATTGAACTATCACCTCGACGATCTTGACATTGGTGTTTCGGAACCGGTGCAGACATACTGGTTGCCTCCTCGTCCGCTTGCAGATACCCTTTTCGATATTTATTTGCGGGTGGTGCATCCATATTTTCCCATCATTAATCGGCCCTTGTTCTGTGAACAATATCGGAGCTTCTTCGACAGTTACGCGATTCCCGGCGACAAATGGTTAGCAATTCTCAACATGATATTTGCCATTGCATCCACCTACGTGCAGATGACCGAATTGGATCAACACGGAAATCCACAGGATCATTTGCTGTATTTGACTCGTGCTCGAATATTAAGCTTGAACGGAGAAGATTTATTTCGTCATCCAGATCTTCAGCAAGTCCAGGTCGAAGGCTTAATCTCGTTCTACCTTCTTTCCACGGAACAAATTCACAGGTATCATCTATCGACCCCCCTTCTCAAATTGAACTCAGTCTAATAGGCCGTGCAGAGCATGGATAATATCATCCTTGGCGATTCGTTCTGCGGTGTCTCTCGGTATCAACATGAAAAGTAGCAGCCGGGCAGTCACCGATCTTTCCAAGGAGACCCGCAACAGAGTCTGGTGGTCTCTCTTTAACCTTGAAAACAGACTGGGTCTCATGACTGGTCGCCCTACATGTGTTTCAGTAAACATGTGTAGCTCACCCTTTCCGCTACCGCTCAGTGATGAGCAACTACAAGCACCGCTGGGCATCCAACTTCTCACCGATACAGCTTTCCGAGACAAGCGTATCAATAACGTCATGGTTAGCTTGCATCTTCGGCAGCCGTCTTTTGGCAGATCCCATGGCAAAGAGGACATGGACGAGTCCCGTGAATGGCTTCGTGGCCTTCCAGTTACACCCGAGCTTGGGTTTCTCTACACCTGCGACCTAGCCATCTTGGTGCAAGAGCTTTTGGACCATATCTACACAGTGAATTCGGTGCATCAGACTTGGACTGATCTCAAAGCCCGTATCGGCGAGTTACAAAAAGAGTTGATGAATGGTTCATCTCGCTTCCACCCAGTCTGGATTTCACCAATATCACGAATGATGACGAAGCTAGAGACGAAAAGACACGGATGGCATGCCAATACTACAGCGCGCGAATCATGCTGGGCCGTCCTTGTCTCTGTAAGCCGAATGAATCTCTAGACGGTTCCGACGAAGACCAAAAATTCACCCAACTCATGGCTGTCTCTACCATCAGGGCTGCTGCTCATATGGCTCAATTGATATCAGGTGTATTAAGCAATGAACAGTCATTCGGGATCAGTCCATGGTGGTGTTGTCTTCATTATGTCATGCAGACAGCGGCAGTTTTGATTCTTGAGCTTTCTCTCAACTCCATTCACATGGTAGAGGAAAAGAACAATATCCTTCGCCTGGCTAAGGGATGTGTCCGGTGGCTATATCGGACATCTCAGAATAGCGTTGCGTCTCACCGAGCTTGGCGGCTTTGCGATAGCTCCTTGCGTCGGCTTGCGTCGCCAATGGGGCTTGACGTTAGCGATTTGCCCTCTTTCCCGAGTCGACAGGGTCAGAACTTGGAAGTGGACACATTTGGCACTTCTGCTTTCGGATCCCATCCTGAGCTACCTGACTACGTCCCGCCTCCGGATTATGCCAATCAACCTCAACCTATGTCTCCACCGGACGCCCGCATTGGGGCAGGAATGGACAACCCCCCTTTTCAATCGGACCCCCTTACCCAGAAATTGTTGGATTCTTTCTTGACCGGATTTGAAAGTGATGACTCGCAAACACAATAAAAGAGTCTTTCCTTACACATGCGTGAGATTAAGTAACTCTAGTCGGCAAGTATGCTAGTGAAGATGGAATCAACTCCTCCGCTATCAAAGCCGGCTTTCAAAACACGCATTCCAGCTCCACTCCAGCTTTAGTGAGACAAACTCAAAGGTCATAGAGCACCCACGCCCTCGGCTATCCGATCGCAGTGCCAATAAATATCACGACAGAGTAACGAAGCAGATAGGTGTGGTTATTACTAATGACACTATCAAGAAAGCAAAATGCGTACGGAAGATTTTAGCCGCCAAAGCTCATCTTCCAATGCCAGTAGAGTTGATGCCTGAATAATAAAGATTTTATCCTCAATGTGACCACAATGCATACAAACAGTCATTTGGAAAGTCACCAACCTGGTAATATAGCCGGTCTCGATCTTGTACAGTCGATGACGTGTCAACGAAAGGTTTTCGAAATGAATTTTTTAGTTATTCGTAGCTACTTTTTGTCTGTCAGTGTTGGATCAGCCATAAATCGAAAGCAGCGAGTCAACGTGGGCGAACAAGGAAAGAGAGCTCTGGCCGTTACAAACTTACCCTCCGTAAAGGCGGCGCTCGGTAATCAAGTTTTAGTAATTGATACGATATTTGCGATCACTTTTTATTGTCTTTCGGATTGGAATGTATACTGTCGAGGATAGTGGGGTAGCACCCGAAATAGCTTAGTTCCGTTTGTGTCGTGATATCTTCATTTGTACTAGGGGATTCTCGACACTCCGAGATCGGGAGGTTCAACCCCTCACCCTACTCATGTAAGCAAGGACACCCTAACGTGTCCTCGCAGCATCCGCTCTTTTCTTCTTTTCTTCAATTAATTCATCCTATCTTTTTGGATTGGTTCCCCTTGGTAGATTAGCCCCATTCTTGCATACAATGCCATACTGTATCAGCTAGCTGCGACATATACAAATAGCGCAACCAACAAGGTTTTAGTTTCAAATGTTATTGGATGAGGATATATATCTGGGGAAATCGCTTCCTTCTCGCTCATGTGGACTCCACTAGTTAGTCATGTTGAGATGGGCTACGACGAAGCACTGAGTATTGAATGAGGGCCTGCTAGACAAATCGACCTTAATGAATTGGCAGAACTTTGACTTGACTCTGTTGTGTTAAACTGTCTACATGCGATTCTGGGGGTATTTATCCATGGACGGGCGGCAAGCCCCTGACAGTAGTAAATCCTTCATAATCGGTCTCGGTCGGGGTTCTTCCATGAAGATCTCCCGAATGTAGAATATAATGGTGGCAAGAGCGCTTAAGCGCATATCAAGCTCAGTGCCTCCGGTTTCCCTGAACAGGCATGCCGACAGAGGTTGGGAATGAGGCATCAATCCAGTGCCTTATCCTGGAACCTCAACAAGTTAATCTGGAGGCGTTTCTACGCTCCAACGCAATTACTACCCTAAATCGAAAATTCATTCACAGCGAATCAAATGATGGTTTCACAACCTCAGTAAATTTGGATTTCCAGAACTACTGAAACAATACAGAGCAAAAGAAAACGTAGAACATCCACGATGGTGCCCTTTGCCTTGGCTTAGTCAACATCCTAGTAAGTTACCCCGCCAGAGATAACCTCACATTGCACTGCCATCAACCAACTCGAGTGACTTGGACGGATTTATATCATCAGGACCATCCAACGCAAACGGCACAATGGCAGAATTTCCTCCAGCCAGTCTTCAGCCACTTATCCAGGAAGTTTTCGATCTCCTGAAAGCCCGGAATGAAACTATCTCCGTTGCTGAAACAGTACGTCCACGGGTCTTTAAACCAGGGGCTATCTGCAATAACTCCGCCCAGCCAAGCCAAGACAACAATTCTAACATCTTTCTACCAGGCTGCAGGCGGTCTCATTTCCGCTTGTCTCCTCTCGGCACCAGGAGCATCAGCCATCTACAAAGGCGGGCTCACTGTCTACACCCTAGACTCTCGCATTGCGTTTGCGGGCTGGACACCAGAAAACATGAGAAACTACAGCGGGCCAACGGCTGAGATTGTTGCCAATATGGCCGACCATACCCGACGCACGTTGGGCTCGACTTATGCAGTCAGCGAGAGTGGTACTGCTGGACCAACGGGGGGAACGACAAGGAATCGGACCCCGTAAGTTTAGCTTCCACGTGGGGATGATGTGCAATTCTAATGTTTTTCCTACAGTGGTTATGTAGCGGTGGCTGTATCGAGTGCCAAGGGGCAAGTTACGCGAGAGGTTGAGACGGGCAGTAATGATCGTGCAGAGAATATGGTTGCGTTTGCCCGGGAAACTTTGGTCCTATTGAGAGATGTACTTTCCCAAGTTGAGTCTCCATCTCTGTAATGTCTCGCTAAATTTTATTTCCTAAACGTCACTAAAAGAATTATGACTAGAGAAAAATGATGCATACATCGAATAACCCTACGACGCTACATACAGCCAGGAACCGACCAGAAATTTGTGACTGCAAAGTTGCTAAGCAATGCTCTGCTAAAGGCGTAAGAAAGTCCAGCGAATTGGAAATGAAAGAGCTAAAAGTAAAAGATAAAACAAAAAACATACAACAGCAGGGATTCGCATGTGGTCACCCACCATACTACTAACCTGCCGGCGTGTGGCTTAAGTACGGCTGAGCGGACGGGAAGCCCTGTTCTCCACACCCTATGGCCGTATGTACTGGAATTAGATGGCTGGGAAATTATGTAGGCGAAAGCAAATACGAACCCTGTCCCAGCTAAGAGCCCAGACAGTAGAATCACATTTTTTAATCTAAATCACAAACCTAGAGAGTGAGAGAGGAGAGGAGGGAAAGAAAGAATGGACAATAACAGGCAAAAGCAAAATAAGGAGGCATCCTCCAGCAGATGCCTACTGTAACAAGGCCTTTGTTATGTTCCCCTGTCCAAGGGAATAGTGGATGCTGTCAGGAACTTAACCAACTTACTAGTGACAGTCGAACTACGATCCGACAGTGCCGGGAATCAGATTGCATTAGGAAACGAAGTGATCGAGTCTAGAGGGAAAAGTGAGGAAAAGAAAGTGGAGAGGTCAGGGAACTGTGACTTATCTGGACTATGTGAGTATCCTAACCTTTAAATTCTTGACCCCTCACTACTGCTTAGAAATCAGTCTCTCTTTCTCTCAGTATCTGCTTAGGGGAGAGAGACTTGCCGCAAATCCTGTCTTCAATATCGTACACAAAATCCTCCTCGCTGTTCTATTACTGATCGAAGAAATGCTGCTCTTCAGCGTTGTACGCCTGGAGAATCAGCATCATCTCTTCTTCAGTGTATTCCTGGCTGGATGGGCCATATCCAGACGCGTCAGCCGGTTCGTACTGAGGAGCTGGTCGCGGCAGGTTAGAGTACGTACCATATTCTGCTCCTGCTTCATCAGGAGCGTCTTCTTCGGGTGCACCTTCGCCAGATGCAGCCTCATCAGGTCCAACCTCACCATGTACAACCTCATCGGGTGCGGCTTCACCGGGAGGACGGGGTAAGATTGCACGGGGTGCGAGCCGAGGGAATATCATTCGACGGCGTGCGGCTCGGTGAGGTGCGGTCTGAACGGGTGCGAGTCCTTCGAGTACAGCTTCGCCCGGAGCAGCTCGATGGGGCCCAGCTTGAGGGGGTGCCAGTCCTTCAAGTACAGTTTCGCCAATTGCGAGTGGGCTGGGTGCGAGTTGACTGGGTGCAAAGAACGGCATTGCTGACTGACCTAGACCTAGCTGGTTATTCTGGGAGTCAGGAGACTTACCTTGGTCTGGCACCGCTTCACTGGGCACTGATGACCGCACTGCCATCTGACTTGGTCCTGGCTGGTATTTATAGAACTCGGAGGGCATAGTAAAGACCGGCACCACTTCACTGAGTTCAAGAAGCCGGCTTGTGGGCCGACGTGGTCCCGGCTGGGTTGTGTGGGAATTCCGAGGCTTTTTATGGGAATCTCCCGAGAGAGCAGTTGGCGCAGACTCATAAGTTCTCTGGAGCACAGGGCTCTTCGGGGTACGAGGTCGCTTGGTCTTGGCCTGCTTGGGTGTGTGGTCTTGGTGCGGCGTCGAGGAATGTCCAACAACCTTTCCCATGGCGGCAATCTCGTCAGATTGGTAATCTGACGACCGAGGAAGAATTGCGTCCGAGTGGTCCTCCAGCTCAGATGCAAGGTGCTTTGTTGTAGTCGGTTCTTTCTTGCGAATGAGTAGCTTTACCTTCTGCGTCGCAAACACGCATGAGAGGGGGTGGCCGGGATGTAGCCCGGGAAATCCTTGCGACGCCAGACTCTGAATCGGTTTGAGATGGTGGACTTTAGGAAGATTGCTTGCTTGTCGCGCATCTCGAACATCGAAAACTGGAGGCGGAACTCACCATCGATATTGACTGTCATGTCGCCGAAGACGCAGAAGCTTCCGTCCTTATTATTGTCATCCTTCAGTCGGCGAAGGGAAGAGACGAGGGTTCCAGTGAGCGGCATCGGTGCGACAACCACGGGACGATCGGCGGAAGCATCATGCAAGCTGCAGGCCATAAAGTAGTAGCGACTTTGTAGGTACAGTGCCAAATCGGACCCATCGTCTCGCATCCGGACTTGGACAATCGGGGGAGGGTCGATGAGGTGACTTCCCGTCTTTTTGCCTCCCAGGACGCGCGCCCGATCAGGTTGCTGACGGATGACAAGTTCGAAGTCAGAGCCCTGGACTTGGTGCGGGACAGACGCGTCTTCGAACATGGTTGCACTCGTAGAGTTGAGTGGAGCCATCTCAGGAAGGCCATCGGCAGGGGTGCTCGAGAAGGGAATCGAACGCGGGGAAAGGTTGAGATCCATGGTTGCGTTTTGATTTCCGTTGGAAAGCTTGAAGAGTAAACCGAAGATGGATGAGGAGGGCAGAGCTTTGTTGTGGGATGGCCGCAGTATAGAGGCAGCCGCAGGGAGGCTAAGCCTATTACGGAATCCCACTGGCGCCTGTAGGTGCGAAATGGACGGAGATGTGCCCGCTGGGGTGTGGCCGTCGAGGCTCTCAATGGCTTTCTCCAATGTCTGTAAAATAGTCCGAGGTACTGTTTGCATAGGAATTGAAGAATCAATCTGAATATTTCGAGTCTGTAGTTGGATTGCAAACGGAGATTCGCCGTCGATCTGTGATATTGTTTTTCATATACCCTTCTTGTTACTTGTTTTGTACATACGACCATAGGGTGTGGAGAACAGGGCTTCCCGTCCGCTCAGCCGTACTTAAGCCACATATTATACGCGGTCAATTTCTTAGAAGCCTCGACTGTTAAACCAGCAATGGATATCACCCTAACGGTGAGTGTGGGTGAGATGGGTGAGAGGTTTTTAGACCAGGGTAATTCTCACCCGTTCTCACCCCTCACCATAGACTTTTAAATCCGCCCATAGGGCGCACTTCTAATCTGCTATTTCTCTTCTTCTCAGACGACCTAGACCCGATTAAGAGGCGACTCAGTAAGAAAAGGCAATAAAGTAAGGAACAGTGGCCCAGCGGCTCTAGTAGTCCATCTCTTCTTGAACCCTTTCATGCTCTCCCTCCTCATTTTCGTCAACATGCTTCCGCTCCACATTTCGGAAAGAGCGTGGCGCAAAGGTATTGGGTGATAAAAGGGAAAGTCCTCGCAGTGCGAGAAGGGCGGCGACGTCCGTGCTGCCACTTGGGGCCAGGCCTGCACAACCGTCGTAATCATGGGTCAACTTGTCCAGTTTCTCCCCCATCCCCATCATGTGGATAAAATTCCCAATACTGGCATGGACACGCAGTAGATTGGGATCGGGAAGGGCCCAGCTTCCCCCTTGACGGTGAACTGGACAAGTCCGTTGGCAGGCATAAACGCCATTGTCAAGCCAATGACATTCGGAAAGCTCTTGATGCGGTATTGGTTCATGACCGGTGTAGCCTCCAAGACGAAGTGGAACTCCCCAAATTCCTTATGAGCACCGTACTCTAGCATCATAATGTTACTCTCGTGGTTGATGAGCTCATAGCCCTCAGCCATAGCTCCCAATGCAGGAAAGTAACGGCGTATGTTGACCCAGGCAGTCGCATTCTGATGGGTCGCCTCGGAGTTATTTCAGTCGAACGACCCGAGCGCGAACGGGATGATATGCGCAGCCTCCAGACGTGCGGTCATTGCACCTTCAGGGTGTGGATGCTGGCCGCTTGGGAGACCGGTCAACATGCAGCAATATCCGTCCCGTTCGAGACAGCGGTCGCGCAATTGCTGTTGATGTGTCCGGGCGAGTGGACGCACATCCAGGCTTCGGAGATTTTCGATCGAATCCTCAACGCCCGGTCGTGGAGCCGGAGTGATTTCGGAGGGCGTCCTTCCCCCAATGGCGCGGAGAGGACACACGAGCCCGTTGCGGATCGAGTCAACTGTCTGTCGGATTTTGTGGTCACTGCTATAGCCGCCCACGTCGCGTGCCAGAGTTTCTTGGCCACCGGATGGGAGTACATCGAAGAAATTGCGTAAGAAGATCACTGTGTTGTCGTTGCGGCCCAAGGGGTTGTACTGCCTCAGTCGCTGATCCAGAACCTAGTACAGAATAAGTATCGTAATCACTCTGCTTCATTATGGTGCTTACCTCTTGAGCCTCTTCAGGTGACAAGGGCGACCTCGAGTTCTCTCGGTCATCTGGGCGTGAGATTGATCGACCTTGATCGGCTGGGGGCGATAGGGATCCCTCTCGGTTACGTGGGTGCGGCAGTGATCGATCACGGCCACGACGGCGCGACATTGCGCAATCTTGGTCACCTGAGAGCGGCAATGTTAGAATAACGCGATTGTCGGTCGATTTGGAGGTGTGGGGTGGTGGATCTGAGCAACTCGGGGTATGTGGAGGCTGTAGGCAGGGGGCCCATGCACCTGTCAGGGCCCGGGAACCCCCGTCGCATTTGGGGGACTAGCTCCACCAGATATTCCTATACGGCTAGTCGAATTCGAATCGACACACTTTACTTGGAAGGTAAACAGTCTACCATTAACTTATAGCCATAATACCACCAAAACCTCACGCGTTTGCTAGTTTACCATTACAATCTTAAAACTAATTAATTTTATTTCAATAAGTTCCTTATATATATACTAATATATATATTAAAAGGATATTTTAATGTATTAAATAAACAGCTGCGTGAGATACTGATGAATATGCAATAAGTTCTTTAATATCTATTGTTCTTAATGTACTAAAACTTGCATAAATTATAGTTATTACACCTTGGATGTTCATAATTCAAGTGACAAAAGTTGTTGTTGTGTTTGCTTTAGGATGTAAATTTTTATCTCGGTGAAACTGGTTCAAATCCAGAAAAAGATAATATTTTTTAAGGAAAGCTACATCAGTTAAAGATAAGTGTTGAAAGCATCTAAGTAAAATATTTTTATTTTAATAGTAGTATTTACTCACAACATTATATCCTCCATTATCAGGTATACAATCTCACAGTGGGCCAAGTGTTGATTTAGTGTATTTTTAATATCTAGTAATGATTTAGTTTCTATTTTCTTCCTTAAAAAATATTATCTTTTTCTGGATTTGAACCAGTTGGAAATAATTTCCAAGCTGCATGCGGCGTGCTTTGTTACTTGCTCAGTTGCGCGGTTCGACGCGGAAGCTGATGATGATGATGAGAACGTTATGATGGTGACGCTGATTATTGCTGGGGATCGTGGAATTGCGAGTGGTAAGTGCGGATGGAGAGTGGTGGGGCGGAGGGCTGGGCTAGGTGTTTGCGAGACCAGTGCCTGTGACGGCCGTGAAGTATGTTTTGGTGCCTGATCTCCCAGGTTTCTACCCATCCTGGGAACAGCTAAGGGTTGGGGCGGACTGATTTCACTTATGCGGGCATGCTTCTGCCTGTCCTAGTCACGGGACTACGCCTTACCCTCGACCTTCGCAAGATATCCAGTAGACTGGTTCCTACGGAATTAACCTCACTATAGCATGAGCTATTCAATCAATACCAACATGGCTGGTTCACGTCAGTTTTACTGGAGCCACTGAAGTCTTCGAGAGGCCTCCCCGGAAGTGCAGCTTATTCCCTTCTCCTATTACTACTCGTCGATCATGAATCATTAGCCTCTCTCAATCAAATCTCATTTTCCTTTCCCTCGAACCATATCTTCAAGCAGACCCTAGAAACGAAAAGAAATCCGATGGATCGTAGCAGGTAACGTGACCGGCACTACTCAAGGGACGGCAGAGATAGGCAAACACAAAGAGCTATCTTAATACCAGTTTAAAAAGCAGTCAATCATTCTCCTTCCTATATCCACCATCTTTGGACAGCACAGCAATGAAAAAAGCCAGCCTGGTGGCGCAGAACAAGGTGAAAGGCTTCAAAAATTCCCAGTCGACCCAAAGGAAAACTGAATCAGGGTGCGTGTGGGTTCACACTTCAAGGAGATAAGTTTATCTTCCTGCTTACACTCATACAAATCAAGCCTACGTAACAGGATGTTGTCCTTGAAAATTCATGGTAGAGACTTTGGCGTAAAAGAATTGGTCGTGTTGGGGCACTCGCTAAGATACATCAATGAATTGTAAATAAAATCTCCCCTCAGCCTCCTCGCCATGCGTTTCCAAATACCCTGTTTTTGGGAAGTCTGCCTCGTCTCTTTCTCACACCGAGATGACTCATCGAGTTCCGGTTGGTCGTTCTTCTGCTCTTCTGTATGTGACTCTGTCTGTGTTCGTTCGGTTGTGGAGTGTGCAAGTGTCGTTGCATCAGACATTGCGTCGCCGTTTCCATCATTCACGGTCTTGAGTTTCTCCTCGCGCTCGCGACATTGACGCTCGAGGGCGCGGCGAGAATTTTTTGGTCAAACATGATGTGGAAGAAAGATCGTACCATACGGTGTAGCACTTGCGGAGGTAGTGACCGTTGTGGAGGTCGTCAATCGGTGGTGATGAGCCATATAAACTGCGGAAGAGGAGCTAGAGGCGATGGCATCACGGAGATCGAGCGGAGCGGCCACGCCACATCGGCGCAGGCCAATAAGAACTATTGAATAAAAACAATTCCAGAGAATGTAAGGATGCACTGCCATAGTCTGGAAGTCAGAGAATAAGGCCGATCTTCTTGTACAGGGCGGTTCATCGGGGCCTTCCTTTCGGTAGAGGAGTTCCAGGTCTTGGTATTGACGGGGGTGAGCGGCATGTATATACGGCCAAGTGAGTAAGTGAGCTGGGCCTTCTTTTTTCGGAGTTGCTGCCCTCGGCCGAGTCAAATCGTGGAATATTGGCGGACAACGAGGAGGAACGACTGAGTAGATATGTTTGGCAAGGATACTGTGAAGGCGAAAAAACGAGCTTTTACGGCCGATTTCCACGTGTGCACACAGAAGGTCGATGGCAAATGCTGTTGGATATTGCGGAGAATCGGTCCGGTCGGATGTCAGCCTGGACAATGGAAAGGTTGTTCAGGACTGATGGTGCGACCATATGAAGGCACTTCGACGGTTTGGTAAAGAGGAGCAGTAAGAAAGAATCATTGATGAATGTTGTTGCAGATCGTGCGGTCGGGTATTATCCTGAAGTATGGACAAGTGCGGCAAGGCGAACGGCGAAAGGAGAAGATCAAAACCTTTTGAGAGGTTCTGTTAGCAAAATCTTCAGAGTCTGGTAAATTGGATTTCTGAGGTACCTTTCAGTGTATGTGCCCCCAACTGGTAAAATGAAGTCGCTGATTTCACTTTCGAATTTCTTTTGGGCGTTCCTGGCTTCGTTTTCCCTTCCACCGTCGCATTTCATATTTAATTTTCTTTTCGCGAGGGTTTTGATGATTTTAATTTGGAGGGTGTTGTGGAGGGTGTTGTGGATGGTGTTGTGGATGATGTTGTGGAAGGTGTTGTGGATGGTGTTGTGGATGATGTTGTGGATGGTGTTGTGGATGGTGTTGTGGATGATAGTGCTGTCGCAATGGCACTGGTCGAGTTTCCGTTGCAGGTCCGATTCCCCCAAATAAAAAGAGCCCAGCCCCCTGGCCGAGTGTTTTGCCTTTCTTCTTTTGCACTTCTTCTCTCTCCCTCCCTCGCTCTCTCTCTCTATTTTCTTTTCTTTTTTTTTTGCAGTTTGTTTGTGGATGTGGATGTGTATGTGAATGTGGGTTATGGTTGTGGTTGTGGTTGTGGATGTGGTTGTGGTTGTGGATGTGGTTGTGGTTGTGGTTGTGGTTGTGGTTGTGGTTGTGGTTGTGGTTGTGGTTGTGGTTGTGGTTGTGGTTGTGGTTGTGGTTGTGGTTGTGGTTGTTGTCGGATGCCATTTCAAGGTTTTCCAGGGATGATGACACTCGCTGTGGGTACGCCGCTCAACTGGTCAATAACCAAAGGATATCCCTGACCATCTGCGCCCAAGGTAAAGTGGTTTCTCGAGTCTGAGGGTTCCTCGACGATAGGTGGTGCTCCGAAGATAAAAAACTGCCTCGAGAGCAAAGTGGATTCCACCATGCAGGAGTGGAACATTCTAAATGTAGTGAATTGTCAGGCACGTGAAAAAATGAGACCGTGGAGGTCAACGATTGTCAGGAAATTACTTCAGAGGCAAGCTGCTGAAACCTGTGACATATGCATTTATGAACCACGCCACCAAATGCCACACCAAGTCGATGACAAGTGGTGTGAGACAGATGGTGTGAATTGTGGGAGGTGTTTCGATGAACTGGCCAAGAAACCCTGGAGCGGTAAACATCCTCAGGACCCCAAGTGCACATCAGGATCCATTTGGTGGATAGTGTAGTGGCCGCTGCATTGGCAGTATATCGCCTTGGAGGTATTTCATGATGGAGTGGATGAAGACACGCTCGATGAAGGGCCTCATCACTGGCCCCGGGTCCCAGGGTATCTCGAAGCAGGCAGCAACCATATCATCTCTCTTCTTCCCGGTAATCAGAGAATTTCTGGTCTCTAAGGTGGCCATCAGCTCTCGACAGGTACGGGAGCGAATCAAATTACGCCCGCGAGGATTTCATCTGCCCAACAGTAAAGACTGTACAGGAATATCTCTCGAGAGGTACCGTTCTGCCGAGCTCCTACCGACATCACCCAGTAACCGAAGGGTGTAATTCTACAACTTCCCAGGAATTGAGAGAATGACATGGCCCGCCCGAGGATGGAAGATATCCTTGGGAGATCCAAAACCAGTATTGATGAATTTGAGGCGCATTGACGACGTTTCGCAAGCCTAGGCTTGAGGCAAGATGAACGAAGCTGTTTGTCTGTCGGTCATGGGCCAGATGCATCCCCGCAGATGAGACAAAGTAGAAGGCTGAAATCATGGAGCCACCATGGTCAACCTCGATAATTCTGGCTCGAAGAGTGGCGGATGTCGATGAGTTTCTTGGTAAACGTGCAGTCAGATATCACGCTTTGGTATGGCAAGTAAGTCGGGGCATCTTGAAGGGCTGATTGCAATCGATGACACATCTGAGGTATGTTGCACAGCCGATCAAGTTTTTTTCAGAGTGGATTCCAAGAAAAAATTATTTGAAGAGCCGCAGGGAGCAAATCGTAAAGACAATCGGCGAGTATCTTCATGAACCGATGATCAAATGTCATGTCGAAGTGTAGGCGAGCGATGCAACACAAAATGTATCATGGTGGACAAAGCCTTGTTCATGACGTATATTATTCACTAGCGGACCGCGAAGTAGAAGTAGCCCCTTGCAAAGAGCCCCGGCAAACTTCCATTCTTTCAGAACCCCAGTCGGGCCTTCGCAATTCAAAGTGTGAAGTCGTATTCAGTGAACAAAGACGCGTTAAATGTTGGTGTGATGGATGAGCGACATGGTTTAGTTGGCGACAACATTTTCGATGAACAGTGGAAAGCTCGTTCATAATCTGAATTATTCACTGGTCGGGATTCACTAGTGGACCGCGAAGCAGAAGTAGCCCCTTGCAAAGAGCCCCGGCAAACTTCCATTCTTTTCAGAACCCCAGTCGGGCCTTCGCAATTCAAAGTGTGAAGTTGTATTCAGTGAACAAAGACGTGTTGAGTGTTGGTGTGATGGATGAGCGACATAGTTTAGTTGACGGCAGCATTTTCGATGAACAGTGGAAAGCTCGTTCATAATCTGATCATTCATCGATCTGGATTCACTGTAGACCTTGAAGAAGAAGTAGCCCCTTGCAAAAGCCCCGGCAAACTTCCATTCTTTTCAGAACCCCAGTCGGGTCTTCGAGGTCCGCAGTATGGATTCATGCTTGATGAACGGAGACATACTGTCAAGACGATTCCGGTGAATGAGAAAGACATGTTTGATTGACGAATCCAAGTCCAATGATGGTCAAAGACATTTTAACTGTCGGATAACAGGCGAGGTCAGCTTGGATGGCTGAAAATGCACCTTCAGTCGATGGAGACGTACTTCGATGAACCGAGGCGTGCCTTGAGAGATGGTGTGTCTCGATGGACGATACCATGCTCAATAACGAGCAAGACATGCTTGACTGTCGAATGACAGGCGAGGCTAAGTTGATTGGAAAGGCTGCATCCTCAGTGAGTGGGAATGTGCCTTGATGAGCTCCGGCGTGCCTCGATTGGCGAAGACATGCCGTGATGGACGGAGACGTGCTCCGATGAGCGGAGTTGTGCCTCGATTAGCGGAGGCGGCATGATCAGCGGCGACGGCGACTTGCTTAATCGGTGGAGACATGCAGGGGACGTGCATGATGAGTGGATGCATCCTTGGATGATGAAGAAATCCTTGGGTGGAATGATGGGTGGGTGGGAAGAGACGCTCCCGGTAGGTGTGCGAAGCTTCTTGAGGTAAAGGAAGATATCCTTCGACTTGTGGGAACATGCAAGAGCAAAGAAAGCCACCATGCAGGATGGGAAAGCCGCTCCAGGATGGCAAAGGCGCCGCAAGCTGGGGGGTGGAGGGGAGTTGAGGAGGGAAAGAGTGGGAGGGAGGGAAGATGGTGGCGGAGGGGGGTTTAAATACGGCAGGCGCCTGGGGTTCCTTCCTCTCTCAGCATTGTGTGAGCACGTGTCGACGTCATACCCTGCCTTCCTCAGGGCTCGAGGAAGTCACGCCACCCTTTTAACGGAAAGTTCCATTGACTGGAGGTGACGCAGGTGCGCGGTCTTCGTGATGGGCGTTAGCGTGGTTGGGTTTACGGTGGGGGAAAGGGTTGGACGCGGATACTGGGTGCTGGTTCTGTGGGGACTTGGTTGATAGTAAATAGTAAACGAGATTCTGGTGTTGATTGGTGTAGTAGAGACTATGAGAGTTGTCAGGGACTGTGATTTCCTACTGTAGAAGGGCTACGACGGTGCATTTACTGCTTTTTTTTACATTATGTGCAGAAGACGTGAGGGTGGGGTGATAACCTAAAGAAGTAAATGATGAAATTCATTAGGGTAGCAAGAATGATTACAGCCGCTGAGGTTTGGAGTGATCTCAAAAGGAGAATTCTGTATTTGCGAAATCAGGCCAGTCCCAACTCAGCATATCATCAAAAGGGACATCCGGAATCGAGGAACCAAACGCACTTCCAGCTCGGTTGACCGCATCGATGATTTGGCCGTCGGACATGGCCGAGAACTGCATCGGCTCCGACCAGAGGTCGGGTGGAAGTGGCTGTTGGGATATTGATAATGATGGAGGTCGGTCGGGTATGCTTGTACTTGTACCTGCAGGTGGAACTGCAGGCAGAGTTGTAGTAGTGGCTGTATTCGTACTGCCAGTCGGATTTAATACCGGTTCTGGTAGATCCATTCGTGGATCACGGGTCTGTGGCATTTGCATGTTTGGTCCGCGACGGATAAGTTCGCGAAGGAATCGACCGTATAGAACCGAGGAGCCGTTGCGGTGGTCTGGGGTTGCGCCGATGCGTTCGAGGACACCGGCTGTTTCTTCGATAAGGGCCCGCACGCTGGGCGCGAGGCTGGAGCGACTATCTCCTGGTGTTACGCTTAGGCTCAGGGCAGAGCATGCGGCGAAGGATATCATGATGACGGTGTTGTTGGGCATGGACTTGAGCCTTGCTTCGCCTTGGATGGCGGCTCGGAGAACGTTGAGTGCTGAGGAGAGTCCGGCGGCTCGGAAGAATCGCTTGACGGCGATGGGGGCGGTTGGGTGGTTAATGACGCCGCCATAGGTTGAGAGTTGGGTATGTGTTACGAGAATCTCGACGTATGGGGGGAGGTGGTGTGCTATTCTGTCAGCGGGTTTTGCCCAGCGGGGGCTTTCTTATTCTTACCTCCATCCTCGCTGATGGCCATGGCCCATGTTGCGTACCAGTTGGCGTAGAAGCTCTCGATGGTTTTTTTTATCCTGAGGACGTTAGTGACTCACTTGGACCCTCTTCACTTGCGGGGAAACATACGTTTGAGCTGCCTCGGATCCGGTATCGACGATACGATAGCTGTCGCAGCTAAACTTGACTTTGCGAAAGAGGTCATCCTATTGCCAATTGTGAGCTGAGAATCCAACATGAGCATTTGGTGCAAGATTCCAAAGCTCACCAAGTCTCGCCGTAGAATGGCCATCGAATTCATCGGTCCATCTCGTCTATCAGCAATATCTGACCTATGCCAGTAATCGCAATTTTCAATCAATGCCGTTGGTGGAACTGTATAGCTTCTTCCTCGGGCAAGACAGACACTAAATTTGTTAGCTTCTTTTTTTCAACAATGCATCGGGTCAACACACCCTCTTTCAACGACAAACAACGCAATCCATGTCCTCTCACGCCGCCGCAACAACCTCCTCCCCCACTCCGATCCAGGATCAACATCATCAAAACCGTCCATATGCAATGCCCTTCTCGCGTCGATACAATCAGCCCGAGCCAGTCTGCTGAGAAGACCTCGATCGAAGCTCGACGACGGCGTGACAATCTTGTTCAGCGAGAGATCGAGCGCCACGGTGAGCGCCATGGCAATATACGAGCATGTATCGTCATCTCCTAATCGGTCTCCGGGGGCCATCCAGGGGACGTTCACCATGAATGCCAGAACTATTTCGACGGAACGATGTCGATGGGTCATCGCCCGTTTTGCGAGCCATTTCACATGGCGAGAAAGCCTTTTCGACAGGGCTCCAGCGGATGGTAAGAAGAGAGCGGCAGCCGCCATAATCGAGGTAAAGAGAAATGCAGATTGTGCTCGAACGAAGCGTGCACTGTGCACAAGAGGATCCAGTCCCCATCGAGTGTGCGCGAGATTCTGATAGAAGCTGTATCGGAGTTAACCACTGAGTAGGCATCAGGAAGGGATGGGGAACGTACTAAGAAAACAACGACTCAGACTCATCAAACGTGACAAGCCCCAGCTCAACAGGATCCAGTTCATCCCCAACATCCAAGCTTGCCCGCGTCGGAACAAAGAAATCCTTCGCACTCCGCTGACCTAGTACATCCCCACTCCCGCTGGCCTGCGGTAGAGGAGGCGAAGCAGCAACCAACGGCGCGGGAGAAGATATAGGAAGATGCCGCACACCTGTCGGCGAGATCTGCAAATCAGAAGCTCGTGCCAGCAACTGTAACGGATTCTCCGCATCATCTAGCATCAGATTCTCATCCGTAACCTGTTCACGAGGGGAAAGTGGATGACGCGTGCGGCCATCTCGCTCGGTCTCTCGATCGCGATCTCGATCTGAGCCCGACGAGAATGTCTCCGGGTCATTCGTCAATTGGCCCTGGAACCGTGACAGCAGATCCTGTAGTCCGGCAATGGCTTTCTGGGCATCGTCGGGGCCTGAACCGGAGTCGGTCTTTGGCCGTTTGATGGCTTGCTCGATTTGATGTATGGCCTTTTCCAGGCCTTTGCGCTTACTGCGTTCGTTAGCGGTGCTCTTGGATCTTCGACATGTGCAGTATTTCTTTGACAGGGGAATATACTCCCGTCGCACATGGACATGACTCACTTCTTCACGCCCTTCTGCCTTCCCAGATGGTGGCTCGGCACGACGCACTCCGCATTCAACTGCCGGCACTTCTCACACCGCGCGTGGCCGGGCGGGCGATTGCAGCGAATTTTGCTGCGACGGCAGTTCAGGCAGGCCGGCTGTTTTCCTGCGCTGGCCCCCGCGTCGGTCTCCATCTCCATGGCGGGTGGGAAATCAGCATCCGCTGGTGCTGCTCTCCGTGGGAAAGCGACGGGAGTGCCGCGTCGGCAGATGTGGAGTTTTTGTTTATGTAACCAAGATCAGATCGCCTTCCAACAGCCCGGCCGGGCTAGCTCAATCGGTAGAGCGTGAGACTCTTAATCTCAAGGCTGCGGGTTCGACCCCCGCGTTCGGCTTTTCCTACAAAACCTCGAGATTTCTTTTTTAATTTTATTTTTTTATGAAAATTTTGGCCTCGAAATTTACATATGCGATGGTCTTCTTCTTTTTACCCTCTCATCTTATAGTCCCGTGCATTTGGATTCTCTGATGTCTTATCCGAGTCCAGGAACACGAGCTTATCAGCAGAAATATACAATTGTCCACCAACAATTTGTAAATGTGTACCGGTTAAAAAATATTCGAGCAGAGGCCGATAGTCATCAAAATATATTCAGTTGGTATATATATTTCACAACGGTCGATTTCCCATTGCGGTACATTACATATACAACAAAGGTTTAGCCAAAGCGCCATAAACATTTACCCCACGGAAGGATATTGCGGTAATGAAATCTAACAATTAAAATTATTTTAGGGTAGACTAGGTAGAGTCTGTATCATATACTCGTAAAAGAAGGTCAATTCTCTCCATCCAACTGCATCAACAAGAATGAGCCCGCCCAATCTCCTCCGTCCTCAACGCCCCCGTGGCCCTTGGAACAAAAGCCCTCGGAATGGGCTGCAAAGGCACCGGCTGAGGGTTCGCCAGCCCCATCTCCGGATCACCAGCAGAAACAGACGCACCCCGCTCCCCTTCCGCCGTCTGCGGGGGCGACCCCTGCAAAAGCGGCGGCGCAACCTCCTTTCCAGGCCGCTTACTCGCCTTTACCCTAAGCGGGGCCGGACCGAGGACAGTCGGGTACTTGTAGCGGAATCCCCAGATCCAAAACAGACTAAACTTGCGCCAGGCACTCATCTTGTCCCAGCGTTGTTTCAAAATCGCGGCATCAGCTGCATTCCGGGCGCGGAAGCCCTTGCGGAAGCCGAAGAGACAGCACAAGGAAATTGGGAGGAGGGTCATGCACCAGCAAACGGGTAAGCCGCGACGCGTTTGCCAGCCCAGCATGAGTCTGCGGAAGCGGACCCAGGATTCGATGATGCCGAGGAGAAACCAGAGGACGATCCAGCCGAGAACCGAGATGAGGAGGATGGCGAGAGGGCTGATGCCGTAGTAGTCGTAGTAGTAATCGCCATAGTAGCCGCCGTAGTAGCCGGAGTTGGTGCTGTAAGTCACACCACTGTTGGCGGTGTAGGCGCAGCTATCGGCGGTGTAGAGGGCCGTAGGAAAATTCGTGTCGCGGAGAGAGGCGAGCGACGAACTGGGGAGTTGGGTTGGGTTGACCCAGACGTAGTCGTAGGTGTAAGTGGTGGGCCGAAATGCGGAGTCGGTATTGATAGAGATCGAGGCGGAGGTTTTGGTGCGCGGAAGCAGGGCCTCAATGGTTGCGTCTGGCACAGTGACTGTAGTCGATGTCGTGGTTGTCCAGTCCGAGGCACAGCCGGTTGGTGCGGTGTAGGTCAGGTCGACGACGAAGATCGTGGAGTGGTAGTAGTCTTCTTGGTAGTTGTAGTCGGCGGGCTCGCCGACACCCGAGGGGTATAGTACTTGAACGACTGTCTCATACGGCTCGGTTTGGTAGAGGTACGAGTTGTATTGGGTGACCGTGGAGAGCGCTTCGGGCAGCGAGGTCACGGTGGGCGTGATCGCCTCGATCCTCGTGGAGACGTGCGCAGTGTCATGTAGATCGTCGCCCACGTGGTAGTAAGTGGCCGGCACGCCCTGGTTATATTCGGTGATGATCCACGGAGCGGCGAAAGCGGACGAGCAGAAGAGCCCGGCGATAACGAGTGACGAGAACGAGCGTGTGGGCGACATGGCGCCCTGGGAAACCGATTCCTTTCGGTATGCGACGAAGTGCGATGCGATAGAATGGCCGCTGCCCCTGGAGAAATCCTGCAGATTCCTGGACGGTTGGTGCGGCCATGGTTTTTATGAGCAACGCCCTGTGGCGCTGGTCTGGTTTCGCGCAGCTCTGTATTTTCCTCTTTCAGGGTCACGAACGCCTTCGCAGGATTTCCAGGGACGCGCGCGAGGCTCTAGCAGCGGGGCTAGTTCGAATCGAGAGGTCGTTCCAGCGGACTAGAGTCGATGCGGGGGTGGAGCGGTGCAGCGGGCGGCGCGATTGGCAGGCGGCGTCGCCGGCGTTTTTAGTCGGCGTGCCTGGCCTCGCTTATTCGCGCTGAAAATAGATTGGGGAATCGGGAATCGCCTCGACAGAACGACCCTAAAAAGGAGACTGGAAGAGAAAAGAAAACAATATGCGATTAATGGCAGAGCTAGCAATGGCTCACCGGTAGAAACAACAACAAAAAAAAATTGTCGATGGGAGAAACTGCCGAACCACGAGACCCGCCATGTTTAAGAGTCAATCTCGGTTCGCGCCCGAGCCTTGCAGCCACTAAATTGGACCCTTCTAGATACTTTAGTATGTGGCAACAAATCGGATGCGGATCAGAGTGTAGAGCTTTTCTGGTGAGAAAAATTAATTGGAGTAAGAAAAGCCAGCCTCATTGCAGAAATAATGTGACTTGCAGAGTTCGAGGTTCCGACGTGCACTTCGATTGTCGAATTTCGGTATAGGAGCGAAAGACAAAATCGAAAAAAGCTCGAGTAGCTGATGCTTCTGAAGGTTCTCGCGATGGAATTACAGTGCGAATGAAGTTCCATGAGGCAAAGTAAATAACTCGATGCCCGGGGAAGAAGCAACCTTAACCCAGTCTCAAAGTTTAAATACGTGAGATGCCATCTTGAATGATTGAAATCCAGAGTTCTTACCGAGCAGTTTTGCTAAACCAAACAGGCAATTCAAGACGAATCGAATGCAACTTGAAAGTGCTATAATAAACGCTCATCAGAAACCGTGAAAAGTGTTGGACACTTAAAATTCCACCGTTACTATCCTTCTGTAGATGGAAAATTCGTTTGATAACCCCCCTCAAAGATGAAGCCGACCGACATTTAAGTGGCCATATGAGCCCCAATAACCCCGATCCTGTTTCAAAGAAATCCAGGGTTTGATCTGGCATGAAAACCTAATATGACAATGAAATGAAGTGCTGGGTGTGTTCCGATTTCAGTGCACCCAGCATTAATCTTATTATTTTTTGAAGTTGAATTGCGTCAGATAAAGACGCAGCATCTGCGAATTGTCGCTGTTCGGTACTAAAAATTAAGCTAACTAGATCAATGAGGATTGGCCAGGTTACATTTGGACGTAGAGATGGCATCTGCGATCTTGGGAGCATGGTGTGCCTTATCATAGCTCAAGGTAACTGGGGATGTGATGATGATGATGATGATGATGATGATGATGAATTCATTTGCCCGATGTAGCTTGCTCTAAATATATGCTGCTATGCGGGAGTGCTGTCAGGCCTGCCGACAGCTTGAAGGTGGTCGCCAGCCCACTGAACGATTGTTTCCATGGCTTGCAACGCAAGCCCCTGATTGGTCGCCCGGGAATGTATGCAAACATGACAAAATAGACAAAATAAACAAAAGAAATCCAAAAAGAACGTCGCTTCCCCTCTACCCACTCTCCTTTCCACAATCAGACTTCATTCTCTGATCTACTTCATCCCCCACCGTCTTCATCTGCGCAGCCCTCTGGGCCGTCGGCTGCCGCTCCTGCGCTCGCTTGCATCAAGGGAGTACAGTGGACCTGGCACTGCACTCCTAACGGGCACAATCCTTCTCCTTCCGTCACACTGTCCTGAGGGGTCATCCTTTTTCGTTGCGTGTTCAGGTTTCACTCGGTTTCAGAGATACGTAGGATGGCCTTTTCCAGTTGCCCTTGCGTTCACATCAAACGAGAGAAGTTTCCCGAGTAATCGTAGGAGGATTGATCCAAAAATTGCTGCAGAGGTTCACTAGGGGTCATGAGCTGTCCATATGAACCCTAATTATTCTTATTAAGAATTATATCCGGTACTTGTGTATCACATACTTGTGTTCTATAGTAGCTATTCCCTATCTTGTCGGACGACACATAAGTAAAACCGCGCGTATGGTACGGTCCAGTTTACACAAAACCAGATCCCGTTAATGTATACAATAAAGATAGATTATGCAGCTGAAGATCTGCATTCATATGTGGAGCCCCTACTGCCTGTCGATCTGTAGATCTGTGTAACATGAGTAAGTCCACATGTTTGGGTAAGGGAGGCAATCATTATCTCATATCGCAGAAACTGACGCACCTGCTTCAGGTTTGTGTCATTTCTATATTCCACTCCTTGCTCCAGAGCTGACGCGGTGAAACGTTTACCCTGTTTACTGGGAGTACTCCCCCCCTTTCATAAACTTCGACATTACAAAAGACACATATCCCACAAATCGCCGTCATGCACTCCTCTTCATTCTGGTAGCCCTAAAGCCATCGCCTCTGCGCGCAAGGGTCAAACTAGTACGTCAAGCGGGATGTCCGGCTATAAGCTCGCAGCTCTCGGGCTCCTGTTGATTGCCACCACGCAAGCCCAAACAGCAGCTCAAAACCAGGCCAGCTATACCTGTGCCGGAAATACTGATAGTGGAAAGATTTATACCACGTGAAATGCGGTCACGGCACGCATGCAAAGGCCCTCGATACAGTGCCAGCGGCTACTTTGAAGGATTGCGCCGATCTGTGCGCTCAACACCTCGACTGCCAAAGCTGCGACTGGGCCCACGGGCAATGCAATAGAAAGCGGGAATATATTCCGACGTTCCCAGACCCTCATGATAACGTAATTCCCGCCCGAGTGGCCCACCCGGCCCTGTGGCCCACTACGCGCTAAGACGCGCTCGTATGACCATCTTCCTTCTTCAAACACTCACCATGCCTCCAAAACGTGCTCAATCCTCGCAAAAATCTATTGAGCAGGAAGGCAGGATCCTCCTAGCTATTAAACATGTTCAAAATGGCTTTACCGACTCTATACGCGATATCGCAGAGCGATTTCGTATACCTCGTACGACCCTTCGCCGCCGACTCGTTGGCCAGCAATTTCGCGGGGATACACGCTCCAGCGGCCATAAATTGACCCAAACAGAAGAGGCTTCGCTTGTGCAGTGGATATTAGATCTAGATGCGCGTGGAGCAGCGCCTAGGCCTTCTACTGTTCGAGATATGGCCAAACTCCTTCTCGCGAAGCGTGGGGATAGTACTATATCACGGTCGGCAAAAATTGGGCATCAAGCTTCGTTAGTCGCCAGCTAGCCCTTCATACGCGATACTCACGGCGATATAACTATCAACGTGCCAAAAACGAAGATCCGAAGGCCTTACGCGCATAGTTCGCCACCGTTCAACGCGTGATTACCGAACACGGTTATACTGCCAGAGGATATATATAATTTTGACGAGACTGGCTTCGCTATGGGACTAATAGCTACTGCTAAAGTAGTCACACGCGCTGACTACTATGGCCGCCGCGCGCTATTACAACCGCTTGATATTGGGTGTTTTGCAGTGCTAAAGCGCGCATACGGTCGCATTATAGAGAACCAAGCGCGTATAGGATATAACCACATCGACAAGCTAGATTTTCTAGCAGCATATCCTTATGCGCGCGCGGAGGCCTATAAGCCAGCGATTATTCAAAATAGCTTCGCCGCAGCAGGTCTAGTGCCTATCAACGCAGAGCGAGTGCTTAAAAAGCTAAATATATCGCTTAATACGCCTACACCACCTAGCAGCCGGCCTAGCAGCAGATCTAGCGTTTTCAGCCCAAAAACACCGAAAACCACTTAAAAAAGCTTCAGAAACAGGCATCTTCGATCAAGGCCCGCCTCAAACAACGATCAAGAAGCCCTCAAAGCCCGTTAAAATCCGAGCTTGAACAGGTGTTCAAAGGCTATGCAGGCTCTCTTCATAGGGAAATACTTTTAAGGGAGGAAAACGCTACCCTTCGCGCTGCGCTTGAGAAAAAAATCAAAAAATCTGCTAAGTCCAGACGCCAGATACCAGATGAAGGCGGATTAACCATTCAAGAGGTTCAGGCGTTGGCTGAGGAGCGAGAAACACCGGCGGAGGCTATACAGCACACTGAGCCTACAGAGGCTATTAAGACTCTGCAGGCCGCGCAGAGGGCCCCGCCGAGGTGTAGTGGGTGTAGGGAGATAGGCCATAAGATAAATCAGCGTAGAAATAGCTATATTTAAATTTATACCAGCGTTTTGGTGGTCAAAATCTGTTTTGAAAATATTATAGTGAGCGTGGTGGGCCACAGGGCCGGGTGGGCCACTCGGGCGAGAATTACGTTACCTGGTTTCCTGGATTCCTTCTATCTTGCATTTCGACTGCTACAACCCTCTTATTCCAACTCTGGAAGTTGAACTAGTTGAATTTTCTATGAAATTCACTGGCCACAGATAAAAAAAGGAATACAAAATCATAGAAGCATCCTTGGGGAACATGGTCTCCTGAGGTAAAACTGAACCCAAAACCTCCTATAAATCACCATTGAGAAGTTTTCTTTCTATCCTAATCCGCGAGAATAGGATATGCTGCGTTAGCTCAGGCTTTCGAAGATATAGTTCGAGAGAGAGTCAGGTTCCCAGAACAGGAAGCAATATTCAAACGATAGGCTCGTTTGTATCAGGCTGATAGGAGTTAGGACGCTGACCCTGGTCCTCCGCAAGGTTCCAGGCTTTACTATGCTTGCTTCATTGGGCTCATAGTGCCTGCAAGAGTTCTTATTGGCAAGGGAGCGGACGTCAACACGCAGGGCGGCGAATACGGCACGGCTCTCCAGGCCGCCCCGCTAGGAGGCTATCAAGAGATTATCAAAATGCCCTTAGAAAAGGGCACAGAAGTCAACGTGCAGGGCGCCGACTACGGCAATGCTCTCTGTATACCGCCTCATTACGAGGCCATCAAGAGATTGTCAAACTGCTTTAAGGAACGGGCGCTATTACATCGACTTTAAAGCGGTCTGGCTCTAGGACTCTTAAGAAATCCGGCGAAGAAACTTCGTCTCATGGATTGTGAATCTTCTGATTAAACTCAATAATTCGTTCGGTAGCCTTCATCATGGTGTCCAGCTATCCGTGCCTTTCTGCCCACCCAAACCGCTTACAAGCGGTTTGGGTGGGCAGAAAGGCACGGATATTGCCTAGCTTCAGGCCTCATCACTGTTATCACTTCGCAGATTCTAGGTGCGGCTATTTAAGTTCATAACAATCTGCGAATACTACTATGTCTAGGCGGCGATTCCTATTGGAATCCTATATGTATACGAGAAAATACCCTAGCTGGGATTCATAACCAAGCCGGGACTTGCTATTGCTCTCTCCCTATGCTATCGTCAAACGCGGTCTTCACGACCGCGAGTCCACCTACGAACTGGTGTACTGTTTGGATAAAACGGATCCGATCACACGGTATCCTTTTGTAAATCTAAGCGATCATGAACACCCTTTTTGATTAGATACGGCCATATGTAGCCACGAACAAGAAGCGACTAGCAGCCAGCAAAAGGCTCCATAGACGGGGCCGGACAAGCACCCAATAAGTAGAGGGTCTGTCAGCCCTCAGAGGATTGAACACTAACGAGTCAATATCTACTAGATCCCTATAGGGGACAACATAACACCAAGGCCCAAGAGGTGGACCCATTCCCCAGATACAGATCCCCAGGCCCTTCACAGTGGTGGTCCATCCGGGAGAGTAAAAATGGTCGCCAGTTCAATTCAGTTCTAATTGGCGAAGTACCCCATGCGTTCGGCCACGGGCGATCCATTCAATTGTGGTTATTTCATAGGAGCAAGCCCTTCGTTTCAGTAACTCTTCTTTGGTCAGAATTCTCACTGTGTCCTTGGAGAAGAGATAGATAGCCACGGTGAATCTATCTTCACGTGGTCAGTTCCGATCAGGAATACTTCTAGCCACCAAAAAAGTATGTTGTAGGTAGGACTGGGACACGAGCGGGAAGGAGAGTGGGAAAGAGGGAAAGCTTTTTAGCCGACGGGCCACATTAGCACTTCACGGCGGGCGAAGAATAGAGGGGCTTCAGGGCAACCGTCCCAGCAGCTAATGACAAAAAAAAGAGAAAGCAAATACATACAACAGCAGGGATTCGCATGTGGTCACCCACCATACTACTAACCTGCCGGCGTTTGGCTTAAGTACGGCTGAGCGGACGGGAAGCCCTGTTCTCCACACCCTATGGTCGTATGTACTGGAAAATCTCCCACAGCATGTGATAAGGCTCACAACTCTGCTCATGGATATTTTACAATTAACAGAACCAAACAAAAAACGCGAATTTGCAGTTAAATTTCAGAGTGAAGCCATATAGCAAGTTGAAGAAGCAGAGCTATTTACTCACCTACGGGGTTTCTCAAGAGCTGCGTGTACCCTGCTTGCAAAACCAAAATCAAGCACCATCAACATCTTCAATGGATAATAATATGCAGCTCTCAAATACCGCAATAACTGCTGGAAAGGCCTCTGTCACTCAATTCAACTTCAAATTCCAGAATACGCGAACACCTGCCCATCATATTATCGCTCCTTGCAGTCTTGAAGTTTTGAGAACTAATGTAACCACTAAATACAGATGATGAATGTCGACATACTAGTAGTACAAAAATCTCCAAACAAGTACACAACCGAAAAAAAGCACAATGTCAAACTCAAGAGCCTAAGGGCCGGAATGAATGAAGGCTCCCCAAAACATAGGGTGAACACTCCTCTTTCTCATCTCCTTTACGGCATCATAAAGCGCATCCGGCGCAGTAGCCATATCGAACCCAGACGCAGATGTCGACGCAGAACCATTCAAACGCTCATAGAATAGCCCGGCCAGCTCTGCAGAGATACTATCCGAAACCTTCCACCATGTAGATATCACATGCGAAACACCCGCGATATGAAAACCACCTGCAATATGAATGCCTTCGTCTCGTAGCTTCGGATCTTTGCTTACGCCCGACTCACACGCAGATAGGTAGACGAGTTCACAGCTTCGCAGGTTCAGGTTGAGGAGTGTCCTCACGGAGAATGGAGGAGGCATCTTCTGATTATCTTGTAGCATGATGGCACTTCGGGAGGGGTCGCTTTCATCGGCGCGAGCGTGACAGGCAAAGTGGAGGATGGTGGTTTCAGGGTGGATGTTCTTCTTCATTGCTGTCGAGTCGGGTTGCATGAGAATGTTTGTTTCGAAGTTCGGCGAAAGCATATTTTCAATTGCGGTGGTCTCGGGCTGGACGTCTAGATTGCCGTCTGGGCCAAAACCGGGGGTTGTTGCCATGGCTATCACGAGCGCTTGCTGTTTGGGCTTTTGGCTTGGTTGTGATTTCTTGCGGATCTCTGTGACCTGTTTGATGAATGACAAAGACTTGAGGGAGTTTGTGTATGACGACACGGCGATGTCGTGGACGCATCTCGGTTCATTCTGCCTCCTTATACCCTCGGAAGTCGAATTTGAAGTCGTGAAATCCCCTGCTGCGTGGATTGGCAAGATGCTAATCCATCCAGTTGACACCCAGATGACTCTGGGCTTCCCTGAGGGACCGCACTTGTACTTGCTCCAGTCAATCCCGCTCAGCACTGGCTTTGCAGCTGTTTCCCAGAGCATTTTCATCACGATTTCGTATTCATATAGTGCTTGGGTATGATTTTCTGCGCTTCCAAAGTAATACAAAGCGGTTCTGAACCGCCTTATCGCGGGCATTATCTCCTCCTGACCGAAAGATGGGAGAGGTATGTGGCAGACTTCGTCTTTAGTAATCACAATAGCATCGCTTCGGTACTTGGTCGCGTTGATGAAGATAATGGGAGAATCTGTGGCGCAGGCTTGAATATCGGCCGGGGAATCTGGAATCTTCAGGAATGAGCTAAACCCAGGCAGAGTTCTGATTTCTTCAAGAACACGGCGATATGCATCTGCATCGTAATGGCTCTGCATTCGAGTTTCGTCATGCAACGAGACAGATGCCAAATCCATTCTATTCAGTTGACTAGAAGAACGAGACTTTTGAAAAACTCGTTGTTGCAATGTATTGAACTTTGCGGCCAGATCGGGATGTTCGGCTTCTAGAACTTCAAGCTGAGTTGGTCGACCTTGGATACGATCCCAGATAAAGGCCCGGCCTGTTTCTAGACGCTGGATCACGGTACTTGGAGAATCTCCCGCGCTGAGTGACAGAGACGCGACAACCCCAGGAACATACTGATGTCTTCGAATATATTGCAGCTGCTTCAGTCGAGTTTCGTGCATGAGGATTGCTTCCGGGAGCAGATCCAGACTTATGAGGATATTGTCTCGGGCTCTCACAGGGTCTTTCAGTTCATCATTTGCAATCTTAGCTGCTATGGACCCGGCACTGATGCGCGAAAATGCCGGAAAGACGTTCATGCGGGTAATACTTTCATACTTTTCCAGCGCCCGTCTTGCATCTTCTCTGAGTGAAGCATCAGCTCCCAGTTTCTGAGAGTACCTATCATAGATGAGACGAGCATAATTATGAACGGCCGTGGAATGGAAGGGGTCACTTTCTTCCAGTATGCTCAAGGCTTCAAGATATGCTTTCTCTCGTGCCTCATACACAGTCAGGTCACGAGTGGCACTAGCAAAGATTGAAAGAGCGACTCCTTTGTTGATTTCTCGCAGCCCGCGCTGAGAAGATGAACCAAAACTGCCTTGGATGGCTTTTGCCTTGTCATAATACTTGATGGCATCTTTTAGGTCGGATAGATCGCCAGTAACTTCGTATGCAACTTGATAAGTATCCGCCACATGCATGGTAAGGTCAGCTCTCTGTTCATTATTCAATGAGACTGGTCCCTCGAGTGCCGATATGACCAGCCGTCGAGCCTCTCGTAGGTCGTCCAAGTTCTTTTTGTGGCGAAAGCGCAGTGTCAATGCATAACACATATTCGCAGCCCGAATCCGAAACCGGGGGTTGCGGTTGTCAATCTGAGAAAGACTGATGCGATAGTATCGGATCGAAGATTCGATATCGGCATCGGATTGCCAATGACTGAATCGCTCAGACATCACAGATCCTAGTGCACCACTCACCATAAATATGTGAGAATGATTTTCATCTCCAGAGAGAGCCTCCAGTATCGACAATGCCTCCTTATAGGCATCAATGGCTTTCTGGAGTTGGTCCGGTTTCGCCTCATGCCGGAAGAGTTGGGTATACACATTCCCCAGATCGTTCAACACCAGGGCCTTCGACGCCTGATTGTCTTCCATTTGCTGACTTGCTTGCAAAAACGCTCCACGGATTTTGTGAAGCAGCTCGATTGATGGCATATTGTGATACATGCCATAAGACGCCTTTCCAACCATCCACAGAATATTCGCCTGCGCATTGGTGTCACCTGGCCGGCATTTGGACTGTCCCTCCGACGCTGCAGATAAGGAATCACTCAAATCCTGTATGCGGTGGAGGCGATCATATCTCAGAAGAAGAACCTGCGCAAGTAGACGGTAACAGTCCCACCGTTTCTCATAATTCTGGTCCTGGGTAGCCTTTTGCGCACATTCGATGGCTCGGTCGATGTCGTCCACTTCACCGCATGACTCAAACCGCGACCAATGTACCAAGGCGCAGTGGAAATAGACGAACCAAGGTCTGTAATAGCCATCCGATAGACTCACAGATTCCTCGGCAAGATCAACGGCTTGTTGTAGCATATTCAGGGCAAGGTTTTGAACGATGAATTTCTGCGAGCTGTCGCGATAGGATATGGCTAGGCTAACTCTGGCACCGATCAAGTTCGGATACGTCTCGAGGGCCTTTCTCCATATATCGCGAGCTTTTTTCTCGGGGTTGGGCTCGCCCGTCTTTTCTGCGATTACTTTTCTGGGTCCAGGCGAGTTCGTCCAAAAACTGCTCCCATTTTGAATTCCCGGGCTTTTCAAAGGTCATTGCTTTTTCCATCAATGCAAATGCCCTTTTACCATCATCATCTTGTTTGGTGATGCGAAATCGTGCTCTATAGGCCAAGGCAGCGTCGCGGTGAATTTGGCTGAAAGGATGGTGAGGCCAAGACGAACAACCTGGATGCGCATCGCAAACACTGATAGCTCGCTCGTGGATTTCGATGGATTCTGTCAACAGCTCCTCCGTCTCTGTTTCATCACCTCCAGAAACCTTCGCGTCATCGCCTTCGCATATAATTAAGTAAAGAATTTGGGCCTTGTTGGAAAGATGTCGCGCGCGAAGTGGCGTTTCCCCAGTGAGCTCAATAGCTTTGTTGAAGTACTTCATCGCTTCTTCCTTGTCAACTTCCTGCTTTATCTGCTTATAACGCTCGAAATGCATCATTGCGACATCGCAGGCCCATTCGCAGATGCAGTGATTGTAAATAAAGGCCAATAAGGTAAGAGTTGTAGGTCGAGGCCGCATTATTCAGCGGCATAAAACTTACTGGTCAAACCGTCGGGCAAAGTGATTCCGTGGGCCGACCTAATGTCGCATTGGAAGTTCAATCGAATGATCATCAGGTTCACGTAATATGGAATCGGGCTTAAAATTCACCGCTTTCAAGGTTGTTTGATCGACGATTGGGTGCAAATAAAATGGCATCGTATCCATTCAAGACTCTGGGATTGCCTCGTAGGTACCAATGGCTTTTCGCGGTTTACTGGATCCTCGCCCCTTTATTTCTATCCCCCTTGTGATTCTTTTGCTTTCTTTTTTCCCGTCGATGCGACTCACTTCCCCGTCAAGACGTAAAGCAGACTCTTCCACACGCCCTTTATTCATCCATCCTTTGGGGTTACTGTTTACTAGTCACCTACTTACTCTCTAAGGATCGGTCTCGCAGGTTACAATGCTGGTATGCCGGAAGATTCTTATATTACCATTCTGTCGATCTGTCCTTTTCGATGCTGACAAGAGATATATGCAGAGTCAAACTGGAAGTAAAGCTCCACAGGCAGCGCCCCCAGTTGATGAATCTGGCGAGTTCCGGCGTGCGCAAACCACTTTCCGAGACTCGATTTCCAGAAAGCCTGAAGCCAAGTTTCCACCAGAGAAGGGTCGCTATCACCTATACGTCTCATACGCATGTCCATGGGGTATGATCTTCATCTCATCTTGCCCCTGACTCCTGCTGATGAAGACGTACTTTCAGCTCATCGAGCCTTGATTACCCGCAAGCTCAAGGGATTGGAGGATGCTGTGACTTTCACATCCGTGCACTGGCACATGGATGAATCTGGTTCGTTTCTTGAGTTCTGCACTTCTTATTCCTAAATATACATCGCCAAATGTGCTTGGTGATGACAATTTCAAACCGATTCGGAATCTTCTTGTTCAACTAAATAGGCTGGCGCTTCGCAACGGCACAAGATAGGGTTTCCGGTGAGAACACTCTGCAGGACCCTACACACCCACAGTTCACACGTCTGCGCGATCTATATCTTTCTATTGATCCAGAATACAATGGTCGGGTATCTGTGTCGGTTCTCTACGATACAAAGACCAAGCAGATTGTGAACAACGAGGTCAATTTTTCTCCATTAGCCTTTCTCTGATTCTTATCGACTGACACTGCATTGGAAGCGCAACAGAGTGCGGAAATCATGCGCATGTTCTACTACGAATTCGACGATATTGTTTCCGAAGAACATCGCAACCTTGATCTTTTCCTCCCTCCTTACGCCAAGCAATCGATGGCGCCAATGAATGGATCTACAATGATTTGAACAATGGTGTGTACAAGGCTGGTTTCGCCACGACACAGGCAGCTTACGAGAAGGCCATGTGGGCACTCTTCTCATCGCTTGATCGTATTGAGATCCACCTCGCATACAAAGAGTCAGGGTCAACCCCATTCTTTTTTGGCTCAAACGTCACGGAGACTGACATCAGGCTCTACACAACCCTGATTCGGTTCGACCCAGTCTATGTTCAGCATTTCAAGACGAATATCCGTGATATTTGCTCGGGGTACCCGAGTATCCACCGCTGAATGCGTACCCTATACTGGGACATCCCAGCGTTCCGGGAGACGACCGAGTTTGAGCACATCAAAAAGCACTACACCAAGAGTCATCCCCAGCTCAATCAGTTCCAAATCACATCCCTTGGACCCCTGCCTGATATCCTACCAAAGGATGAGGAAGTCAGGTCCGTTGCCGCTGTTGCGGATTTGAGATGACCCATGACAATAGAAACGTACATGTTGAAATACTTTCCAATGTAATTCAATATGACTTTCTATCGCAATGTTCGAACACATTCTGTAAAAATTCAAACATCATCTAAAATGTTACCCAAGACACATTTGCATAGGGAAAACTGTTCTATCTTCCACAGAATTCCGTCGGCTCTTTGCCTTACGACTTGCTCAACAAGTAATAGTACATGCAACTTGGCGATGCCAAAGTGCCAAGTATTTGCGCTGCATTGTTATGAAGTCCCACTCACTCAAAAAACATTGTAACTGACACGCTCATCATTGATACGATCTACCTGACAAATGCACCATATCTCGTTGCCGCTGAACCACCTTCAATCACCGCCGTAGAGTCCGGGTGAATAACCAACTAAAATAGCCTCGAAAGTGAAATTCTACATCCACTGAGACAAAACCGGAAACCGGGTTCTTCATAATTCAGCCTCTTCCACCTTTGACCCTATATCCACTCGACTCGTGGATCCTCACTGTTTCAGTCCGTCTACGTGAAACATACCACTGAAACTTGGGTCATCGAAGAACTTCTGCCAGTTATATGTACAATTAATAGTATTTATAAGTAGGTGTTGGGGCGTTGGTCTTTAACATAAATAGATTATGAGCTTCCTTCCTGGAGAGTTTCTAATCCAGCCTTGCCATCCTTCCAATGTCCTAAGAAGGTTTGCCCTACCCGACAAAGTGTATCTGGTGTATCCTGAACAAAAATTCCAGGATGTATCTATATTTCTGCTGTGATTGGGTAGTGCACCTCACCATTCCTATAAGCATACACCAGGGAACCGTACATTAACACATGGTTGATAGCAACAGAAGTGGTATAAACATTGTATTCCACTAATTATATGTAGCCAATTACATATTTGCGATCCCGTGATCGTATTCTCATATACCCAAGTGTATCAACCACAGGCACTGGAAACAACACATTTATCCCTGAACAAATGAAGAAGCTTTAGACACAAAGAAATCTCTGCCCTTGATGAAAGACACCAAGAAGCCCCACAAGACCCAGCTGCCCATTTGACCAGTACCGCCAGACCTTCCCACCGGAACCATCGCTACGATCCTATCACTGGGTGTATAGCTGGTTCGTTGACCAATGCCGGTAATTTCCGATTTGATATTGGATACAACAACGGAGGCCTGTTCGGCGATTCTGTAACCATCACGGCGAGGGAAGGTGGTGACGTCTCCAACCGCGTAGATGGCACTGTTTCCATCCGCACCAACAGCTGCTCTGACACGTAGCTGATCATCAACGTCAACCCAACCATCCTTGTCAAGGAAGGCAGAAGGAATGAATCCGTTATTTGGAAGTAAACCCGTCGCGGCTACATACAGATCCGCGGTGAGAACCTCCCCCGTGTCCAAAATCACGGTCCATACGTTCGATCCCAAATTCTGCTCTGCTTTTTCAACCTTCCGTGATGCCAGCAATTTGACGCCTTTCTCCTTCAGAATCCTTTCCGCTGCTGCGCCCGCTGCGTCTTTCAATCTAGGAAGGAGATGCGGGGTTGCTGACACAAGTGTGATTGACGGTGAACTGTCGTTCTTGCCAAGTAAAGCGTCGGAAAGCTCGCCAGCAAGTTCAACGCCGACAGTACCACCTCCTCCAACTATGATGGTCCTTGCATTTTGAATAGCTTTTTGGGAGTTTTGAATTTGGGAATGGATGTCGCCTGAACCAATGGATTTGAATGGTACTATCGCACTCCCTTGTCCGATCGTGGCAGGCGATCACAAGGTAATCGTAGGAAATCGACTACGGTGAATTTGCAGATTGCTCTACAGTCACCGTTTTTATCTGTGGGTCAATCGTTGTGACAGTGCCCAGGACAAACTCAAATGAACTTTCCGGATATTTCTTGAAGGTGTCTTGAATCGGGTAGAAGTACTGATCGGCCGAGAAAGCATCGGGCTTTACCACCACTCGAGGCGCGGCGATATGGAAGTAATAATCCTTGTGGGGATTGACAAGAACAATCTTCGCAGTTGGTATATGTTTCAGTACACCATGGCTAACTTTTATCCCGGCAACCGCAGCTCCAATCACCACAACGGTGATCTCAGATACCATGATTAGGATATTGGCTACCCAGATTCAAAGTGAAGCGTCACAGGACTTGATTGTCCCAGAAGAACTGCTCGCGAAGCTCGCACACGAACTGCTCTTGATTCAATTATCCAGTATTTATAGTTCCTGAAGATATTGCGAGTTTGCCATTTGTAATCAGAAATATAGTTGCCAAGCATCACTATGCTGCATGCCAACAAGGTCCACTAAAACGAGATATAAAATGCTTGAAAGGTTATAATTTCCTTGCTATATTACACAGAGATTGTCGGGTTCCGTCTTGCCTTACCTTGTTGGCTTGCATGGTGTCGCTCATTTCGGAGTATCGGCACTTTATGTGTCCTCCATGAACGATTTGAAGCCTGTGCTTATTAATTGATTCTTTTTTTATTTTCTTTTTTTGACGAAAGTTGGGCGAAGGGGGGATTTCTTTCCTGCATGAGTGAAGTAAGCGATCGAGGAGGCTCTTACGCACAGCCGAAAATGTCGGCATCGGTGCTTCATATCGGCGACATTAAACACCGGGCGCCGATATCTCCATCAAAAACTTACTTTATTGGCCACATTGAGAGGAGGCCGCAAGATTCCTTTGTTCATGTCCCACAACGAGAGAAAAGTTCGTTAGGTAGGAAGTGAATTTTTCTGTTAACAGGAGATGGGTGGATTAACAAACAGTACTGTATGAAATAAGCTCTCCCCGCGATAAGCTCTAAACCCTTTATCCTCTTGCACGCTGATCCTCTAGAAAAGAGGGCCTGAGAAAGGCCCCTGTTTTAGAATGGTAGGTTATCCATCTCCTCTAATGTCCAGTATTTTCGCATTGAATCCGCCCCTAGAGTGCGCTCTTCATCATCCAAATGTGTCCATAAGACCTCTCCAAACCCATCCATAATTCGCTTCATCTCAGGAAGGCGCAATTCTGTCGTTCCAGAAAGACACTCTTTCAGGTAATCCTCGAGACGGCTCATTCCGGCGTGGATGTTGTCATGCTGCTGCAGGAGCTCTACTTCGTCGTGGAATTGCGGCATTTTTTGGGCGAGATAGGGGAATAGATACTGCTCCTCTATCGAGTGATGTTTGCCCAGCTGTGAGCAGAAGTCGAGACCCATCATGATAAACCGTCGGATTGAGAGACCAGCTGGTCGCTTATTGTTGGAGCATGCAGCATAGAGCTGACCCCAGGAGTGACGAAAGTGGTTGTGGTATGTCGCTGCTTGAAGCCGTTCCTCTGTCCCATCTACCATAAGGCAGGGGAAGAGATGGCCCGTGATGATTAGCGGGTGGTTGAATAAGGAGCGATCGACGGACGAAATTATTGCACAAAATGAGGGTAGTGAGAATCACAATGTACCTCCAGTACATTAAGTTGGCTGTGAACGATCCGTATATTGAATAGTAGCTGTGACTACTAATAAGACTTACCAAGTTTCTCATCCGCTCCCCCAAACGATTGTACCGCTTGAACTCAGTTGGCGACAGCTTAGGCAATGCGTCCCCAGTAGCACATTCCTGGCCAATCGCATTCCGATTGGCTCTGCCCCTCGGTGATGATGTTACTCCACGGGTGTGCATATTCTTCTTTGAAGATTGAAACATTCGAAGCTGTTGAACGAGTGAACTGCCGAGAAGCTGAGATGTACCGCATGGAACAAACGACAAATTCAGTGATGAATGAGATCCGATTCCAACGTGAGAGGCTCCAATTATTTAGCCTGTTAGTTGGCAGATAATTAGAGAGACGTAGAAACGCGGTGAAAGTTACTAATCTAGATCGGGGTTGGGTGGTGAAATTACTCCGTTACCGACGCTGAATAAGTGCCTCGGTGCTGAAGTGGCGTTAATCCCGAGGGTCCAGTAGCTTGTCACTGGTAGTTTTAGGCAACTCAAACACCTTGTTTTGCTGCTTTTTATCTTTCCTCGTCGGATTCGACTTCGTTGTGATACTGAAAACGGCGTTTGTGTCATCATACGGTGCACACTCTCCAGATGCTACCTATTCCTCTTGTGCTATGCGGCAAAGCTCCGCGGGTGGCAATCGCGGTCAGAGACGGCCTCAGGCCAACGTATGAAGGTACATTGGGCATTTTTCTACCACGTTTATACGCCAATTTATCGGTTCACAGCGATACATATTGTTACCTCTGTGGAGGCGGGGATAGCTGACATTCCATCTCTTCTACTTGGAAATCGGCCGCAAGTGACGGATCCAGACAATCTCGGCTCTCAACGCTACGGTCGCCAACCGCTGGCCGTCATAATCGGAGGTGGATACAGCGATGCGGACTTTGCAGCTATGCGAGAGTCATGTCACGGCATCAGCACTGTCCCTTGGCTGCGTCATGCGATAACGACTAGCCCTCCTCCAAACAGCTCAAAGCCAATTCTTGGTCCCGAATACGGCAAGGAGATCGCCGAGAGAGTGACGCGTTGTTTACGAGATCTGGCCGATGATGGCAAGTTGAACAGTGACGGGGTGTACTATTTTTAAGTTCTCCATAAGAACGCATCGAGGACGTATACGTTAGGAAAAGGCCCCTATACTAATATATATATCAATCACAACACCATGCATTTCTTTCGCAAATCAGAGATCAAGTAGATGAACTTATATCGCATCCATCTATGTCATCGCTCTTCGTCATTATAAATATAATATTTTCTTGAGTGTAACAAATAATGTGGTAACATGCCAGAATGCAAAACTTAAACAGACTCGCTTACTATCATTACATTTGGAGTGAGGTGGCCAATTCACGGAAGCAACATAACCACGTACTAGCATTCGTCCCTATGACGACGTGGATGGAATTTTTCGTGGTGATGCAGCCGACTGCAACTACACCATCAGACGCGGCTTCACAAGCTGCGCTAAGCTATCAAAAAAGCCCTTGCGATTTATTGCTCTTTGAACGCTTTTTTGGTGGGCTTTTTGGCATGCCAGAGGTAAAATGATGTTACACAAAGGAAAAGCAATCAAAATCAAGAGAATAATGTAATTCGAAATAATCATTTATTGTTTATTGTCAAGACATTTGAATCCAAATCCTTTCAACACAAGTATAACTAACTTATTTCCAAGCGGAGACATTCTTCTTGACAAATTCTTCCCAAGTGGTAGGCTTAGAATCAAGAAGTTTCAGGCTTGGCTCAAGGGGCTCTCCCAGGTAATAACCGGGCTCCTCCACGAACAGCTGGTTCTCAAGATATTCATCTGCGACAGCAGGGGGAAGGGAAGCCTTGTACTGCTCAGCAGAAACCTGAACGAAGGAGGCCTTCTTGCCGGTAACACGAGAGAAGGTATCCACGATCTCCTGAGGGGTGTAGTACGCAGCAGCGGCCATAACCTGCTTGTTCTTCAGCTTACCAGCGTGCTTGAGGGCGACCTTGACAAAAAGGCCTAGGGAGGATCGGTTAGTCCTTTGCCGAGAGGAGATGGACGAGCAGAGAATGACATACCGGTATCCTGGGCGGCATCGAAGAGGGGGAACTTGGCGTTGTTACCAACAGGGTAGTAGAGTGTGTAGGAACCATCGTCGGAGCGGGCCAGCATCTGTGTGTAGTTGCTCATGTAGTAACCAGGAAGAACGAAGCTGCATCCAACTCCGGAGGCACGAATGTACTTCTCCACATTGGCCTTGCTGTCGAAATGGGGAACCTTGGTGAGGCGGCCCTTGGTCTCCTCCTTGACGTGGTGAAGGGAGGAGAAGATCAAGTGGGAGACACCAACGGCCTTGGAGACGTCGGCCACATTTTTGCCCTGGGAGTACTCAATGTCGGCATTCATGGTCTCCCAGTAGTTGGTGACGAGGAAGACGGTGTGGGAGCCCTTCAGGGCCTCAGTAAGGGACTCGAGAGAGCTAAGGTCGGCCTGGATGACCGGAGAGGGACAACGGTCAGCATATTGCTTTGATCTAAAGGGCATCACCGGAGCCGTTGCTCGCGACATGCGGAGATAGGGAGGCCACGGGAAATCCTTACGCTGACCACCTCGACGCCACGCTTGGCGAGGTCCTGGGCAGACTTCTTGGTGGTGTCGCGGGTGATGCCACGGATCTTGAATTCCTTAGAGAGCTGGGAATCCGCGAGGATGGCCTCGATGACGGACCCACCCTGGTTGCCGGTGGCACCGAAGACAGTGATGAGCTTGGACATGTTTTCGGGGGGCGGGGAGTTTTGGAAGATTGAGTGTTTTGGGCAATTGAGGGATATGAGAAGAAGCAGAAGCAAGTTAATGATGCTAATCTGTGACTTTGGATTGATGAGGCCGAAGGGAATGGGTTCAAGCGGCCTTTATTAGCGCCCGATTCCTCATTGAAAATGAACTCGGGCTTCCATTATGCTATATTTTGCTCTTACTGCTATGACTTGGTCCATGAGTAATCTCGGCGTCAACGGGAGGCCGATTGCCACTTCGGCGAGGGTCGGCCACCGAGCATACTTGGGCTCCCCACACGCGGCTTGGGCCAACTTGATAGGTCACATTCCGGCCAATGATTGACAGCCAATCGACGCCAGAACGGCAGTTCCCTTTGGATCAGCACGTGATCTTAGGCCGGGAGATCACGTCACGTGCGCGGGCTAATGTTGTTGAGGGTTGTTTCGACTGGTCCACAAGGGCGAGTGGGCATTACGTACTCATGTGTATTCATGACTATACAAAACTGGGTATCCGTACACGCTGAAGTAAGTCTTCATGTACTGGAATAGGGGTGATCAATTTTGGCACAGGTTCACAATTCACTTTAAACCCCACTGGGATAGGTCCATGTTGGACAACACATCTCTGAAAATATCCAGACCACTGGTTTTTTCAAGGGCTACTGACGTCAAATAATCATCCTCGAGGTTTGGAGGCAAATCCACATTGTTTGAGCTCGGTGGATTGGATTCGAGCTGAGATGTCAGTGCGGGGGCCTGTAGCTGGTCCCGAATCGAAGCAGCACGATTCATCAGACGTTCCAAAATTCGCATGACCAGACCCTCCTTTTGATAATCTGGCTGTTTCCATCGCTCGAAAACTTTCATCACGGCTGCCCATGCACGATCAGACAAAGGAGAGGTCGGACGTGCACAAAGCTCGGACAGAACAAAAGCAAACGATTGCCACTGCGCATGCCCTTGAAAGAGCCAACTCCATTGCTTTGTGTTTAAGTGAGTTTCCATCAGGTAGGCGAATTCGAGGACTTCAATAGCAGTTCTGACAAGTATATCACACTGGTCGGGCAACAAGTTGGAATCAAACCCCGGGGAATTCAGCAGCGAGAAATGAGAGATGAGCCACAATCGTGAAACGGCAACCCGTGCAATGGTTGCAACCACCCATTGGATAGGAATTTGGACGTCGCAATATTGGAGATAATGTAGATCAAGTCTCTTCCGAAGCTCGTCGATTGCCAGCTTGCGATTTTTGAAAAGGATTGCATGGTCATCCCCGGTCGAGTTTTTCATTTGCATGAGCCTGCAATGGGCCATCAAAATCTGGCAGCGGACTAAAGTAAGGGTCATTTCTGTAAAGCCGGTCCGTTCTTGCGGAGGCACTTCCAGCTCAGATGACCAATCGCTATCGTTGAGATTCAATGGCAGCTTTGTATCGCAATCGCTTTCCCGGATCTGGGGGCTCGTCGCCTGATATTCAGATGCTTGAATATCTAACAAATAAATATACCACCAGAGCCGCCGGCGCATTTCCGTCTCGAAGGGACTCAGCCCAAACTGACTGCCATCGCGATGGAGCCCCAGGCCTAGGCCAAGCCGAGTGATTAAGCCTATCATTGTCCAGACAAATTTCCCATTCTTGGGGTGACAAGCGCACGTCAAAAAGAGGACGGCCGCTTGCAAAACTATAAGCTTCTGGGTGTGAAGAAAACCGGCGCGCGACAGCGTCTGCTCAACAGCGAAGCGATATCGTTGGACCAGGGCGGCGTGGTCTTCTGAGAAGTACGTAAGGCATTGTTCTCGCGTTATGCTAGACACGGCGGCAAAATAGATGGCAAACGTCAAAGCCTCAGAGCCTCGGTCAAGCTGTTCTGGATCCATGCATGCCGTGTGAATGAGGCTTCTCAACACCGGCTTATGAACAATCTGAACTAATGGGGCAATATTTTGTTCGAAAATACCCAAAAGGGCATATGCACAGGTCGGAGTCGGGTGGTAGCTTCGCAAGGAATGAGCCTGAGCATAGTATCCAAATATGAACAGACTATTGCTGTCGAAAGATGGAGTCAAAGTAGGCGATGAAGGGTGCTCGTCTGATGAGAGGGACGGATTGGGCGAGGGAGCAGATTCAAAAAGGTCATTGAGTTCTCTTTGATCTTACAGTTGTATACACGCTCAGTAAGCTTCTTGTATGGCCAGGTTTATTCGCAAATCGAAAGCAAAACAGAAAGGCCAGAGCGACTTACCTGACTACCTAGATCTGTCAGAACGTCATTATTAACATACTGGGATTGTCCGCTGTTTCGATCTACGAATAGCTGGCCGAATTGACGTGTCAGGGTATTTGTCGCTGATGGTGAACTGGTGGCACCGAGCTCCTCATTATGAGTCTCAGTTTCCATCTCTGCATTGCACCTTCGAGAATCTAGAAAATGAGGCCTCCGGGGCGGTGATTCTAAATTGCGGCTACTACCTGGGCTCTGCTGAGCGACCAGTCTCTCCTGGTCGGGTTTTGAAGCGACGAAGAGAGCATTTGATGCGCTGAGCTTGTCGACTTGTCGTTCCAAGAAGCTCAATCGAGAAGACAGATCGGCTTTTTTTGGCTTTTTCGTCATATTTCAGGGCTTGCGACCAGGTGGCGGGAATGTGCACTCAACCCCAAGCCGAACGCAGTTCTCGCAGGGGGATACTTTGCTGCATTTGACCTTTCTTCGATGACAGTCATAACAACTACGAAGGGGGAAAACAGAACCATCTCCGTATAATGTTTGCGGATCAAGAATTTCGTCATGTTCTTTGTCAGGATGAGGAATCGATGTACTGGCTAGTACTGAAGATGTCCAAACAGAATAAGATGATTGATTGAAGGTTCCTCCGATCGGTTGAGCGATCTCAGGGGTCTTTATAGTTGAACTATGGCTTGTTATGACACCATACTAGGTGGAAATTGGGTGAACGATGAATAAGCCAATCCCGAAGGGTCCTAGTGGTATTTGACCACCCCCTCAGTTTGTCATTCTTCAACCATGTCGGCGAGTGGCTTGGGGAGGAAAAGAGGGTTAAGAGGGTTGAAGTTTGAGGATGGTTAGAACCGCGGCAGAAAATCCTCTCGGCAACTGCCCCACACTGTCCCGTTGCGTGCCCAAGCACCATTCTAGATGGCTGGAAGGTCACGACGTATTCGAATTGTCACTACTTTGGTACTGGGTCCGGAGTACTGAACCCCACCGGGCTACCAAGCCCCTGGTCCCCTTCTTCCAGCGGCTTTTTTTTGGAAAATATAGATAGTGTGGGGACGGGTGAATGCAATAGCGTTATTTGATATATTAATTAAATGTAGGCCAGCTCGTGTTTGATTTTCTAGTATCACAATAACGCAATCTCTGTCCACTCCCCAGCGGTATAGCGATTCTTCGACTTACATATCGAAGCACTGCCAGTCGAGAGTGAGACAAGAAGTGATTCAACTTAGCGACAAGGACCAAGAGTAGAAGCCAGTTTCTTCAGTACATTCTCGCAATTACTTTTGTTTATGGATCTGTGACTGGACCATCGGTGTCTAGTAAATCCACGGTAGTAGGTGTTAACGAACACGGGCTTTGATAGCCTTCCAAGGCTCCCTGTACTAGAATTTCAAAAGTTAGCAAGCGACAGTCTATGGGGTGGTTGTTTCGATAACGGGGAAAAAGCCTGCTCTCGCAGTGCAATACTGGTCGAGAACTGAAATCCCACCTGTCACAAAATCATAGAAGAGAAATGAGAATGTGAAGAGATTCCCCGGCCAGCCTCCGGTTGCCAACGCAAAGCCACCACGCCACAGTATACGCAGTTATATGCACCGTAGTTGGTTTTGGTTGCGAGCGAGAATAATCAGTCGCCATATGGCTTTCTTTTGTTGACAGAATTGGATTCTTCGTGAATCTTTGTTGCTGGAGCTCGGAAATGATCTCAGTGAGAATGCCAACGAAGTAAGCCAAAATGCCCACGACCAAGGACACCTTGGACAAAACTCCGAGCCAATCTTCAGACGCAGGGGCTGTGATGTCGCAGAATAAATACCAAAGAGGATTCGTTGAGTTGAAAACGGTATTGAAGAATCCGATGCCAATCCCAATCCAGCCGACAGCTCCTTTTCCGAAATAATGCATCGCCTGTTTACGCCACCGCCAAGGGAAATTGCCACGAGAATCTGGTAGTAGGGCCGGAGCTGTCCATTGAGAGCAACCGTCACGGGTAAGGGTGTGCTGTTGAATCGGGAAATAAGCCGAGAGGCCCGGCCGCCATGAAGAAAGGTGTATTGTCAAAGTGCATCTGCCAGGCAAAGCCCAATAAAGATGGATTTTCCAACGAGAGATATGGCTTTGACACGCAATATTATCGTGTAATTCCTTGTCGTTCGCCATTGTGGATGACGGATGAGGACTGAGTTGGAAGATAGACTGTTGGACGGAAGATTCACATATTATGTAAAGGGCTCTACCAGCAATGAAGGTCACTAAAAATTCACTTTCAGAATAACATGTAGCTAACTCAGCCAAACCCCAGGCGTTTCACAGAAGACGTCGGCTTCGTGGTTTCTTGGGGCACGGTGCTTGGCAAAGCACTTAAGACTTTGATTACTGTAGTGCCGCTCGGTCATAAAATTGATGCCAAGCACCGACCGCTTGATAATCTTCATTTCCAATTTTCTCGCATCATGTGCTACACCGTACGGAATCTTCCGTCTCATGTCTCTTGAGTGCACCCGAACATAAGTTTTATTCATATGTGCATAAACATCGCACGTAAGTACATAAAAAAATTAATTGCCCTGGCGAGTGTGGCAATGATTTCTGGTATAATCACGGGCGATCGACGATCATGCCTTAAGCCGTTTCTCAAATCGATCCCATTTCTGGATGGCCTTGGCTCTTTGCGCATGCGAATATGCCTGTACTTCCTCTGAACCTTGCCAAATCCGTGCTCGGATGATCTTTCTCTCTACGACCTTGCCCAGAGATTTGAGGAGCTTCCTGCGCAGGCCCCCCAAGGATACCCTACCAACCCATATACGCCTAGTCTCCTCGTTAGGATATCATAACTATATGTGAGAACAGCAAGGGGATTGATGTTTATTTAAATGTATCGGCGATGGGCTTTAATACAAGCCTACCCATACTTTTCCTTAACCTTTTTGCTAAATCCTTGCCACCGCCTGATTTCATAACATCCCTGGGCTAGCTGACCAAAGCCGTGATGCCGTGATACAAGGCGCCCGTAAATCCCTAAAAGATGTCAGGATAAATGCGACCGAGGCTGAGAAACAGGGTGATGAAAATACAAACGCGCACGAGAAAGGGAAAGGGCCAAACTGAATAGAGAGGACACTCACGGTTCTGGCAGCCTTCAACCTACTTCCAAAAGCAGTCACTCTTGGTTTATGTGGAACCGTATCGTCATGATATAGCCTTGGGGCAATGCAAACCACTTTGGCCAGGGTGAGGGTGATATCCGATTTCTTCCCTTCCACCACTGGCCAACCTATCTTGCCCTATTTCTTTTTTGAACTCCGAGACCTTTCCTCCTTGACTTCGAATTTGCATGCAACTCCACAAATTCTGATTTCTTTTCCCTTACCAATCAATGGCTTCCAATGTTGTCGTAATTGGGTCATACAGTACTCTGTGCGAGCAAAACGTCGACGACTATATTTGCGAATGGCTCTTATTTGCCTGATCATTCTGGTGCTCGGCGTGCAGAGATGACCATCCATTTTTGAGGGCAGGTTCTGTTTACTCCTGCATGCCTGTCGGCCTGGCATTAATGGATATCGAGAATTGCTAGAAGCGAAAAACAATATAGCACCAAGACTCTCCTCTTTTGCACTTCCCTTGATATAGGACGCAACTGACGCGACGTATAGAGAATTAAAGACACCCGCAAAATCTCCACTTTCAACATCCGCTCTCAAACCTTGGTCACTGATTCTAGCCGATGTTCAGGCTTTCAATGTATCCCATTTTAATGATGAGACCACGCCACCGTCCACGAGGATGTCATTGCCTGTTATAAACGATGACTCTGCACTAGCCAAGAATGACACAGCATTTACAATGTCCTGCGGCGTTCCAACGCGACCAACAGGGCTGAGAGTGATAAATTTCCCAGCTGGGCCATTGATTTCCTGGCGCCCCGAGCTTGTAGAGATGACTCCAGGACTAACAGAATTGACTCTCCCTCCAACGTTACCCCATGCTTTAGCTGAAGCCTGGACGCGTAGAACGTTTCCGCGTTTTGACAGACCGTAGGCCCGTGCGGGACCATGAGGATCGGCCCCGTCAATCTTTAAAGCGGCGTGATCTAACAATTGATTTCTAGGCGCTGTCGCGAGATGACACTCTAGCTCCGAGGGCAAGACTGACCCCATATGACCGGCCATACTCGCGATGCAGACCATGCTCGTTCCAGATTGCGCCACTTCTAGGAAAGCATCAAGAGCATTGGCAGTGCCGAGAAGATCTACTTCAAGGATCTTTTGCGCATAACCTGCGGACGGGGACAAGCCGGCTGTATGGATAACTGCTTCGATGGGTCCATGTGATGCAGCGGCCTGTGCAAAGCGGCTGACAGAATCATAGTTCGACACATCCACCTGGCTTATTTCAACCATGTAACCATCGTTTGTTAAGGATTGCTGGGCCGCAGAGAGAATTTCATTTGAGAAATCGGCAACAAATATTCTTCGACCAACACCAAGGCGGCGAGCTATAGGCAAACCCATACCTCCGCATCCAAGAATTGCAATGCTTTTGGTGGACATAATGAAGAATAGCTTTGTATTTCGAGGAGATCTTGCAGATAAGTAGGTTGAATAGGAACGCGATGCTTCGGTAGATGGGATTTCATCTAGCTTTATATGAAAGAGCTTGTCGCGAACTCGGAAAAATGTCAACCCTGGAAAGAACACCGAATTTGCTGGCACAGCCTAAAACAGCTAACTGATTCTGTAAAGACGAGTGGACCCTTTGACTGGCAATAAAATTTCTTCGTGGGTCCTATCGTGCCGATCCTCGACCTGAATCCGAATCCGAATACGAGTCCAAATCCCCAGCTGGAGGATGTATAATTAGTCCCCACCTCTATCGTACACTGAGTAAACTGGCTACCTTAAATGCAAAACTTTTGTTCTGCTTGACATCAGCCTGACTACGAACCCGAGTCCGAACCCGAATCCACATCGACATCGAAAAATGTGGGCTCGCCGTGGCGCCACCAGAGTGATACCGCATTCTGGTATCTGTTACCCGTCTGCCTAGCCGTTTTGTATGGTGAAACCAGGTATAAAAACCCGGCCCTCGTTCTCCCAGTTTCTAGAACGAGACAAATCTTGTTTTCCATTTCTCGCTACGACTGCGGTTGTCCAACCAAAAAAGCTCATCTCTTTATCCACCTATTGTATAGCAAGAGATTCGAATATCTCTTTACGAATTCCTTTCAACTTCAGCATTGAAGGCTTTTATCAAAGGAAATCATCCTTCGTTTCTTTTTTTACGCTTCCTCCTCTTTCACCAGGATGGCCACTCCTCCCGGATCCGAATCCAAGCCTCCCATGAGAGGGGGGCCTCGATGTTTCTACGACATTGAACTATATGATACCGCCTGATCGTGAAGGGTTAAACCAATCGACTCCGATCTACCAGAGGAGGAACGGCGCAATGCTCAACGCGAGGGTATCACGGATATAAGAGACGTTGCGATCAAAGATATTCGCGGCAAAGAACACGAATTCACTTTGGATGTTCAAGGCTTCCAATTTGTTAAACACCAAGTAGATGGGGTTACAGATTGGATGGACCGAACTCAAGTGAAACAAATCGTTCAACCTGCAACGGAGGATCTAATCAAGCGACTGTAAGTGCCACGCCTTATTTAGTAAAAAACAATACTCATCGCATTCCGTTTTCTGACCATGTTTTATAGGACGCACGATCTCTCACCCGGAACGGACTCACACCGTTCGAACACTTCCACCCAGCGCCCCCGGACGAACGATCGTGGGGCCCCAAATTGAGCGGCCAGGTCATTCAGAGAAAGATCGACTTCGAAGCTGGTGCGTCGACTATTCCGGCTGGTATCCCGATGGATATCGGGGCCTTGTATCGGTACAGTAATAAGAATGGCTTCGGGGCAATCCTTATGACCGAAAGTCCGGTGCTTAAAGATATGGTGTATGGCGCGACGGCATTTCGTCTCTGGTGCTAGGAGAACTCGGAGACGATCTTGCGAAAATGGCCTGATGTGAGAGACAACGGCCTGATCATTGTCACGTCGACCCATCGGACTCGCTTAGCGATGATGAACGCCTGGGCGGAACAAGAGAAGGAGATTTCGGTTGGATTCCGTGCTGGCGTCAGTGAGATTGGCGAAGTTGCTCCCTCATCGACTTGGTATATATCGCATGGAGAGGCAGGATGGGTCTCGACCGAGGCGAGCGAGCCGGATGATAGGAAGGTGGTCTTCTTTGCGGGCTTATATTTTAGGTATCGCCGGTTGGCGGCGATTCTGCCCCCGGCACATGCATTTAGGTCCGAGTCCGTGGAAAAGGCGAGATTTCGCGACGTTGACCCAGAAGCGAAAGAGTTCCGAGTTGTTGAGAAAGACGGTGATACTTCCTATGAGATGGTAGTTACCCGCGGAGGAGTGCGGTGAGACGGCGAATCTGCCGGAGGATGAAGATGACGATTTTTGATATCTCCTCGCAACTACACATTCCAATACAGTTTCAATCAAAGAATAATTGATCAGTCGAACACTCCAGTTCCATTCAACGCCTCGTAAACCTATCAAGACAAGCTGGCAAAGCAAAAAGAAAAAGAAAAGAAACGAAACGAACAATATCTGTGCAAGTGGCGTAACTTCGTAAAGCAAGCAAACTATAACCAACAAATAAGTCCGTCTATATAAGGCAAAGAGGACCGGATCAGCACTTCGAGGAAAGACGTAATAATGCGAGTGATGAGACTGGCCAGACAAGACAAGCCTAGACAGGGCAGTGGTGTATGCATGCATCCCAGTCTAATTAGCAGCTCTCAAAGCCCTCAGCCTCGCCCCAAGCCCATCCTCCACCTCCGCATCCGGCTTCACGGCCTGCTGATGCGCCTGCTCCTTCACCTCATTCTCCGGCGCCTTATCAGCCTCCAACGCAAGCCGCATATCAACCCCGGCGTCATCTGCAAGCTGCTCCATCATCCGATCAACCTCCGTTTCGCCCTCCGCCCCGTATTCCTGCATACTGACACCAGCCGCGACGTCCTCGATGGCGCTGGATGCAATCTTGAAGTCTTCGCTCCGCGCAAGGAAATTGTTCGCGTGCGAGACGAGGTGTTCGAGATTCACGCTTTTGCTGGCGGCATCCAGGCCGCGGGAGGCGAGGGCGAGGGTGCGTGAGGTGTCGCGGGTTGACTGGGCAGCTTTCAGCTCGTTGATGATCACGTCTGCGCGCGCGGCTTCGGATTTCAGCGTTACTTGGCGCCGTTTTTCGCGGACGGCGGAGGCGGCGTGGATGCGGGCGATTTGGAATTCGCGGGCTTTCATCGCCCGGTCGGCTTTGGCCTTTTCGGATTTGAAGGTTGCTTCGGCCCGGGCGGCCTCTTTCTTGAGACGGTTGGAGTGGAGCTGAGATTGGGGTTGTTAGTTTTACTATTGCCTATGGTGGGTGTTTGTATGGGTGGAGGTGGACACTCGGCGGGGAGTGAGGGGAGGCGAAGGGCTCACTTTGACATTCGTGCGGGCTTCGAAGATGGGATCTTTGCGGACCATGGTGGGCGGTTTGCGCGTAGCTGTGGATGGAGGGCGTCAAGGGAGTGTGCAAGAGGAGTGCGCGGAGTGTGTAAAAGGTCAAGTCGGGGTGGTGGCGAACATCGACCGCATTCGGTGGTTAGCGCCGATTCGGGCAATTTGTAGCAGCGGCAGCCTAACAAGGACATGAAGTATAAATGGACATATAGATCTCGTCGGAACTATATATCGGTACCTTACTGTCGAGATACTGGACATAAAATGCTGATACAGTTGTCTAATAGGAAGTGTGGTTCATCGATAATGCCCTTACTCTAGGTATATCGTCTACGTCTATACAGTCTACACTACTTGCAAGTCCAATCAATTATAGAAACGAGCCAGTCAATTTCTTGGGAAGCCGAAAAAGCTGAATACTGTAGTGTACATTAACCCAGTTGCTTGCCTAAGCGAGACAGTGTCTCGGGGGAACGCCAGGAACTCCGTGTCCGAACCATCTTTCCGTAACTGCGTCGCCGGCCGGATGTGTGATTGGAAATCCGCTGTCGGCGGCTGAGCCTTTCAATCGCCCACGCCATGGTCAACAACGACTCCCACCGCGGTCGGCCCTCCGGGGCGTCGGCCGACCGGGTCTGCGGAGAGAACTGCTCGCTAACCGCTAGCTGCAATGCTCTGCCCGTCGCATCGCGAAGTGGACGCGCCAAGGCTGGGCTGCACGCTAGCAGGCGGGCAAGCAGTCTCATCCGAAAGACCGGCCGGGTCGACACCTTCGAGGGCGACAGACTCGGGGTCGAAATCAACCAATGAATCAAAGGGAAAAGCTGAAAGGTCTCCTCCGTCGAGAGCGCCAAAGGCAAACCCGTCTTCAGGGAATGAAGGATTTGACTCAGCGGATGAATCACCGTGGAAGAGGCGGCGGAAATCATCGTCAGAAAGAGGAGCTGCAACGTCATTTGCAGTGTGAGACTCGCCCGCGAGGTCGAAGAGAGGGAGGGCGTGGCCTCCACTGCCTTCGAGGCTACCGACGGACACTGCAGGTCACACAACACCGCTGCAGGATGTTGTGTCGCGTCGGAAGCCTCAGCCAGCGTGGAGGGCTTGAGAGTCGGGGAGTAGTCGAGGGCCGAGGTGGCGGGGGTGGGGAAGGGAATGCGCTCCATGGGGAGTTCCTCGCCTTCCTGCTTGAAGAGAGTGGGTGTGAGCGTCGGAGATTCGGTGATGGGGGCCGGCGAGGCGGCCTTATTGGAGATGGGCGTGGTGCTGCGAGAGCCCCGGACGGAACCCCGGACTTCGGCGGACAGCTGGGCGACCTGTTGGGCCAGGCGGCTGTTCTCAACCTCCATCTGGGTGAGACGTTGCAGGAGGAACTGGTTCTGCTCCTCCATGCGGATCTTCTCGGTCTCGAGTTTCTCCATCTCTAGTCGCTTCCGCTCACGGGATGTTTGTGCGGCGGCGCGATTCCGGAGAACGCGCTCGATGCGGCGTTGCTCCTTCTCGTCATCTGTCTTGGCTCGTTTTCTGCATGGGTCAGGGTCAGTCGTCGTCCACCATAAACAAATACCAGCGCTGTCGAACATACCGTGGAGGGAGGTTGGTCTTGGGGGTGGGGAGTTCTTGACCCCAGGACTTGCGTTTCTTTGCTGGCTTCTTGTCGTCTTCCTCCTTGATCAGCTCCGGCTCCGGAGAGTCCAGTGAGGTGTCTGCGGGAGACACTGTCAACGGCAACTCCGGAGAGGGCGAGGCAGGGAGATCCATCGGGTTCATGGTGTCAGTCATGATGCCGGTGCCGTGTGGAGGAGATCAGGGAGATCAAGTCGGGGTTATCACGGTCGGACCATGAGTCAGCAAGTTGGCAGTCCTGTGAGTCACTCCAAAATAGAAGAGGCCAGGTGGTCTGATGGGAAGGACGGAAGCGGGCGTGGCGGATGTTTAAGTAGAGGCCAGGTGGCAGGAGCACCGCTGAGCCAGGGGGGGCCAAGGAGGGCCAAGGAGGGCAGGGGGGACTCCACCCATGTGCCCTGTCTCGCCCTCGGGCTGGCTGCCACTCACCTCACCACTTCCCACTCTTCCGCCCTCTTCCAAGGCGCATGTGGACCCCGTTTCAGCGCTCAGCCTCAGCCTCAGCTATGAATAGCAGTCCTCAAGGCCCCCTATTCGCAGCGATCGACTCCAGGACGTTGCCCACAATACACTTCTGTTGGCCTCGCACTCCACGCCAGATCCAGTCAACACTGTACGTACAGTCTGCAAGGCCACCATCATGACCCGGAGCATTCGCGATACATGGTACACATCATGGCGCAAATACGACGCATCATTGTCCCACCTCCACCCTTCCACATCCACGCCCAGAACCAAGTGGACCCACGGAAGAATGCCCCGGTCTATGTTCCCCCGTCCATTCAGGAGTCGTCGCCCCTGGAATGCAACTCCTGAAGGGGGTTCATTTCACAAGCGCAGCGCTACCCTCACCCACACTGCTGTACAGTGTACAGTACGACTGTTGACTGCTCTACAGTAGTACACAGGTACATACAAAATTCCACCGAAGCCCATCGAAGCCCAAGGTGAAACCGCCCCGCCCGATCGCTGGATCAGATCACTACGAGGATTGTCCCGCGTCCCCTGAACATCATCCACCCTACACTTTATTCATACATTGCTTTGTCGTGATCGATACTCGGTTTATCCCCTCTCCACTACCCACTTGGCCGTCCAGACCTGTACACTGCATTGCCTGCGCTCTGTCCGGAGGAGAGTGGCGCTTGGTCCGGCCCACCGGGGACTCGGTGGATGGGATTGGAATGGACTGGACTGGGCCATGCAGGGGCCGCGTCTGCGCCCGCCACCGGAGTCCGCGAGCCCGTCCGCGTTGCGCACGACACTGTCGCACCGAATAGAATGATTGCAAGCCGGCATATGCCCCGTGCCCCCATGATCTGACGAACTGGCCCGTCACTAGGCCCAGTCGAGTATAAAGTCGTGCCTAGCCAGGTCTACAGTTGCAATTGACGGCTCATCAACTGTGGGGAGATCCATCCACCTGGGTCAGGAGTCAAGTTGAAACCGCTCAAGAATAAGGGGCGACGTTCTAGAAACCAAATCTCCCGATGCCGTGCTGGCCGGGAAATTTGACAGTCGGCCGGAGTAATTAGAAGAGATTAACCCTATGTTAATATTGAGACACTCCTGCAACCTCGCAACTTTAACGCTTGTTTCGACGATGTTTGATCGGCGCGGAGCTGTCATTGCCAGATAATTCAGGCAGAAATTCCCCTGAAGATCCAAGCAATGCAATGCAACGACATACATACATTGGTCTGTCAGGAATGAGGTACTTTTGTTTCCCCTGCATAGACTGCATGGGTAGTGCCTTTCTAATGAGATCTCACGGCAGATTGAGGATTAGCCTAGGATATTTGCTGACTTCTTGGTAGTAAAGGCATCCTCGTAACATGTACATACTTCGAAGTTTCTGAATAATGGAGCCAAATTTTTTTTTTTCTTTCAAAAAGCCCAATGTCTAATATCGAGAAACTCGAGGATTATCTGAGGATTATCTGCTTTTCGTGAAAATTCCTCCCAGCGTTCAAAAGACAATCTCATGAAACAACGCCCGCATGAGCATCCCAGGTGCATGTCCATTGCCAAAACTCCAAATTACGAACCGTGGCCCATGTCTATTTCCACAGACTTGTTCAAGTCCGGCGACGCACTAAATCAAAGTCAAAAAGAGAAATAATCGCGCTCGGGGAATATTTACTGATTGCAATGGAAGTTCCATAGACCATGCCCACGTTGTGTACTCGGGTTGTCGAAATTGTCCATTCCAGCATCAGCAAAAATATCGAAAATGAAAAAAAAAGTATCACCATGGAGGGGGAATCAAACTCGAAACGCCAAGCAACCGTGAAATTCCAAAGAGTGACCAAAAGGTTAGCGCCAGAAGAGCAAAGTAACCGCAAAGGAAACCTCCAAGGAGAGACCAAGGGTGGGGAGTTCAGAAGCGAAAGCAGATGGTGGGCAAAAGGCAGATAGCAAATGGTAATTCCCCTCCAGGCCGAGTATCAGGTTCCAAACTAAGTATTTAAGCAATAAAGGCCCAAACACTACATCCAGAACTTCAACCCCGCAAAAAAAAAACAATTTCGTGGGAGCGGTTTAAACCTCCTCCTCGTCATCGTCAGCGTCATTGCTAACCTCCTTGTCGAAGACAGCAAGGACTTCGTCGTCGGGCATCGCAACCCCGTTGTCCTCCGCGCCAGTGTCCGCAGCAACATCGCTCAGCTCGAAATCCTTAGGAGGCTTTTCATCGTCACCGCTGAAGCTGTCTCCGTTTCTGATGGCGCTGTCATCCTTTGCCTCCTTAGATTCCTCGGGGGGCCCAGCCGACTTACGCTTGCGCGGCTTGGGCTTGGATGTCGTCTTGGGCGTCGTCTTAGGCGAATTCTTTGGTGCCGGGGGTGTCTTCCTAGACTTGCCAGCGCGGGGTTTAGTGGCCTTCTTGGCCTTCTTGGTCGCGGGACCCTCGTCGTCAGCATCAGCATCGCTGGGAGGTGAGGCACCGTTGTTTCCGTTGTTTCCGTTAGGACCGTGCAGCTTCATCAACTTGCGGCGGGCATTGCCGTGCATGACCTGGGCCGAGTTTCGGGTGTAGCCTGCCTTGTCAGCCAGTCTGACAAAGTCGATCTGTGTTTCATGTGTTAACTTGTGGTTCGATAATAAAGTGTCACAACATTGCTCAAAAGTGCTTCGTTCAAATGGGGAAAAGACGGGGGTTTGTTTGAAACGTGGTTGTTCGAACCAGTGAGATATAGGGCACATGTGGGTGGGGATCATGCGTTCAACTGAGCTTACCTTTCCTTCGATCGTGCAGGCAATTCCCAGGACGAGGACTTTGTAGTCGATGGCAGTGAGACCGAGACCAGGGTCATTCTTGTCGGACTTTTCCTGCTTGCCATTCTTGTCCTGCTTTCCGTTCTTTTTGGCGATAGCAGGGGGGTTCATGATGGCAGGAGGAGCCGGGGTCTCAGGAGCGGTGTTCTGGGTGGTATTCATGGTAGTATCCATTGAGGGAAGCAGTGATGGCGATTAGTTGCAGGAAGGTAAGTGGCGAAGATGGGTTAAGTTGGGTTCCGTGAATGGGAATGCGTGAGTGTGTGAAGAGGGACTTTCTGGATGGGCGAAGAAGGAAGGAAAGAAAGCTTCAGCCTCACAGAATTTATGTCGTGAAGATGGGCACTTCTTCGGCATGTGCAATTCGTCCCTGTCGAGGCTACCGCAACGCCGCACCGTTACTTCACTTTGGTTCACTTTCCTTCACGATATTGAAGTCGGACATGTGATTCAAGCTCGACGAAACCAAAGCTCTCGGCGCCCAAGACAAAGCCTACCACGGGTTTTCTCGATCTGGAAATGACTACGCTTATGGCGTTTAATTGGTGCTGATATCGCTCCAGGTCGTCCTTTTGGAATGAACAATACGGAATTTCGCCGACACACGCCGAGTTCGTGACCATGATGCCAAAGTGAAATATAGCAAAAGATGGACGTCCACGTGATACCTATTTCCAGGGCTATTGGTGCAGTTCTTTTGCAGGAAACTAAATGTTCTTTCTACAGGAACGCGGCATGTCGTCACCTCACTTCTTTATATCAAACCACACCCTCGATAATAAGGGAGTAAATCTTTGATTCACAACTTCTCCCAATTAATTGTGATTTACTGCAGATTTAGCATGTGACTTCCTGCAGTTTTGGCTGTTCATGAGTGCTGTAAATACCTGGGCTGTTTGTTCGCAGGCACCTACGCTATACAATCACGTGAAAAATCCTGTATACTTTGGCAAACTGATGTCAAATGACGACGAACCACGCGGGTTCATGCGAGGGTAACACATCTGGATGCGTTCTCGCCGGGTTTCCAGTACCAGATCTACGACCCCCGATGGCTTCACAATGCCCCCAGAGAGTTGGCAACATACTTCAGTGAGTTCAAACCCCACAAACAGTTTCGATGTTTGGTGTGCCTGGGCGTGGCTGGAATTCGTCGTCCGTTCCCCAATACCTGCTTTCGAGCAGGCACCCGCACAGGAGAACCAGGTCAAGAGCGCTAATTTCTCACCCATAAAGTTCGGCATAGTTCACAATAGAACAACCCAACTTCACGTGGTTGTGGATCTACGAAAACTGCTTGAAATGTCACAATGAAATGTTCAATGCTTTTGGTCCATAGAAACACGATCTATCGACTCCACTAGTTCGTTCTGACACCAGGGGAATTATATGCACAAAAAAAAGAATCATAAAAAACAACGCCATTCCATCAATACGTGCTCATGACCAGGTCGTAGGTGGTATATGCAGGGGAAATTTTGGGGAGGTGTGAAAAAAGAAAGGTAAAAGAGTAACCGGAGCTTCAAAGCTCTTACATGGACACATCCATCGTATCGTCACCGGCATCGAGAGCATTTTGTGCCTCCGGGTCGGGAACGACAACACCACGGCCACGGCCAGCAAGCAGCTCACGACGAACCTCGGGGCCAATATCCTTGTGTCCGCGAACGAGAAGTAAATCGAGCAGAGCCTCACGCTGGTCCTCGGTAATATCGTTACGGTATCGCTGGGCAAAGACTAGCAGAGACTGGTGCCACAGGACAGGCAGCTTATATGCCTTGCTGCTGCCAGGGCCATCACCCATCATGGTATCGCCGTTATCGGCGCGAAAGCGCAGGAAGTGGAATACCAGGGCGTCAATGACCTTGTAAGGCAAAGCGTACTTCTTCTCCAGGAAGACCCGAATGAAGGTGTTGACAGCACCAGTGCTCTCCAAAGAGCGCATGGATTGCTCTGCTGCGAGATCACACATGCGAAGAAGGGCGGCGGCGGAGTGCAGAACCGGGATAGAAACACGAGCGATCACGGACGAGACAATGTGGGCTTCGCGGAGGGAGCAAGTGCCGCTCTGGACGAGCGGGAAAAGCAGACCCTTGAAGAAACAAGCGGGCTTGTAAAGGGCCTTGCGAAGGGCGTTGTAGGTGTGGACATTCAGCTTCTTGGTCTCGTGGATCTCTTCGCGAACGCGTTCCAGAAGGACGGTAGAGATGAATTCTTGGGCGACATGGGGCTTTGAGGAGATGAAAATACGGGTTCCGGCGTAGACGGCATTGCCGGTCCAGTTCTCAGGTCGGGTAATGTCGAGGAGAGTCGGCCAGTTCGGCACGGACGGGAGAATCTTGAACGGCTTCGGGAGAGGTCCAGACTTGTAGCGAGAGAGGATCATGCCAACCCTAGTACATTCAGTTAGCTTGAGTACTTCAGTGATTTCAATCGCGAAGGGCTCAACATACTTCTCGTAAACTTCGACGGCCTTGGCAGGGATCTGAACGGCGTCTTCGGGCAGTCCACCACCCTGGATCTTGGGCGTACCGGGTTCACCGTTGTGTCTCGCCTCGTGCTCAGCAATCTTCTCCAAGATCAAATCGGCAAGATTGGTAGGGCCAGCGGAGCTAGGGTCTTTGGGATGAAAAATGGGATCTTCTTCATGGTCCCCGGGCATGAATTTGTTAAACATATCGAGGTCGTTGGGATCAACCTCCTACTCGGGAGTTAGCTTCGGCAGCGCCGAGTTGGGATAACTGTCCAATTCTTACAACTTCCTCAACCTCGTCGTCGACCCACTCATCATTCGCATATTTCTCATTCTCGTCGTCAGAGAGAGGCTCTTCGTCAAATCGGGTATCAAATTCGAAAGCCGGGTTGGGCTTCGTCTCGCCCGCGCCCATGGCACGCTTCGTCTCAGCTGCATCCTCGTCCGCCAATTCCTGACCGATCTGCAGAATCTTGCGCGACATCTTTGCATCGATAAAGCGCTGTCCGTTCTCGCCATCTTCGTCCTCGTTCTGCGATCTGTTCTTGCCCTTCTTGTTGGCCTGTGTACGGACATGCCCCGCGGCCGTAATATCGTCCGCCAGAGGGTTGTGCCGGCGGGCCGCGGCGGCGCGGGAGCTGGTAGCCTTGGGCATGTCGAAAATGTCCGTCGGCAGGAAAATTCGGTGGGCAAAAGGGAGAGTCAAGCTCGTATGGCGGTTTGCAGGTGCAATGCTTGATCGCTTGTGGGTAAATTTCTCGGTCACGTGGGTCTAATCAGTAATTTTTTCTTTTCTGCTATCATGACCGCCTGCCAATCCTGACAGACCGCCTCGGGCTCCCCTTTCTGCCGCCAAGACATGCGGCGGCATTCACTAAGACGCGCTTTTCCCAAGTGCAACGGCGACATCTAGCGGTTTTGCGAGCTTCTTAGGTTTGTATGTGAAACAATTGATGTTGTATTACGCCGCTTTTATCTGACCCCAGCTACAGATGTCACAATATTCGACGACATCCCCCGCTATTATCTGATCTTAGGATTTCCGCCATGGCATCGGCACAAGCTCCGGGCTCCTCGGCACCTTCGTCCAACATCAATTCCCCCATTATACCCCCCTAACAACGGCCCTCTCCTCAACGGCACTTTTACAGAACTCAATTCCCGAGCCTCTCCTGCACCGGCCAGCAATGCGTCTGCACAAGGGGACGGGGCCCGTGGAAAGCGAGCCAAGCGTGACAGTCGCAAGAAGCGCGAAGCGAAAGGTCTCGACACAGAAACGGTAGCACCACCGCCAAAGAAGCGCGCAACTGCTGCTGCAAATCATGCTGTCTCAAGCTCGAATCTTTCCATTCTACGACCACTTCTACTCGCCGAGCCGCGTTCGTCTGATCGATACCCCCCACAGCCTCGCCAGCTGAGCTTTGTCACAAAGAAGACCTCCGACGTGCTGGGTAAAAGCTGGGATTTCTACGAAGTCGTCGACAAGCTCACGAACAAAAACGGATTCCGTTACTCCTACGCCATCGCTGATCAAGGCTTCCCCCATATCAAATACCGCCAAACGGACGTCCGTCCCTACCATGCTCGATTCAGCTTCGAAGATTCCCCAGCTGCCATATCATTCTCGGAGGATGCGACGGCCGTGACAACGAGCGATGCGTGGCATACTGCCCGAGCGAATGTCTGCGCAAGAGAAGGGACGTATTACTATGAGGCGCGCGTGATTAGTGGTGTTGACAATAACCTCCAAGCCGCTTCGCGACCCGGCGCTCCGGCTTCTTCATCCCGTGGCCACGTTCGATTGGGATTTGCGCGGCGCGAGGCAGATCTGGATGTCAATGTTGGAGTTGACTGCTACGGGTATGGCATTCGAGACGTGAATGGCGAAGTCGTCAATCGCATGCGCTGCGAATACTTCTTCCCGAAGGGTGAAGCCATCAATGAAGGCGACGTTATCGGCATGCTCATTACGCTACCTCCACTATCCATGCACAAGAAAATTGTCGAAGGTACATACGATCCAGCTGTAGATGGTGAAGGTTCAGACCCATCAACTCGAAGTGCAAGTGCGGCCAACATCATCCGAGACCGCATCCCGTTCCAGTATAAGTCCGATTTTTGCTGGCAACAGTCCAACGTCTTCTCCACCAAGCACCTCCGTGACTACGCCTTTAACCTGAAAGAGACACCAACTTTCGGTCAACCCTCCCCGCTGAACAATGAAGATGCCTCATTGCGCACTCTACCGGGCTCCAGCATCACCATCTTCAAGAATGGAGTGAAGATGGGAACCCCCTTCAAGGAACTCTACGCCTTCCTTCCGCCCGCTAGCCGCCTCGCAAACGGCACAAATAACCTTGGTATCGGCGAACGCGAAAACGCAGACGATGGCATGATTGGCTACTACCCTGCTGTTAGCTGCTATGGCGGCGGTGCAGTGGAATGTCGATTTGAAGGTCCCTGGTGGGTTGGGCCTCCAGAGAAGACCGAGGCCGGAGAGGTGATTCGGCCCATTGGTGAACGATACACCGACCAGATTGTCGAGGACGTGGTCGCGGATATCGTCGATGAAGTTGAGGCGATGTTCGCTTGGGGTGGTGTTGACGGCGATGTCATTGGTAATAACAACACAGCAACGTTGGACAGTACTGCCCCTGGCGTTGTCAGTGGTTCGGAAGTCTTGCAAGGCGGCGTTGGGGCTGCGCTGGATTCCGTTCTTGCACCAACTCCTGGTCTTGGTGGTGCTTCTGATTCGGCGGCAAATAGCAATCAAGCTACACCTGCGGCTGTTGTCGATGTCCCGAATTCGGTTAACGAAAACAACGGTGCTGGTACGGCTGAGACACCGAGTGTTGCTGTGGAGATCCCGGCTGAAAATCCTGATGAAGATGTTGAAATGACTTGAGATATACACAGGAGCCATTAGCTTTGTTTAAACTAGGGGCGTTTGGGGCTAATAGGACGCATTGATACCAACTGAATTGAAGGATAATACATTCTCATGCTCATTTCGACTAACAGCAACTCAAATACGATACAAATAGTGGACGTCGGGGGCTGCTTGACTTACCCGTGCAAGACCATGTCGGTAGAGGCTGCGTTTCCTAGCTATGTACAATCAGACTATGACCTCGAGTGGAGGCAGTCACTCACTATTTGGCCTGGGCTCGACGATGGTCGAGTACTAAGTCAAGTTGCCAACCCTCGATATATGGTGCATGAGAAACAGTGTAGATGGTATCATTGTAATTGTACATATACAAATATAAAATAGAGACATTCCGACAACGCAGGGCTAATCACGTTATCATTAATTATCACCAAGTCGAGAACCTGCAAGCAGTTCTCCGACATTCATGACAAGCTCATCATCTCCATACTGACCAACAACCTGAATCCCAGTCAGCTCGTCGGCGCTAGAATCCTGGCCAGATTTTGACGACACCGTCACCGGTACAGAAATAGCCGGGAGTCCTGCTAAGCTAGCCGGCACTGTAAAAACATCATTGACATATGCATCCAAAGGTGAGGTTTTGGAAGTGCCATTCGTCAATTCAGATAGTCGTGGCGGAGATGAAGTAGTAGTGGGACAGACGATCACATCGACATTTGCCGATTCAGAAACATGCCCGTCTGTATCCTCCGCAACCAGGGGATGTTGACGTGCGAAGGCGGCATTGAAGTCTTGCTGAATGAGTCGGCGTACACGCTGTGCCTGGATGAAGTAATTGTCCATGGCATCCGCGCTCAGACTGAATGTACCGAGGAGAATACGCCTTTGAACCTCTGATCCGAACCCACTGCCGCGTGTGTTCGCATAGAGATATCCATCTGCCTGGCCGGTACCGTCCGGCCCCTCACCACGCGTTCCGTAGCGCACGCCGTCATATTTGGCCAGATTTGAGGATGCCTCAGCGGGTGCGAGAATGTAGTATGCAGACAGAGCGTGTTTCGTAGCTGGCAGGGACACGGGGTGAATGGTATGGCCCTGTGCCTGCAGATGCGCAAGGGACAAGACCCAGGCAAGTCGAACTGACGGCGTAAGCTCGGAGAGGTTGTATTCTAGTGGTACGCCAATTCGAAGCGGAGAGGATTTCAGGCGGGAGGAGAGCTGGGGGCTTTGGAGGTGGCAACGAATTCGTGATCGTGAGAGTTGGGACAGACTTGTCGGATCGCGCGGGTCATGTCGGTTAAGTATGGCTGTAACAGTCTGTTAGCAAGTACGGTCAAGCCGCGTGGGAAGGAAGACTTACAGAAGATGTCTCGCACGCTGGAAGTATCACTCCCCAATATCCCAACGGTATCTAGTGAATTTGCATACGCAACGACGCCCCAGCGTGAGATCAAGCCGTAGGAAGGCTTGAAGCCCACCGTTCCTGTGTACGCCGCGGGGAGTCTGACGGAGCCTCCGGTGTCGGTCCCGAGTGCGCTATAAGGGATTATCCTGTTAGTAGTGCTTCCATGTCTATCGAGCTGTGGCATCACTCACCTATAGCACTGACCTGCGGCGACAGCCACTGCACTTCCGCCAGAACTTCCGCCGGCTGAGAGCTCTTGTCCGTCCCTGTCTCGTCGGGAGTTTCTAACGGGCCCAAATCGAGAATGAATGGAATGCGATCCCATCCCAAATTCATCTAGATTGGTTTTTCCACCCAGTACAGCCCCAGCTTTCTCCAATTGCTCCACAACAGTCGCATTGAACGGACTGGTGAATTTGTCGAGAATGCCGGAGGCGCAGGTTGTCGGTAGATCGCGAGTGCAGATGTTGTCTTTGATAGCAACAAGGCGACCGTCTACCGCCGATTTTGGTTCTCCTTTTATGATTCCATTCGGTTAGAACGCGGTTGCACATTAGTGTGATGGGACATTGACAGCTCCTACCTTTCTCACGGCGCCGGTCAGCCTCCTTCACGCGGTCCAGCCACTGCCCCGTGCGCGCTAATGGGGTTATGAAGGCATTGAGACAATGCGCATGCTGTTTAGCGACGCATCTCTCTGCTTCGCGTAGCAGGGACATTTAGGTTGGGGGTGCGTGAAGAGGCAACTTCGCAAACCGCGCAGACGGAGAGTCGAAGATCGTCATGGCCCGGTGGCACGTGCACGGCACTATACATCGAGTCCATCGACAACGTAGTTTTCGATGGGTTAGGGATTATTCTAAGGTAGCATCCAGAGCAATTATAAATACGGGACTGCTGCTTAGACCAGAGGTTCAACAGCGGGGCGTCACCTTCATGAAGTCGTTGAGGCTAGCGAACTATATATTTCTTGCTTTGGGACGAATGAACGAACAACACTAACAAAAACAGGTACATATTTCGTATGTTGGAAAGGTTGATAGGACAGCGAAATGTTTCACATGAACATAAGCTCACATGCACCAGCACAGATTAAACTCACAACAGAAACGAGCGTTTTTCGAGGCAGCGAAAGCATAATAGATGGGCAGATCCAAAAAAATCGAACCGAGTCATTCTATAAGTAAAAAAGGTGCGGTAACACTGCCGCCTCGGGAAGCGATCGGCTCCCGGCGCTCAGCCTGAGTTAGTCCCTCCGCCGCCCTGAGCAACCCTGGGCGACCTGAGCGCTCCCGCAGCACCTTGATCGCTCAGTCCCGATGCTCTAGCTCGCCGACGTCAGTCTTTTTTTCTTTGTTTGACTTCCTCTGAAGATAAGCGCGTTGCTGCCTACGGCCGTTCCTAGGAGCCCGGGCGAAGAATTGGCCGTTTGTCATTATGCTTCTACTTTCCAGTGCTTACTTCGAGCTCACCGTCTGTCGACTATGATCTGGTATTCTGTATGAGAGATGAATCTGCGATAGCTTCGGAGATGACTCCAGCTCCGCCTGAAGCAATTATTAGAAGTCTCAGTTCCTGGAAGGATACGCCACTCAGCAACGTGGCAGCGGACTTCTCTCAAGGTCGGTAAGGATCGTTGCGTCGGGGATGTCTTCCGATTTGCTCAACGCCTTGATCCTCAGGACAATGTCGCAGCGCCTAGGGCCAAACTGACACCTTATAATTTCCACTGGGGTCAAAGTATGGTACCCATCACCTAGGAAGGCGATATTTCTATTGTCAAAAGGCGCGGCAGAGGAAGACATGCCTGCGTTTTAAATTGAGTTAGAATGTTGAAGCAAGATAGTAGGTTGTCTGATCAACTGTTCTACGCTGATAAATGCTCAGAATGGGATAAGATGGGATAAGCCTCTCCACATGAGGTAACTAGGTATTTTATATCTGCAGTCGACCATATTCAAGAGCCGGTCAGATGGGTATAACAATCACAGCCGCGTACAATGGCCGCAGAGAGAAAATAGCAATTTGTTTGCGACAAGCAGCTTCTCATCTGCATATAGAAGCCTTAATGAAGATTGGCTCTGAACAATGGTCTAATTCTTGAGACAAAGGATCCCTACTTATCGAGGCAGCTTTGTCTTGTTTCACAGTAAACACTCCAAAGACGCTCTTCAGGCCTCGGAAATTGCTGGCTACCACTGGTCTTTCCCCAAGAGATACTAGTACGCGTCTTCTATCAACCGAACATGTGAAGATTTATTCAACACCTCATTCAATCTGAGGTTCGAGATCTGCAATAATAGAATTCTGGATGATCAAAAGCAATCTCGGCGTTGCTCGAAAGAAGCGAGGGAATTGCCGAGTCGGCTACTACAGCATCGCAAAGTCCAGTCGGCCACCAAAAAGAGATTGAACTACAAAAGAACTTACCAACTATGATCTGCATGAATTTTGTAACATTATCGAACTGAGATTCGAAAATCATTAGGCCTCCAGTAACAGCAGGTATGCTGTTCGCGTAGCTCCTTCCGCCCGAGCCCAACACGAAAGACGTCATCCGATTCTCCGCCCGGTATTCCCTCGCCTTCCTCTTCCTCCTGCATTTCTCTCCCTCTCCCCATACGCATTCCGCAACAAACGCACACAATGCTATCGCGCAGTGCACTCCGAGCTGCAGCTCACAGTAGCCGGCAAATCGGCCCTCGATCCGCAACCACGACACCCTCCTTCCCCGCGGTCGCCGGTAAAGCTCAATGCGCCAGTTCCACCTTGCCCTCGGGTCGGAGGTACATCTCCATGTATGGTTACACACAGGCTAAGGCACTGGTATACTCGAAATACGGCGAGCCGAAGGATGTTCTCAGGTATGAGCAATTCTCTACGTTCCAGGTGACTGGCTAGCTAGCTGGTCGCATCCGCGGAATGAGCAAAAAAAGTTCTAGCTAACAAGATGACGTGCAGTCTGCACAAACACTCTATTTCCGCACCCCATGGCACCCAAGTGAACTTGCGACTCCTCACAGCTCCCATGAACCCTGCAGACGTCAACCAAATCCAAGGCGTCTACCCCAGCAAACCGCCCTTCCAAACCGCCCTCGGCACAACCATCCCTACCGCAGTCGGCGGGAACGAAGGTGCTTTCGAAGTCATCTCCACCGGTGCAGGGGTTAAGAATCTGACCAAGGGTGATTGGGTCATCATGAAGCGGACGGGTCAAGGAACCTGGCGCACACACGCGCAATTGGACGAGTCCCAGTTAATTCGCATCGAGGATAAGGAGGGCCTCACCCCTCTCCAAGTCGGGACCGTCAGCGTCAATCCCGTCACGGCTTACCGCATGATTAGGGATTTCTGCGAGTGGGACTGGATGCGTGCGGGCGAGGAGTGGCTGATTCAGAATGGAGCGAACTCGGGTGTTGGTCGCGCTGCGATTCAGCTTGGACGTGAGTGGGGAATCAAGACGCTGAATGTCGTCAGGCAGCGGAAGACACCAGAAGAGACGGAGGCGCTGAAGCAAGAGTTGAAGGAGTTGGGTGCGACGGTTGTCATCACTGAGGAGGAGATGCTGACAGGAAACTTCCGCGATATGGTCAATGAACTTACTCGTCAGGGTCGGGAGCCGATTCGTCTTGCGCTCAACTGTGTGGGTGGCAAGAATGCTACGGCGCTGGCGAAGACTCTGGCGCCAGATTCGCATATGGTGACCTACGGTGCAATGTCGAAGCAGCCGGTGGCTCTCCCTTCGGGGCTTCTGATCTTCAAGAACCTCTCTTTCGATGGATTCTGGGTGAGCAAGTGGGGTGACAAGAACCCACTGCTCAAGGAGAACACCATCAAGGATGTTCTGCAGCTCACTCGTCAGGGCCGCTTCCGTGACATCCCCGTGGACAATGTGCATTGGAGCTGGGACGCCGAAGGGCATGCGCTGGCAGAGAGCGTCCAGGGCACCCTGGGTGGATACCGCAGTGGAAAGGGCGTGTTTACCTTCACCGGTGGCGATGAGTAAGGAAGTGTAACATAATAGTATAGTATTTGGCGGATCCAAAGTGTTTATCGCAGGTGATGAACAAACATGCAGTAAGTGGTTTAACAAGTGGAATTGTACTATAAAGCAGATGTGTCCCATGTCCAAATTCGAGATCGTATAACCGAAAATCCACGCCTAACCGAAATTGATGCTCAGATGTATTATCGTGATATGTCATCGAGGAGTGTTGCGCTACTCGCATTTCCAGTTCGCCTTCACCCAGTCTAAAATCACGTCCGTCATGGTCTTGCCCGGCAAGTACACCTTGCCCTCCTTGGCGAAATCAACATCAAGCTGAGCGAACTTGGCAGCTAGTGTCAAGTACGGCTCGATAAAATCAATATAGATCAAGTCCACCGTCTCGAGCGCAGTCGATGCATTTACAGACACCAATGCCTGGATGCAGTTGGGTACACGGTAGAAGGAGATGGGAGAGTGAATGCTATCGTCTCCGTCGTCGCCTGCGTCGTCCTGGGTCGTATAACCTGGTACAATTTCACCAGATGGTTTCTTGGCCGCGAGGGGAATCTGCTGGGTGCCAACCATGTCAAATGCAGGCCAATCGTGCGACTCATCCGCGTCCGCGATCACATCACCGGTATGCTCAAGCTGGGCCGGGGGTCCCAAAGAGTCGAGGTGATCATCCGTTTCGTCCATCCATCTTCGCATGACCTTGGTTTGTTGGTTGAGAACCTCCATGATTAGTTGTACTTTGTCGTAAGGAACATCTTTCACATAGCGAAATCCGTTCGTGAATGGAGAGATAATCCACGTGGTGTCTTGTGTGAACGGGCCCTCGAAGATATCGAACCGAATAGCGCCCGTGTTCAGAATGGCCACAGCAGGTCCGTCACCACGAGACTCATCTTCCAAGGAGTCGGCCAGCACTTGCTTCTCTAGCCAAGTATAGACGCTGTCATTGTGTGGATACGGGACGCGTGACATCCAGAGGTCACGAGGGGCGCAGCCGTGGATCTTGTCCAGCTGAAGGGCATTGCGGGACTCGGCGATTAGTCGGGACACGTTCCGGCCTTTTTCGGTCGGAAACGAATCTTCGTCGAGACCTGTATGATGGTAGTAGGAGTGGAGGTTGTTATCAATATATCGCCGCTTAAAGACGGGACCAGCCGCCGTGCTCGGGCCTTCGCTCGTGGAAAGACCGTCGATCGACATAAATCCGACGGTTTCCATGAACCGACCACTGGCAAGAGCAACAGCTTTGGAGTCGTACTTGGTATAATCACGGATGTGTTCGTGGCCGCCGAAGAACTGGATCGGGGTGTCCCAGCGGATCGAGCGGATCTCCGTGAAGATCGCCTTATACTCCGGGGAGCGGGCCGGGACATGGCCAGCCACTAGGAAAAGATCAACCTCCTTGTCGCGGATCGCTTCCTGGAACCAGTCTTCTTTGATAGTTTCTTCCACGCGCTGCACCACAGTATTATTATAGTTTCCGGTGAAGTCGAAGAGAAAGCCGAATGCTACGATACGAATGCCCTGCTGTTTGGTAGTGAACTTCTTGTACCGCGGGGCCAGCGGGACCAGCTCCTCGGTTTTGGGGTGGTAGATATCGATATTCGAGGCGAGATAGCTGCCCTTGAAACAGGGAACGGTGACCAGGAGCTCGGCCTCGGAGGTGTTCTGTTTGTATAGTTCATGGTTTCCCGAGGTCATCACATCGACGTGCTGGTGTCGCAGGATCTCTCGGAGATAGACGCCTTTGGGTTCGGATGAGTCGTAAAGACCGTTTCCTTCGACGCGATCACCGGTATCGATAACGAGCAGATCCCGACCCTGTGCCTCGATCTTTTCCCGCATATGCGCCGCGAACGAGACATAGTCGCCCCAGTCTGCCGAGAAAGAAGGCCTGTAACAGAGGCATTAGTAGAGCTTACAACGGAAGACCGCCGACAGGCCTACTCCTGCAAATGGCCGGCCAGCCAGCCATGGGTATCGGTCGTATGAAGGAAGTTGAGTTGCCCGATGTCGAGGTCGCGCAGCGGAGCACGGATGGGCGCGGGCGCGGCGGGCTGAGCGGCGAGCGCCGACGGGAAAAGGAAGGGCAACACCGACCACCACATGGCGGGTACCGGGAGACCACCGAGGGCTGGATGGGTGCAGTGAACACGGCGATTGTTCCCAAGGGCTGGTGTTTGGGACAGAAACGGGTTTGTGAAAGCTGAGAGACCAGGTCAAACGATATTCCTGACCTCGAGATCAGACAGAAGGGAGAAGACGGAGCTGTGAGCTGCTCGTACGGTTACGGAAGGAGCTCCCGGTGAGGTGCTGAGTCAGCGCCCAACATCTTCGGGTTTGCATCTCAAAGATTCAAGCGCGGCTTCTCCTCTTTCCCAACCTTGTCCTTTGGTCTCCCCCACGCCAGCTGCCGGTTCTCTCGACCTTGCGGACCTTCAATTGTCCCTCCCGCCTCCTCTCCCTCTTCGATATCCATCCCAATCCCCACCATGGCGGCCCCCCGAGTTTTCCGCCCTGCGGCCCGTCTGCTTTCTTCGCGCCTGGCCTCCACCCCTCTGCGCCCGGCTTTCACCCAGACTGCGTGCGCTCCGTCAATTCTGCGCGCTCGCGGATACGCTTCCGAGAGTGGCACCAAGGAGGTCACTGTTCGTGATGCCCTGAACGAGGCTCTGGCGGAGGAGCTCGAGAGCAACCAGAAAACTTTCATTCTGGGTGAGGAGGTCGCGCAATACAACGGAGCGTAAGCGCATCCTTCCTTTGGAAAGACCGATTTGATCGCAATGGCAATTGAAATCGCGTCATTATTGAACAACTTGTCCGCTGACATGGGTTTTCCGCAGTTACAAGGTGACGCGAGGTCTTCTGGACCGCTTTGGCCCCAAGCGAGTGATCGATACTCCCATCACTGAGGCTGGCTTCTGTGGTATCGCCGTTGGTGCTGCGCTTGCTGGTCTGCACCCTATTGTGAGTCTACATGCGAGCCATCTTGAGATTGCGAAAACCACCGGGGTAAAAAATATACAGAGATTAATCAGTTGTTCGATTCTAGTGCGAGTTCATGACCTTCAACTTCGCCATGCAGGCCATTGATCAGATTATCAACTCCGCCGCTAAGACTCACTACATGTCCGGTGGTATCCAGCCTTGCAACGTCACTTTCCGTGGACCCAACGGTTTCGCCGCCGGTGTCGCTGCTCAGCACTCCCAGGACTACTCTGCCTGGTACGGCAGCATCCCCGGTCTGAAGGTCGTCTCCCCCTGGAGCTCGGAGGATGCCAAGGGCCTGCTCAAGGCCGCTATTCGTGACCCCAACCCTGTCGTGGTCCTCGAGAACGAGTAAGTTTTTTTTTGTTGGGTCCCGACAATTTTCCCGGAGATCGGGGCGGGTAACAGAGTTACTAACCGCTTTCGCCGCCTGTCAGGCTTATGTACGGCCAGGCTTTCCCGATGAGCGAGGCCTCCCAGAAGAGCGACTTCGTCCTGCCCATCGGCAAGGCCAAGATCGAGCGTCCCGGCAAGGACCTAACCATCGTCTCCGTCTCCCGCTGCGTCGGCCAGTCCCTCACCGCCGCCCAGGAGCTCAAGTCCAAGTACGGTGTTGAGGCTGAGGTCATCAACCTGCGCTCCATCAAGCCCCTCGACGTTGAGACCATCATCGCCTCGCTGAAGAAGACCGGCCGCCTCATGGTTGTTGAGTCCGGCTACCCCATGTACGGTGTGTCCTCCGAGATCATGGCTCTGTCCATGGAGTACGGCTTCGACTACCTGACTGCCCCCGCAGCCCGTGTCACCGGTGCTGAGGTCCCCACCCCCTACGCCCTCGGCCTGGAGAACATGTCCTTCCCCCAGGAGGACACCATTGTCGGCCAGGCCGCCAAGGTCCTGCGTTTGTAAGTGATGCGCGGGAATGTGCAGTAATAAAACCATGTGCCTAGTACCCTTTCCCCTGTCTCATTTTCCTCATATTGTTGTTCCATCATGTCGCTATTTATTGCCGTCCTAGGCAGATTCCTTGGAAAGCTCTGTACGATTACCTTCCAGGTTCGCCTCTCTTCTCTTCCAGCGTAAACGCGTGGTTGTTTCCGATCACTTAGATTGAATAGACTTGATTCATTCATGATATTCGTACAAAGTAGACGTAAAGTAGCGCTAAGCCCCCAAAACACCATGTGCGGTCCATACAGACCAGCCCAATAAGGCAGATTCGAACCAAAAGAGATAGCGAATGAATAGCAGCTCACTCATGAAGCGGCCTTCACCTCTTGATGAGCCGCACACCCTGCGAAACACCCGGTCGGCCGTCGGGGATCGTAATATCCACCTCCATCCGGATGCTTCGCATACTCTTCATCTGTATCGCTCCCCTCATCCTGGACGTTGGCGAGTGGCTCCTTTTTGGTTGTCTTCACTTCCTTCCCCAGCAATCCTGATTGCCCCTCCTGCCCATCATTGTCATCATCACCACCAAGGACATTCTTCCTCATGGGCGCCACACCCGCTGGACCCTTCACCGGCGCAAAGGAGCTCTTGAATCCGCCTTTCTTGAACCCGCCTCCAACTTTCCCCGCACTTGCGCCACCGCCGGAACTGGTGCTGATGGACATCTTTCCTGGATCGTCGTGGACGACTCTCAACCCGGCCTTCTCATTGGCCTTCCGCTCCGCACGCTGAGCTTTCTCTGCAGCATTGGGATCGCGGGAGAGTTGCTTGAGGTCTTGTAACCGCCTGCGGTGTTGATGGTCATAGGATCCCATGTGAGCTTCATATTCCGGATGCCGCGCGTACGACTTGTTGCAGAGGCTGCATGTGAATGAGGCTAGCGCCGCCCGCGCTGATTCAGTCTGTGGTCTCGATGTTAGGGAGTGTCTTTTTTTTTTTCTGAGAAGTGAAAGGATCGCGTACCTTCGGGGCAGGGTTTCTGTATGATCGTTGCTGTATGTTTGTCAGAATCATCTTCATTTTTCTTGTGGTGGAGGGATACAGACTCGCTGCATGTTGAGTGTGTGCGGTGGTGAAGAGCTCGGAGGACCTGAGGTGAGGTGCAGTTGGCGCGGACGGCGAACCAGCGGCGGCGCGTTGCGAGTGACGGCCTTCCCCAACTTTTCCTGCGTCAACAATCTGCGCTCCACTGCAAACTCCCCTCGCCGATCGACGATTGTTGGCAGCCACGAGTGATGACCTCTTGAACACGATTTTCTTTTGTCTTTCCTTGCAACTCCTAATATTCTTTAAAAAATACTGCGTTCCCATCATGACCTCCCTCACGCCGTCCAAGCAGGACGATGCGAAATTGGTCATCTCCATGCAAGAATTGGATCCCTCGCCAGTGGACGACTCAACTTCGGATCTCGAGAACCTGGAGTGCGGCGACTTTATCCCTAAGCCCGCAGATGAGCCCCCCAAGCGCACCTGCGGATTCCCCCGGCCTTGGGGTTGCGTGCTCATCGTTGGGACGCATTGTGTATGTTACCATTTCCCCCAACACAACACAGACACAGACAGACAGACAGACAGACAAAAGAAAAGAATCAGCAGAACGAACGGCAAATACTAACAGTAAATGACAGTATCCGGGTTCCAAAGATACTCTACATACCCTCCTACCGCATTCTTCATCCTACACTTTGCCAATACCTCCCTAATCCCGCTTATGACCCAGTCTATTCCCGCTAGCGAGCCCTACCTCCTGCTCACGCGGCCAGTCTATCAAGCGCCAGGACTAGAGCATCTAGTATTGACTCTCCCCGTCCTGACACACATTGTTTCTGGAATCGCGCTGCGCAATATTCGCGCTACCCGTCGCGCACGCTTGTATGGCGCAGAGACTCGTGCACAGCGAGACCTGCTCTCCTTCTGGCCCCGCGTTTCCCTTCAAGCGAGAACAGGATATTTCCTTGCGCCCCTTATTGGTCTCCATGTCCTGGTCAACCGTGCCATGCCGTACATGGTCGAAGGCGGTAGTTCCGGCGTCGGATTGGGATACGTTGCGCATGGGATTGCGCGGAGTCCTGTCTTTTGGAACATTTTCTATGTGCTCTTCGTGACGGCCAGTGTGTGGCATTTTGTTGGTGGATGGACAACTTGGATGGGGTGGAGAGTCACTACTGCGCGCAAAGAGCGCAGTAGTAAGGGATCGCTAGAGGGATACCTCGGTTATCCTGAAAACCAGGATCGCGCGAAGCGTCAGCGCAAGATCTGGTGGGTAGTCAATGGAATGGCCGCTATGGGAGCTGCGCTCTGGCTGGCGGGTGCTTTGGGTATTGTTGGGCGTGCTGGTGAGGGTGCTGGATGGGAGGCACAGGGGTGGAATGAAATGTATCGCCAGGTGCCAGCGATTGGGAAGTGGTTGTAATCCGATGTACAGGTGTATTATAGTTAAGTTAATATATAACCTATTTACTTTCTACGTGATCTTCTACCATCAGGTGTAGTCACTTTTCTGCATTCACTTGAACGTCTTGGATGAACATATAGTCCCACCAAGATGGTCCGTGCGGCATCTTTTTTCGCGGCGAGATTCGCTTCTGTGCAACTTCGCCTCTTCGCAATTACAGGAATCCATGCCACGCCTGCTCCGCCTGACTTCCACAATATGCGCAACTAGTGCAATCCGACGTACTCTCAGCCCCTTCCATTCTAGCTTGACGCCCTTTCGAATTTCTTTCAGCCACTCCGCTAAAGTCATGGAAGACTCAACCACCACTACCACGAACCCCTCCCCGCCCCCCACGCCGCAAAGCACGCTGGTGGATTACAATGGCATAAAGTACAATGTTATCAGGGAGGGGCGAGCCTATATTCTTAATCCTCCATCACAGGAAGCCGCATCCAAGGCGACGAGAAGGGATCTTAAGACTGAGGACGAGTCGCAATCCGTTTTCTACAACCCGATCCAACAGTTCAATCGGGACCTGAGTGTGTTGGCAATTCGCGCGTTTAGCGAGCATGTGGTAGACTTTGAGAAGCACAAGCAGGACCAGAAGGCGAAGAGGCGAGCAGCTGGGAATGGAGCTCCAAAGGGAAAGAAGCGGAAGCGTGAAGATGAGTCGGCCGAACAGTCGGGCAAGCCCGCCGAGGGAGAACCTGCTGAAAAGGTCGAAAAAACCGAGACGAGCGAGCAAAATGCGACTGCTGCTGCAACCGTCCCGACTGCCGCTGCTGCTCCAGATGGAAAGCAGGAAGACACCCCCACACCGGAATTTACCATCCTCGATGCGCTCTCGGCAACAGGCCTACGTGCTCTCCGCTACGCCTCGGAAATCCCCATCGCGACCAAGATTGTCGGTAACGACCTTTCTAAGTCAGCAATCAAATCCATGAAAACGAACATCGAGTACAATAAGCTGGGTGAGCGCATCCAGCCCAATCTAGGGGACGCTCGCATCTACATGTACGGTCTCAACAACAAGTTCGACGTAATTGATTTGGATCCTTATGGTACCGCCTCGCCATTCATGGACGCCGCCGTTCAAGCCGTGAAGGACGGCGGTTTGCTTTGTGTAACCTGCACCGATGCTGGAGTCTGGGCCTCCACGGGTTACTCAGAAAAGGCATTCTCCCTGTACGGTGGTATTCCGATCAAGGGGTCGCACTCGCACGAAGGTGGACTACGTCTCATCCTCTATGGTCTCGCCATGTCCGCTGCGAAATATGGAATGGCTATTGAACCGCTGCTTTCTCTTTCTATTGACTTCTACGCTCGAACATTCGTGCGCGTCATCCGCTCTCCAGCCCAGGTCAAGTTCACTGCCGGCAATACTTTACTCCATTACAACTGTGATTCGGGCTGCGGCGCCTGGACGAACCAGTACCTCGCTTCAACCAAGCAAAAGAAGGACAAGAGGGGCAACCCGATGGCATACCACAGTCTTGCACAAGCACCCACCGCGGGTCCACTCTGTGAACACTGCGGCTTCAAAACACATCTCTCCGGGCCGATGTGGGGAGGTCGTCTGCATAACCCACACTTCATCCAGAGAATCATCTCTCTGCTTCCAACCCTAGACCCGGAAATTTACCAAACCATTCCCCGGCTCGAGGGCATGCTTACCACCGCACTGGAAGAAGACCTCGATTTAACACCGTCGAATATCAAAACTACAGCCACCTCCACCATGGAGGAAAAAGAAGCTGCCGAAACTCAGGACCCTGATTATCCCGCCATCATCCCCAAAATGGACCCTGCTATCCGAGACCCATACCCCTTCTATTTCAATCTTGGCGCCCTATCCCGCGCACTGCACTGCCAAACAATCCCAATGGACCAGTTCCGCGGCGCCCTTCGCTCAGTCGGGTACAGATCAACCCGCACACATGCAAAGCCCAATTCTATCCGCACCGACGCCCCATGGTCCGTCATCTGGGAAATCATGCGTGAATGGGTTCGTCAACACAGTCCTATCAAGGAAAATGCGTTGAAGCCCGGTACCGCAGGTGCGGGACTTATGAAACATAGCCGGGATAATCTGCGGAGTCTTGAGTCTGAAACAGGCGATCCGTGGCTTTCTTCTCTCAAAGCCGATCTCCTGAAGACAGTTGAATCTGGAAAGGATGTTGCAGACCTCATTACCAAGGTCGAGGCTGCGCTTTATCGGGCTGGTTCAAGGAGAACCTCCCAAGGCACTGCTCCAACTCCCACCGACCAACCGGCGCAAGATCAGCCTGCTGCTCATTCTGCTTCTGTCACTCCTGCACAGCAACACCCTAGTACTCTGGATATCAAGTTTGATGCACAGCTTGGACGGGATGCCTCTACCATCCAGTCCAACAAGCGTCTGGTGCGATACCAGATTAACCCGCGTGCTAATTGGGGCCCGTTGAATCGGGCTTCGTGATTGGTATGTGTTTATGTCTCCGTAACTCATTTCTTCTTTGATGTAATCGACGTCTTGTATATTGTTTGTAAATAGTAGAAAGAATTCTCATGCCGAGTTATTGCTCGTGGTCCTGATAGCATAAATCAAGAGGGTTCAATTTCTTTCAAATAATTCCTTGTTGCATCGACCATGTAATATCTGACGTCGGAATAGATATTTTTGATCAAACCAACCAACTTAAATAAAGCCCAGGGCTGTGTCAAAAGCACTCGGTAGACCAAGATGAAAATGGAATATGATATTACGTGACACGAATCACCCATGAGGCGCAAAATGAGTAAGGCTACAGCACATTGTCTTAGTGCTTACTAGATACTAGGGTAACTCAGACCGTGATCCTGGGACATCTACACAAAGGAAGAGAATAAACGAAAACGTAATTATTCAATATCATTACTCCCATTATAAACACCAACGAACCAGGAGACGAAACTGGCCCGAATCTAGACAGATCAAAACAGAAAAATGAAAAAGAAACAAGTAAATCACAGTCATCACGTCTCAAAAGTGCAAAATGGGGTTTCAAAGAAACAGCGAAAAGAGACATTCAACATGGCCGCATAAAAACACTTTCTTCCAACATTTACATGCTAATGCTAGCAGCCTCTAAATGGGGCGGAAGATGATGGTGGTGGTGGAACGGAATATACGGCCGCAGTAAAGCAATTTGCTTAGAACTGCGAAACCGCCACGGCAACGGCTTGGCTGTCACTGTGGCTAATGCTGACATTGATCGACTTCACGCCGGCAGACTTGGCGGCGGCGGCGGCGGATCCGTGGAGCTAAAGATGATCTCCCGTTAGTGTTGTTGATCAATACGGATACCGATCCGATCAGAGTCGATCACGGTAATTTTTCAGAGTGGATAGAAACTTACGTTGACAATGGGCACGCCGTTGGCATCACTTCCGATCTCAATATCCTTCAGTGCGGCACCAGCGCCTTGGCTACTCACACCAAGAGACTTGAAAACAGCTTCCTTTGCGCTCCACCGGCCAGCGAACGAGGACTGCGGGGAGGCAGCCTTGCGGCAGTACTCTTGCTCACTGGCGGTGAAATTGCGCTCGACAAAGTCCTCGTTGGAGATGTTGACAGCGTCTATGTTCTCCACATCCACGCCGACCTTGCTGTTCTCGGTGGCGTGGGCCTTGGCCAGCGACTCGACCATTTGCCGGGTGCTTTCCGTGCCAGAAGCCTCGGCCTTGGGGGCGGCGGCGGAGTACTTCAACTCAGAGGTCTTCTTGTCGACGCTAACGCGGTAGTCGGGGTTCAGGAAGACCTTACTCTGGAGGTTGTCCTCGTACGGAGCCTTGTTCTTGGCGACAAAGATGGTGTTGCTGATCAGGCCGTTGTGGAAGTACCGGTAAGCCTTCTTTTGACGGGCCTCGACCTTGTTCTTGTAGGTCTGGTACTGTGCCTGGTCAAGAGCGGCATACAGATACTTGGGGTGGATACCAATGACCTGGGCACCCTTCTGACCGAAACCGAAGGAGGTGACCGAGAAGGCCTTGACTCCGTCGGTCTGGATGCTGCGGCTCGGGTAGACGATGTAGTCGAACTTCTCCATCACCTTATCAACGTTGTCGGCATTGCGGTTACCTGGAACGAGACCACTCTCCAGAACCTGCAGACAGCCGTTGAACATCCAAGCCCCGGCAGCACCCTTGGGGTGACCGGTCAGATACTTCTGGAAGATACCCATCACGGCATTGCCCTTCTTGCGGCCAAGGTGCTTGAGCTGTTGGCAGATCACATCGGACTCGTTCTTGTCGTTTGCAACAGTGGAGGTACCGTGGAAGGAAGCAACGCCAATGTCGTCGACAGTTAGACCCCAGGTGGCCAGGGCACCACGCAGGGGAGCGATGCGCGAATCCTGCTTCCAGAAGTTGTTGCCCAGGCTGAACTGAGCATCCTTCTCCTGGCGAACAGCCTCACGCTCGATGTGCTGGGCGCGCTCCTGCAGGTAGTCAGATTCATTGAAAGTGTCATCCCCCTGAGCCTTCATAGCCTCAACCTCCTCACGCAGGTAGAGTAGCTCGGACTCTTGCCATTCCTTGATCTGCTTCTTGCGCAAATCCAGCTGGCGGCGACGGTACTTGATGTCCAGCAGGGGCGAAGGGAACTTGCCAGGGTTCTCACGAGCAGTGGTGAGAACACCCTGACCAGGAGCGGGCACGGAGCGGCCGATCTTGTCGGTGGCGGTCGTAGTCAGGGCAATGATACCGTGGATCGGAACACCCATGTCCAGGGCAAGCTGGGCGGTCATAATGAGCTGCATACCGCAACCTTGCGACTCCATGAAACCGGCACGGGTGGTGGTGGTCGGACGCGACATCTCCTGAGGAGTGCGACCGTGAGCGAACTCATCCTCGGCGTTGCTGGTAGCCTTCATGTTGGCAAACTCGTAAGAGCCCTCCTCTTGGAAGTCATCGAAACCACCGACGAAGCAGACACGGGCCTTACCCTCGACAATGGTCTCGTAACCAATGTCAACGGACTCGACAGCAGTGGCGCAAGCACCAACGGGGGTCTTGATAGGACCAGTGGAAGACAAGAGCAGCATGTTCACCCAAGCACTCATGGTGTTGATGAAGGACTCCTGCAGGATATCCTTCTGCAGCGGCTTGTCAAGGTAACGATCCTTGTACATACCGCGCAGAGCATGGGTACCACCGATACCGGAACCAATGCAGTTACCAACTTCCGACAAGTGGACGTACTTGTAGAACTCGTACGGATCAGTGATACCGGCAGATAGCATAGACTCGGCGGTACAGACGAGAACGAACAGGGTGACCGGGTCGACCTGCTCGATGATATCCTCGGGAATACCGTAGCGGCGGGCATCCCAGCCGGTAGGGACCTGGCCAGCGACCAGACGGTCAAACTGCAGAGCCTTGGGGATAAGCAGGTTGGCGCCCTTGCGCAGGCGGACAGTGTACTCGCCCGACTCGGGGATTTCGAAGATCTCAACCTTGTCACCGTGTTCACGCTTGAACTCCTCAGCAGTCTCCTTGGAGGCCTCGAAGGGCTCGAGGTCCTCCTGGATGACGATCTCCTGTAGCAACTGTTTCTGCTTGGGATCGTAGCCCTTGAATAGCTCAGGCTCGATCAGGCGGATACCGGTGTGTTCAAGGATGTACTTCTCGTACTTGGGCTTGACGTCCTTGTCATCGACGGGGTCACCAGTCTTAGCATCAACCCAGCCAGAGTAGGCCTTGCCCTTGAGCGGACCGTTGTGGTGCCTTATCAGACCCATGATCCAGGCCATCTCAACACAGCCCTCGAGAGAGAACTTGCCATTGGCTTCCATCTCCCAACGAGTGCGAGAGTTACCCCAGGGACCAACCTCGGAGAAACCGGTGACAACGACGACCTTGTCGAGGTTGACCATACCCTTGAGAGATTCGTTGATGGGCTTGACCTCGCTCTCCCAGTCGGGGAGCTTGGGGAATTCAAACTTGATGTTGGCACGGGGCTCAGCAACGACCTTCTTGTACAGAACGCCGCTGTCCTCGCCGTTGACAACCTTGTGCTCGATGGCAGTCTCCTTAATGACGGCCTGGCGGACATCGCTGGTCTCCATGATATCAGTGCGGAGCTTGGTCATCAATCCCTTGAGATCGGGGATGAACTGCAGACCACCGTTCAGATCAGCCCAGACGGGGTCAAGTTGGCAAAGGTTGACGATAGCGGGGGACATCAGACCCAGAAGGTTGAAGGCCATCTCCTGCTGAGAGAAGGTGCGGACACCAAGTTTCTCAACACCCTCGGCGACCATGTTGTTGCCGCTCATCAGACCAGTACCGCGGGTCCAGCCGATAACGGCACCGCAGATGGTGAGGTAGTTGCTCCAGTTCTCAGAGTACCAGCGGTTGAAGAGGGTCTCCAGCGCCAACTTAGACTCGGAGTACAGACCGTCATTACCGAAGGTACCGTGGTTGGGGGACAGAGGCAAGACAACCTGAGCCGGGCGAGTCTCGAAGCCGTTGGCCTGCTTCTGGCTCTTGATAGAGCCCAGCATGCGGAGCAGGTTGGTCAACATGATACGGTGAGCCAGCTCGGACTTGGAATCAATGTTGTCAATCTCACGGCCATTCTCAGGGATGGCGGCGAAAGGAACGACGAAGTCCAGATCCCAGCCGAGACCCTTCTTAATGTCGTAGATGTATTCGACAAGAGCCTCCACATCTTGCTTGCTACCCTGGTTGAAGGGCACGACAACCAGCTGGGAACCGCGGGCACCGTAGCGGGCGTACATGGCCTGGTAATACTCGGTGACCTCACGAGAAAATCGGGAAGTGGTGACAATGACCTTGGCACCACCGCTGATCAGACCCTGAAGAACCTCCGCGCCGATGGAACCGGCACCGGCACCGGTCATGAGGACATTCTTGCCCTGGAAGGACAGACCCTCAGCAGCAGCGGACTCCAGCACCTTCAAGTAGGTGCCGGTGAGCTTCTTGCTGTAATCCCAGCCGTGCTCGCTCTTCTTCTTCAAGTGCAGGAAGGGAATGGTCTCGACCTTGCCGGGACGGGGAGCGCGCTTGATGCCAGACTTCTTGCCGTTCTCCTGAGGCATGATTTGACTCTCGTTCATGTTGAGGGCGTGCAGGACGTCCTTGTAGAGAGCATCGAACTGAAGCTGTGAGGTCTTGGAGAGACGATGTTGCTTGCGAATCATCTTATAGACATTCTTCAGGTCGTTCTGCACCTTGTTTCGGTTGCTGTACTCGGAGATGGGACCTCCCTCGGCCATCTGCTTGACGTAGTGCTCCAGCTTACGAGCGCTAGCACGGGGCACTTCCTTGTAGCCGATGGTACCCTTAGAGTCGATGGTGGTCTCAGGGCCGGTCGGGACAGCGACATCCTTGTAGACGGGAGCGACATCCATAACATCGCGGCAGTTCTCGATGAGCTGCTGTCCGAGCTCCTTGGCCAACTGGTAGGTCTCACCACGCTCTGTGGGGCAGTTGTCGATATGGTATTGCATGAAGTCGAGGAGAAGAGGGTTGGAGCGGTTCATGATGCGAATGCACTGGCTGACAATTTCACGGTCCACCACCTGCAGACGGCCGAAAATAATATCGTAGTACATGCTAAGAGCATCCTGGCGAGCCCAGTTCCAGGAGGAGTCGTACACGCGAGCCTTGAGAGGGTTGAAAGACGGCTCGATACCAGAGGCGTAAAAGTCACCGTGCTCGGCCTGCCACAGGTCGATCTGTGACTGCAGAGCCTTTTGGGTCTCTTGGGAAGTGATAAATGCCTTGTCACCGGCACGCAGGTCCATCTTGAGATAGCGGGCAATAGCCTCGAGCTGCTGCTTGAACAACGCACGCTGATCCTTGGTGAGGGCATCAATGGCGGCCGGGTCCATCATCATGCCACCACCGCCGCCGCCGCCGGAGTCACCACCGGCAGCAGGGGCAGAGAGGTTGATACCGGCGCTGGCGGCGTACTTGTTGGCGACATCGTCGAGGAAGGCCTTGGCGTCAGCCTCAGAGCCAAGACGGGAGGCCGGCTCCATAGTAATGGCGAGCAGCAGCACTCCGTCCTGACGGCCGGAGCCCAAACCCCAGCGGGTTTCCAAGTATTTCCGCACTGCTGTGATGTTGAAGCCACCGGGCATCTTGGAGGAGACGGTACGCGCAATCAAAGAGGACGACTGCTTGCCCAATTGGCCGTTGAAGGTGGCCTGCATGGCAGCACCAAGCTCGTCCAGCGGAGTGTCCTCCGGCTTCTCCGGTGTGGAGCCGAACTCTTTGCCCAGGTCACCCAGGATCTCGTTTTGTAATGTAGATTTGCCTGCGCAAGTTGAATTGGGTTAGCTACAGCTCATTGAGGTTCAATAGACTCAATGCGCCATTGTATTGCTAATAATGCACTCACCTCCAACCAAATCCTTAATCGCTTTTGTCAATGGCACATCAGCCAGGCTCTTCTTGAGCTTCTGCGCCACGAGGGATCGCAGCACGTCCACGGCGGTAACGGGGGCATCTTCGACTGCGGCCGCAGGGCCAGCACTGGGGGAGGGGGAGCTGCAGCGGCGGCAGGGGAAGCTACTGGAGCTGGAGCACCACCCGCAGGCGCTTCCGCCGCAGGCGTGGGCTCAGGCTCGTCCTCAATGGGGTCGACATCGTAATAGATCTCCTTAGCGTCCTTGTTATAGCAGAGAATCTGACGTTGCACGGAGGTAGCGGCGTCGTAGGCCTCGTACTTGGAGGCAAGTGTGCGGCGGGCCATGCCACCGAGGGTATCTGCGGGACCGATCTCGACAATGCGCTCGGTGCGCTGCTCGGCGAGGACGACATCTTGGGTTTCAATCCATCGGACGGGCGAGGCGAACTGGTAGGCGAGCAGCTCCACCAGCAAGGTGTGAGCCAGCTCCTGTTCGATCTCCGGACGCATGATGTAGTATTTGTGAGGGAGGAGGGGGGTATCGAGGAGAAGAGATATTAAGGTAGGTGTTCGGACTGGGGAGTCCTTGGAGGTGAGGGCGCAACGTGGGACTTCGTCGCTCTCGTGTTGCCCGCACGGCGTGGAAAGAAGGGATCCCAAAGAAGAAGAAATGAAGAAATTAAAACAAGACGATAATAGACAATGGGAGAAGGGGAGAATGGGGAAGCAGGTCTGGAGGCAGAGCGGACCAGATGCAGCAAAAAAAAAAAGGTGGGAGATACGCCGATAATGCAGGTGGTAATACCGGATACCGCGTGGTAATTTTGGCCTGTTGGCGTCTGTACTTGGGGACCGCCAGGTACCACCCGGCATCAAGGAACCACTACTTGACTACTTTTGACTGTGTATTCTGCGTCCGGGTGAGCGGGGCAGCATGGTGGGACGAGCAAATAAGGGCATGTTGAATAATCGAATCGACCATTATTAAACATGGTCGCAGGGTCAGCTGGGTGGGACTACACCCAAAAGAGGCCACGCAGGCATAACTCCGTGCTTCGGCCGGGCAGAAGGGATGGGAGAGAAGTGGTGAGCCGTTGGGGCTCTTTGACAGCGGGCCGCTACTGTAGGAACTGCCAGTGTCAGGCAGGCAACAGGCAGGAAGCGCGGTGGAGGCCAGGCACCCGTACGATACGCGTATGGTATTGCCCAACACCCCAGCGTCCCACTGAAAACGACAGTACCGACACTCGTTGAATCGGGTGGGGCCTGGCGCTAAACCGCTTTCGGGCCGGCCGTTCAACAGCGGATCTTTTTTTTTGCTTCACGCCATCTCCGCTCCTCTCCAGCACTCCCCCAGCTCTCTTGTCTCCAGCTCTCCTTCTTCCATTCTTGTTTTTGTTATTTTATTTAATCCTAGTTCCCGGTGTCTTCGCTCGAGACATCGTCAATTGGAGGTTAGTCACCATCCCTCGTGCCGCTGCATGCACCGGCTCTATTTTCTGGGAACCTCCAGCTGATCAGGATCTGTCTTCCAGCTCAATTGACGAGCCCGTGTTGGGTCTCTTGAGAGAGAATCTACGAGGTTACATCTTTGCCGACTCACATATACACCTCCGACCATGCACGGCACATCCACCGGTCCCCAGACCGGTATCAATACCCCCCGCTCTTCTCAGTCGTTGCGTCCCCTCATCCTCTCGCATGGCTCTCTCGAATTTTCTTTCCTCGTCCCCACCTCGCTTCACTTCCACGCCTCGCAATTGAAAGACGGCTTCGCCACATCATTACCCGAGCCCACAGACGAATTGGCCCTGGATGATGAGCCCTCCTCAGTCGCCGAGCTGGTGGCCCGCTACATTGGCCATGTGGCACGCGAAGTCGAGGAAGGAGAGGATGATACCCAGGGTAGCTACCTCGAGGTGCTCAAGCTCGTCTTGAACGAGTTTGAGCGCGCCTTCATGCGCGGTAATGACGTGCACGCTGTCGCCGCCGCCCTGCCGGGCATTGTCGCCAAGAAGAACCAGGTTGTCGAGGCCTACTACGCCGGGCGAGCCGCCGCGGGCCGGCCGACCAAGCCCTACGACTCGGCCTTGTTCCGTGCCGCGTCCGAGGAAAGCGCCGGTATCTACACCGTTTTTGGTGGCCAGGGTAACATCGAGGAGTACTTCGACGAACTGCGCGCCGTCTATACCACCTACCCCTCCTTCGTCGAGGACCTGATTGTTTCCTCCGCGGAGCTCCTGCAAACGCTCTCCCGCGAGCCCGAGGCGAGCAAGCAGTACCCCAAGGGTCTAGATATCATCCGCTGGCTTCAAGACCGTGATGCCCAGCCCGACACTGACTACCTCGTGTCGGCTCCCGTTAGTCTGCCGCTGATCGGTTTGGTTCAACTCGCTCACTACACCGTCACCTGCAAGGTTCTGGGCCGTCAGCCTGGCGATTTGCTGGAGCGCATTAAGGGTACCACTGGTCACTCGCAGGGTGTTGTGACCGCGGCCGCTATTGCTACGGCCACAAGCTGGGATTCCTTCGCCGAGGCTGCCCGCAATGCCTTGACCATGCTCTTCTGGATTGGTCTGCGCAGTCAGCAAGCGTACCCCCGCACTTCCATTGCCCCTTCTGTCCTGCAGGACTCGATCGAGAATGGCGAGGGTACCCCAACCCCCATGCTCTCTATCCGCGATCTCTCCCGGTCTGCGGTTCAGGAACACATTGATGCCACCAATCAGCACTTGCCCCAGGATCGCCACATTGCCATCTCCCTGGTCAACAGCGCTCGCAACTTTGTTGTGACCGGTCCTCCCATATCCCTCTACGGTCTGAACCTGCGCCTGCGCAAGGTCAAGGCCCCCACCGGTCTGGATCAGAACCGTGTTCCCTTCACCGAGCGTAAGGTTCGCTTCGTCAACCGCTTCCTCCCTATCACCGCTCCTTTCCACAGCCAGTACCTCACCTCTGCCTATGAACGGATTCTTGAGGACCTGGAGGATGTTGATATCCCTGCCAAGTCCCTCGAGATTCCTGTCTTCCACACCAAGACCGGTGAGGATCTACGCCAGCTTGGTGACAAGAGTGCTGTGCCTTCTCTGGTTCGCATGATTACCCACGATGCCGTCAACTGGGAACAGGCCACCGTCTTCTCCGGTGCTACTCACATTGTCGACTTCGGTCCCGGTGGCATTTCGGGTCTGGGTGTTCTGACCAACCGCAACAAGGATGGTACCGGCGTTCGTGTCGTTCTGGCCGGTGAGATGGATGGCACCAATGCCGAGGTTGGCTACAAGCCCGAACTGTTTGACCGTGATGAACACTCGGTCAAGTACGCTTCCGACTGGGTTAAGGAGCATGGTCCGCGTCTGGTGCAGACCTCCACTGGCCAGACCTACGTGGACACCAAGATGAGTCGTCTGCTGGGTATTCCCCCTGTCATGGTTGCCGGTATGACCCCCACCACTGTCCCCTGGGACTTTGTGGCTGCTACTATGAATGCCGGTTACCACGTCGAATTGGCCGGTGGTGGTTACTACAATGCGAAGACTATGACTGCCGCTATCAACAAGATTGAGAAGGCGATCCCCCCGGGCCGTGGTATCACTGTCAACCTGATCTACGTTAACCCCCGTGCTATGGCCTGGCAGATTCCTCTCATCGGCCGCCTACGCGCGGATGGTGTCCCTATTGAGGGTCTGACCATTGGTGCCGGTGTTCCCTCCATTGAAGTCGCCAACGAGTACATTGAGACTTTGGGCATCAAGCACATCGCTTTCAAGCCCGGCTCTGTTGATGCGATCCAGCAGGTCATCAACATCGCCAAAGCCAACCCCAAGTTCCCCATCATCCTCCAGTGGACCGGAGGTCGTGGTGGTGGCCACCATTCCTTCGAGGACTTCCACCAGCCCGTGCTGCAGATGTATAGCCGTATCCGCAAGCAGGACAACATTGTCCTTGTTGCCGGCAGTGGTTTCGGTGGCTCCGAGGATACCTATCCCTACCTGTCTGGTAACTGGTCGGCCAAGTTCGGCTACCCTCCCATGCCTTTCGACGGCTGTCTTTTCGGTAGCCGTATGATGATCTCCAAGGAGGCTCACACTTCCCACAATGCGAAGAAGGCGATCGCAGACGCTCCCGGTGTCGACGATGAGGAATGGGAGAAGACCTACAAGGGCGCCGCTGGTGGTGTCATCACTGTTCTCTCCGAGATGGGTGAGCCCATTCACAAGCTGGCTACCCGCGGTGTCTTGTTCTGGCAGGAGATGGACCAGAAGATCTTCAAGTTGGACAAGGCCAAGCGTGTTCCGGAGCTGAAGAAGCAGCGTAACTACATCATCAAGAAGCTCAACGACGACTTCCAGAAGGTGTGGTTCGGCCGCAACGCTGCTGGCGAGACTGTCGACCTGGAGGACATGACCTACACCGAGGTCGTTCACCGCATGGTCGAACTCATGTATGTTACCCATGAGTCTCGCTGGATCGACGACTCGCTGAAGCGTCTCACCGGTGACTTCCTTCGTCGCGTCGAGGAGCGTTTCACCACCGCCAATGGTCAAGCTTCGCTCCTGCAGAGCTACTCCGAGCTTGACACTCCGTATCCCACCGTTGACAACATTCTTGCCGCATACCCAGAGGCTGCTACTCAGCTGATCAACGCTCAGGATGTCCAGCACTTCATCCTTCTCTGCCAGCGCCGAGGCCAGAAGCCTGTTCCCTTCGTCCCCGTTCTGGATGAGACTTTTGAGTACTTCTTTAAGAAGGACTCCCTGTGGCAGAGTGAGGACCTGGAGGCCGTTGTTGGTCAGGATGTCGGCCGTACTTGTATTCTGCAGGGACCTATGGCCGTGCGTTTCTCCAACAGCATGGATGAGTCTGTTCAGGACATCCTAGACGGTGTTCACAAGGGTCACATCGCTGGCCTGCTTCGCGACATCTACGGCGGTGACAAGTCGAAGATCCCTGTCATTGAATACTTCGGTGGTCAGCTCGCCAGTCCCGAGGATGAGCCCGAGCTGGATGGTCTCACCATTTCGGAGGAGCCTAATAAGGTCAGCTTCCGTCTGTCTTCCTCTCCCTCTGCTGTTCTGCCCGATTCGGATCAGTGGCTGCGTCTGCTGGCCGGCGACTCCTACTCCTGGCGCCACGCCCTCTTCCAGGCCGATGTCTACGTTCAGGGCCACCGTTTCCAGACCAACCCCATGAAGCGCATCGTCGCCCCCACCGGTGGTCTGTATGTCGAGATCACCAACCCTACTGATCCAGCCAAGACCGTCATCAGCGTCCGTGAGCCCTACCAGTCTGGCAAGCTTGTCAAGACCGTCGAGGCCAAGATGAACGAGAACGGCCAGGTCAGCCTGACCCTGTTTGAGGGTCGCACCGCCGAGAATGGCGTTGTTCCGCTGACTTTCCTGTTCACTTACCACCCGGAGACTGGCTACGCCCCGATCCGTGAGGTCATGGGTGACCGCAACGACCGCATCAAGGAGTTTTACTACCGTATCTGGTTCGGCAACAAGGATGTGCCCTTCGACACCCCTACCACAGCCACTTTCAGCGGTGGCCAGGAGACCATCACGTCACAGGCTGTCGCCGACTTCGTCCACGCTGTCGGCAATACCGGTGAAGCCTTCGTTGACCGACCCGGTAAGGAGGTCTTCGCTCCTATGGATTTCGCCATCGTTGCTGGCTGGAAGGCCATCACCAAGCCCATCTTCCCCCGCACCATTGACGGTGATCTGCTGAAGCTGGTTCATCTGTCCAATGGCTTCAAGATGGTGCCCGGTGCCCAGCCCCTAAAGGTTGGTGATGTTCTCGACACCACAGCCCAGATCAACGCTGTCATCAACAACGAGTCTGGTAAGATGGTTGAGGTTTGCGGTACCATCAAGCGTGAGGGCAAGCCCATTATGCACGTCACCAGTCAGTTCTTGTACCGCGGTGCCTACACCGACTTCGAGAACACATTCCAGCGCAAGGATGAGGTGCCTATGCAGGTTCATCTGGCTACCAGCCGTGACGTCGCAATTCTCCGCTCCAAGGAGTGGTTCCGCGTCGATGAGAGTGATATCGAGCTTCTGGGCCAGACCCTTACTTTCCGTCTCCAGAGTCTGATCCGCTTCAGAAACAACACCGTCTTCAGCAACGTCCAGACTATTGGTCAGGTTCTTCTGGAGCTGCCCACCAAGGAGGTCATCCAGGTAGCTTCCGTCGACTATGAGGCCGGCGCTTCTCACGGTAACCCCGTAATCGATTACCTGCAGCGCAACGGTAACTCCATTGAGCAGCCCATCCACTTTGAGAACCCCATCCCGCTCAGCGGCAAGACTGCTCTTGAGCTGCGTGCCCCGGCCTCCAATGAGACCTACGCTCGTGTCTCCGGTGATTACAACCCCATCCACGTGTCGCGTGTCTTCTCGAGCTACGCCAATCTCCCGGGTACCATTACCCACGGTATGTACAGCAGTGCCGCCGTTCGCAGTCTAGTTGAGACCTGGGCTGCTGAGAACAACATCGGCCGTGTGCGTGGTTTCCACGTTTCACTGGTTGGTATGGTGCTCCCCAACGACATGATTACCGTCAAGCTTCAGCACGTTGGTATGATTGCTGGGCGCAAGCTCATCAAGGTTGAGGCCTTCAACAAGGAGTCCGAAGAGAAGGTTCTTGATGGTGAGGCCGAGGTTGAGCAGCCGGTGACTTCCTACGTCTTCACAGGTCAGGGTTCTCAGGAGCAGGGCATGGGTATGGAACTCTATGCCAACAGCCCTGTTGCCAAGGAGGTCTGGGACCGGGCTGACCGTCACTTCATCGAGAACTACGGTCTCTCCATCATCGACATTGTCAAGAACAACCCCAAGGAACTCACTGTCTACTTTGGTGGTCCCCGTGGTAAGGCTATCCGCCAGAACTACATGTCGATGACTTTTGAGTCCGTCAACGCCGATGGCTCTATCAAGTCGGAGAAGATATTCAAGGAGGTTGACGAGACTACCGCTTCGTATACCTACCGTTCTCCCACTGGTCTGCTGTCTGCCACCCAATTCACCCAGCCTGCTCTTACTCTGATGGAGAAGGCCAGTTTCGAGGACATGCGCTCCAAGGGTCTGGTTCAGCGTGACAGTAGCTTTGCTGGTCACTCTTTGGGTGAATACTCGGCTCTGGCTGCCCTGGCCGATGTCATGCCCATCGAAAGCTTGGTCTCGGTCGTGTTCTATCGTGGTCTAACTATGCAAGTCGCCGTCGAGCGTGACGAGCAGGGTCGCTCCAACTACTCCATGTGTGCCGTCAACCCCAGCCGTATCTCCAAGACCTTCAACGAGCAGGCTCTGCAGTACGTTGTGGAGAACATCTCTGAGCAGACTGGCTGGCTTCTGGAGATTGTCAACTACAATGTTGCCAACATGCAGTACGTTGCTGCTGGTGATGTAAGTTTCCCCCTCTTTCTCTGTTCGCCATGCAATTGTAATCATAAGAACAAGCAAAACTAACATCATTCCAGCTCCGCGCCCTGGACTGCCTCACCAACCTGCTCAACTTCCTGAAGGCTCAGAACATCGACATCCCCGCACTGATGCAAAGCATGTCTCTGGAAGATGTGAAGGAGCACCTGGTCAGCATCATCCAGGAATGCGTCAAGCAAACCGAAGCCAAGCCCCGTCCCATCAACCTGGAGCGTGGTTTCGCTACCATTCCTTTGAAGGGCATTGACGTCCCCTTCCACAGTACCTTCCTGCGCTCTGGCGTCAAGCCCTTCCGATCTTTCTTGCTCAAGAAGATCAACAAGACCACCATCGACCCCAGCAAGCTGGTTGGCAAGTACATTCCCAACGTTACTGCTCGTCCTTTCGAGATTACGAAGGAGTACTTTGAGGATGTTTACCGTCTCACCAACTCGCCCCGTATCGCTTCTATCCTGGCGAACTGGGAGAAGTACGAGGAAGGTACCGAGTCTGCTGCCAAGGCCTAATAATGTCGATTGTGATATCCCTCTAAACCATTTGAGTTTGTTTTTCTCATGTCTTAATGTGTGTTCTTCTGATAGAAAGACCCGTCGCCGTCGGGTCATGATGTGATATGTCTCGTCTCTATTTGGCGCTAACTCTCAATGTACATGTTTTCGTTTCGTTCAATCGGTTATCATCATCACTAGCCAACTTACTCGCGTAGCATGTAGCTGTAGAGCCTCCTAGTCGTCAATCAATCGAATCTAATAATCGTAAGAGTACGCCGGGCCATAACGGCCAAAGCTCACTTTCCAATTTCAGTAGGATTTGATGCATGCCTGAATTATAGATTTTTATACATCAATCTGACCCCCTACATCGTAACAGTCTTCTGAACAGCCATCGACCTAGTAATATTGCTACCCCTAATCCTATACGGCCGATGAAACTTCAAGAAGTGTTATAGATATAAAATCTTTTCGTAATTCTAGTAACTTTCCGTCTTGTCGGTGTTGGATCATCCATCAATCGAAAACAAGGGAATCAACATGGACGAAAAATAAGGAAAGTGAGCTCTGGTTTCAAGCCAACCGTAGTAAGAGAAAGAATATGCAGACGAGCATGCCATCCAGGCAGTGCTTACATTCATTGGGATTTTGATCAATATGGTACATAACGCTGAAGTCCCCTAGAACTCCTCAAATCCTGACCAAACATAGCTCAAGCTCCTTGGTGTGGCATGCTCAATCAGAGTTCTACGCATCTTTCCACGGACCAGGCCTCAGCATCCGATCCTCCTTTCCATAAACACTGACATCCTTGACAATAGCGATAAACCGGCGATGATTCTCCTTCGAATCCCCAATACGCGGACGGAAGATTCGCAGCAGGTCGGTGCTTAGAATACCAGTAGCAGGAATAGCCGCATGGATCTCAGCAGGCGTTGGGAATGGTTGATTTCCTGCTGGAATAGGAGTGGACATACGGCCTGGGCAACAGTTAGTATTGACAGGCATAGCGAAAGAAGATTGGGGTCAACAAAGAACGTACCTTTCATGCCGCCCTCGGGGCTACCAGCTCGAGAGCCTTGTGGTGTGCCGCCTCGAGAGGTACCAGGGGGGTTCAGTTTCAATTTCTTCGTCTTGCCGCTCTCGCTCATTTCGCCGCCGGATCCTGCAACTTCGACATCGCTCCCAGAGCCCGAGCCGCCGAGTGGGATGTTTCGGACTCGCTTTTTGCCAGCCTGCGGCCAACGGTCGCGTAAGTTTCAGTGTTGGGGGTTTTTATGAGGTTAATATATGGAGCTCACCTGCGATGGGGAAATCGGTCGTGACGTCGGCTGAGGAGTCGGGTGCGAAGACTGGTGTTTGTTCTTGGCCTTCTTCCGCGACGTATCTGTTCCACTGGCATCCGAGCCAGTGGGTGAGCCTAGGCGCTTGCGAGACGCGGCCGATTTCTTCAGAGCATCTGTGTGCTTAGGACGGCCCGAAGGAGTATTGGTGCCCTTTGATGAGACCGAGTCCTTTTGGTTCTTTTCCTCTTCGGCATTCTTCTTTTCTTCTTCCTTAGCGCGCTCGGCCTCGCTGTCATCGGAGCTCTAGAACACAAAAAGCAATTAGTCAATGCGGCTGATACTCGATTGGCAGGTGATTACCAGTCTTACCTCCTCATCGGTGTACGGGTTGGCATCCGAACCACTGCTGTAGTCGTAGTTCTTCTCTCGCTTCTTCAGCGCCTTGCGCATCTTCTTACCCTGGACGTGGCGAGCTTCCTTCTCCCACTTCTCACGTTTCTCCTCGTCCTCGTAGTCCTTCTCGTCTTTGAGATCGAAGACATTCGCCTTGAGCTGATCTTCTTTAATTCGCTTCTCGGCTTCCTTGGCGTCCTCGTCCTGCTCGGTGAAAAGATCATCATAGTGCTCTTCATCGTCGGCAAATCGATCTTCTTCAAAATCCATCTCGCCCGCCCCCAAGCCTTCTCTTCCACCCGAGACACCTTGTTTGCCAGCAAAGACCTTGCGAGATTTGGCATATTGTTCCAGCTCTTTTTGCTCCTTCATCTCTGCCTGTTTCTCCATGAACCATCGCGGATCTTTGATCCGCTTCGACATGTGCTTCTCCGCCTCTTCGATGGTCAAAGCCTTGAAGTGGCTCTTGGCAGTAAATTTATACCATTTCTCAGCAGGAATCATCCGCACCTTTCCATTGTCAAAGAAAAAAACAGCATGGGTTTCGGACAGAGCTGCCTCGTAATTACCCACCCAGATGTTCCGATTATCGAAGTCCTCGAGATGCCACGGCAATGCCTCCTCATACCGGACTCGAGCCTTTGCGATTTCCTCGGGTGTATAATCAGACTTGTACACTTGTTGGGTCTTTTGCTTGGGTGCATTCGGCCGCTTCGCTGATGATCCCACAGAAGGCGCGATTTGAGCTAGATTCTCTGCGCGCTCTTTTTCGCGCGCTGCTCGTCTTGCATCCAGGGCTTCCCGATCCGCCTCTGTGAGTTGTTGACCATCTGGTCCGACCAGTCTCTCCGGATTTGTTTCGTTCGTTCGAGTGCGGGGATCACGGCGATGCAGGCGAACCGGGCGCGTGAACTGCGACTCGTCGCGAGGATCGACACTGCGCTTCGCTGCGAAGCGCGCAATGTGATGCTTGATTCCCTCTCTCAGGGCTCGTTTTGTAGTCACCACCGGATAATCAACGTATGTTTCAGAGAGTAGAGAACCACTGAACCCGTTTACTGCGTGGTCGTCCTTCACGGGAAGCCGGTTTCTGTCTGGTTGGGACTGCGGTGGAACATTTGAGGCCGCTGGGTGCGTTGGTAGGGTTTTCGAAGCAGTGGATCCCCCTGGAGCAGCTCCTCCCGGGGCAGTTCCAGCGGGCTTAGGCTTTCTCTTTGGGCGAACTAAGGGGTCTGCTGGCCTGGGACGGCGGATGCGCATCGGAGGAGGTCCGTTCGGGCTGGTTGGCTTCCGGCCATTCGACGGGTTGACCGGAGTCGACATGTCTGCTCGAAACCAGGATCTTAATATCCTTGGATCCAGAGACAAGGGGATCGAGCCGAAGAGATGGCACTGTTGAAGAGAACGAGGAGGGAGGGGAGAGGAGTGAGGAGACGCGCCAGTGGAAGTGAGGTCAGCGACGAGCTTAGTCATGCGGGCTTGGCGCCTTCGCAGCTACAAAGAAATGACTTCACCGTAGCACGATTGTACAGCTCTACTAATTCGTCGACCCTGGAGGTCAAGTAACTGCTGGGGGTTTTATCTTTGATGCAAAAACAGTCGTCTCCTTCTCATTTTCTACAACCGAAAGAATTTTACTACAGCAGCAATAAATAAAAGGTGTCATGAAATCTTCGTGCCTCGTAACTGAATGAATGCATAAGGACTTTACACCCGGGTTATCAGCCATGCCGTTATTGCCCAAATTTCTGACCTGGTTCCAATACTTTGTATGGGCAGGCAACCCAGTCGCACCCCTAGTTGTTGGGTCAGTAAATAGCCTTGTAAACATATCTCTTTTAGACATATTTCCACACTTACCTGCTTGTAAATTTCCGTCCCCCACCATTTGAACCCATCAACAAAACCAGGGTAAATGAATGCGAAGAATACAACAATGACGGCAAATGCCAGACCTGAGTCCAAAGCCGCAGATAGAGTCATTGCATACTTCTCCCACCAGGCTGTCTTGCGGCGCCGGATCACGTAGTTAAATACGAAACAAACGAGCGCCCAGATGGAGAAGTTCAAACCAGTTGCGGGGGGGATCCAACTCAGGCTTCCAAATAGGATTGGGAAATTGACTTTGCGCCAGAAATTTTTCTTGCTCCGTCTTCCAAGGGCCCAGGCCCCCAGTGGTGCCACTGCACCGATCAAGAATGTCCATACAAGGGGACGGTAGAGGCCGCCGGGACCAAAGAAGCGCTGCGGGCCAACAACTCCCCAGAGAATGCTCCCATTGAAGTGCACCCGCGCAATAGGACAGTTGAAGCCGTTCATTGCCAGGGGAGTACAAAGCATTGGGATATGAGTAAACATCCAGTTCAAAACGCCAATTTGGGTCAAGCTGGATACTAGTGTTGCCATCATCTGAACACCAAAAAGTAGACGAGGCGGGATCTTCATGTAATGGCCGAGCTTCAGATCTGACGAAAATTTGATCCCTTGGGCGGAACTGATGTAGGAGTAAGTCACGAAAATCATGTTCGCGACCGGTCTTCCGGGGAAGACAATACCACAGAGAAGCTGGCATATTAGGTAAAGGCTGCTGTGTTGATTCGTGACAGCCATTATGATGCCAACAGGGATGAAAAAGACGCTAGTAACACCAAGGGCAAGAAGCAACCCATACCATGGCAGATGCACCGGATAACTAGGCGGAGTCAGCAATGATCGAGAAATACGAGAAAAGACCCAGATACGCACTGTTCCACGGTGTATATCGCAATAGCCAACATCGTGATCAACACGATAAGGTACCAAGTGAGCGGGGCATCTTCGTAGCGTCTCATTAGGCGGCAATGGACATCTTCCATGCCCAAAGGCATCTCCCGATTGGTATCGCGCGAGCTATCCCCGGACGCCTCTTGGCTGTGGTGAGTGGAAGAACGTCGTTGATCTGTTTGCAAGGGCTGGTAGGTCTCCATGCCCGGTAGCTCCCGACGCTCTTCAAAGGCTTTTCGGGTCTGTTGCCAGATGTCTTTACCATACCAACAGACGGTGTGGGTTACCAACGATGTCAGGGCCGCAAATTGTACACCATAGGACAGTACATAAGTGATGGGCAGATACACGGGAGAATATTCATCGTAGGCTTTTTTGTCGAACAGAAAATCGGAGGTCAGAATCCGGCTCACGTTATAGGGATGTCCGGTGTTGTCGAAGACTGCTGCAGACAGAATAGGCATGTAGGAGGTGAAGAGCACATTTTTATAGTCTTCACAAATCATCAGCCAAATTAAGTACCCACCAGAACCGATGGGTCAGAACTTACACATGATTGGAGCAATGGCCCAGATGACAATCACCAAACCGGTCACAATGTTGGCTGCTGCCCACCAAGGCGTCAGTAGTGGAGATCCAATGTACGCAATCTGTGCCCAGTCAAAAGTCAATGGAAACATTCCAAGACCCGAAGCAACTCCAAACTTAAAAATTGCCAATCAGTAAAGATGAAGCGGTATGCGAGGAAAGAGGCCTTTCGTACCAGGTTGGAGACCACAACATTTTTTGGAGCAAACCAGGTGATCACGTTGAAATAACTCAATGCTGGCATGAGCAAACCTGGGATAAAATACCAGAGGAAAGCAGCGCCCCAGACGACAATGAAGAACTTGTACCGAGAAATACTCCAGCCATTTGCCTTCTTGTTGGCAGTCTTATGCATGGTCGAGAACATGGCCGTCGACATCAGAGTGCCTGGCCAGATCATGGCCGATGGTCGCACAAGGAAACGTCTGGTTAGGCCGGCAAATGCGTATCCAAGCACTTGAGTGGAGATGATGAGTAGGAGCTGATACATGATCGGGACCTCTTGCTGGTAAAACTTATGCTGCTCCACAATCACCTTATTATGTTTCGAGTCAGTTACTAAAATAACAGCATTATTCGGTGACGAGACTTTAAATACTCACATCCGTTGCAAAGGCAAACCCAAAGGAGACATTGCTGCTGATATAGACACATGCGTGTTCTTTCTCGTTCCAACGACCCTGGCCGAGCCAGAGTCGCATTCTGGATAGCCAATTGATCTCCGGCGCATCGATCTCGCCTGAGAGTAATTCACGATGGTGCAGAGTACCATTTTCAAAGACCTCCAAGGGGTCGCCGGTTCTTTTCAGCAGGGCATCCCAGAACTTGCCCAGCGGATGGACGAGAACAAGCGCGATGATCGGCGTTATGGCAACGCTGGGGTAGCGAAGAGAAAAGAAGAGATTGGCGGCCGACCCTGACAAGGAAAAAAGCAAAGAAAGAATCCACATGCGGGGGGCTACAGGCAATTATTAGATATCGACGCACTTGCGAGCGATGACAAGGATCGGAATGAGGGCAACAAGGAGTAGTACATACTATTGATTGAAAGCGAAATATTATCTGTTGCCGGTACTATGGCTCGCACTTGTGCATAACTGTAGTGTTACGACTAAAATTAGCAATCAGCTGGTTCGTCAGGGTTGCTGCAGCATGGCAAACACGGGCGCCATGGGCAGCCAACGGCCATTTCCACTTACGGCGAATTATCCGGAGGGTCCTCCTCTGATGATTTCGTATCTTCTCCATCAAGATCGAGGCTATCTTCCTCGTCACTGGTGATATACGGCGACGATGCCGGCGTTTCTTGCATTACTGGATTACCAGGCACCGCGAGGCCTGTTGCAAAGGAATATTTGGAATCGGCGCCCATACCAACATCTGAAGTGGCAGACGAAGGTCGACGATTGCGATTCCGGCCCTCTCTCCTATGCCAGCCACTGCTTCTTCGTCGGCCCGACGAGTGTGACCGTCTAGTCTCTGGCTGCCGTTGTCCATTGTCGGAAGGGCCCTCGGTGCAGCTCTCGGAGCTGGTTCGCTCCGTTTGTGACTGGAATCCTGATCCTGATCCGCGAGCTCCCTTGTGTCCGTTCGCTCGAATCACGGCCGAACTGGCCTCGCCTTCGGAGTCAGGGTCCTGCGGAATGCGCACCGCTCCGTAGGACGAGGAGCCCAACGCGCGCGAGGAACGGATGAGCGGGGCGCGCGACATGAAGGTCCCGAGGCGCTGGGCGAGGGACCGATGGGGCGAGTTCACGTCGGAGTGCGAATCGCCGCATCCATCGTTGGGGAGATTGTCGAGGTCGCCGCCGTCGCAGTTGCCGTCGTCGCGGTTGCCGACTTCGTGAGGCCTTTCGCCTGGCGGAGACCGCCTCCGCGTCTGCAGCGGAATGTCCGTGATGATGACGAGGAATCTAAGTAGGTGCCAGGAGACCAAGGTGCGCTTTCGAGTCGACTAGGTCCGATGCCGTTGTCTGTCGTCTGTAGTCTGTCGTGAAGTGAGCCCGGCTTTTGCGTGAGAGATTTGGTGGGGGCCCCACTAGAGCCACGAAGCTCTGGAATCTGGTTAAGGCGGCCGATTGTGGCATCCTTCAGTATTGAACCGCCCAGGACATGCTCATACGGGTTTAGGGAAGGAGGCTTTTCCTAGCGCTCTTTTACGGGACGCCATACACGAAACTCGAGGTTCGTTCCAATCCCGAGTGGTACAAGTATATATCTATGGCACATATTTACTCTATATATGTTGTTCAACTCTACTACTTTTCGCCATTTACGGCCTAGAACAGCTCCGTCACTTGTTGGTCCTCGTCCGCCGCTGGCGGTGCTTCTAGCTGCGCCTGCGCCTTCGCCAGACTAGCCTCAGTCTGCTGTCCCTCGCCCTCCTCATCGCGCATCAGCACTTGAACCAGTCGGTCACAAGCTTCCTTAACTCCTTCATCGTTCACGTGCAAGTGGCATTCTCGGATAACAGGGTACACTTTCACCTCGCGCATGAGGTTTCGACCTTCCCGGGTCGTGGTCAACAAAAGAAGAGTCTCCAGGTGGGTCGTGATGATCGTGTTGTCACTGTCGCGCCTCTTATCCGGCCCCAGCAGCTGAAGATCCGGGTGCATTGACATCATCTCATCGTCGGGGTATTCCTCGGGGCCAGTGATGGGGAGCAGGAGGTAAGGGAGGAGATTGGCGGCATCTTCGTCAAAAAGCATTGGATGTGAGGGAACGTCGAAGGCCACATTCTTGATGGTGGAGGCCACGCCCTTCCGGCGGATATCGCTCTTATGTTCGGTGAAGACGGTCAATTTGGTAATGGGCACCACGCTGTCGTATTCCTGGCGTGTGGTGAAGTAGCTGCGGCCTTTTTCGGTTTGTGAAAGATCGGCGAAGAAATAGGACAGGTAGTCAAAGTTGGCGTTCTTGTTGAGCCCCCCTCTGCACCCTTCACGAAGCAGTCCATTAGCTGGTCGATGGCATTCGCGGAACTGGACACGCCCTCGGGCACCCGGCGCTTTACTGAAAGCAACTTCTGTAGCGCATCAGACTTGGCGAGGTTTGCCAGGAGAGTCGCGAACTCGTCGGCATTGGGCTCTTTTATACTCTGCGAAGGACCCGGTCACCAATGTCAGCTCTATGAATATAAAATATTTTTGTATGCAGTGATGTGGATCGACATACCGTTAATTTGAAGAGCAATGTTTCGATGAAGTCGTCATCCTCGGCCAGATTTTTTAAAACCTCTTCATCGCTGGAGAGATTAATCAGAATGGTCAAGGCATTCTTCGCAATGGGCTATACATGAAAGTGGCGCAATCATTAATGTGGCCGATCGAGGGATTTGACTGGGGGACTGGACGCACAGTATAGTCGCGAGCCAACAGCTTCAGGTCGCGCACAGGGAGTAATTGCTGACGCTTGAACAGGCTAGGTTGGGCTGTGGAGAATCCCACGAGGTTCTCACAGGCTGCAACAGTGAGTATGCGGCGTGGGTTGGAGTCGAGGCTGGTAGTCCTGGGCATGCGTACCGATCTGTCGAATCTGGGTGTTGCCGTGGTGGAGAAATTCCACCAGCTATAAGAAAATCCAAGTCAGCTGAAACTGCAGCAAGCATAGAGTGAACGTATCGGCCTACCTCCTCGAGTTCAGTGGGCATCTTGGGCGATGTGCAAAATGAAAGTCGCAACTTTTTTTTCTGCCGCAGAAAAGAACCGAAGTGGGGAGATTCCGACGTCACCGCGGGGCGCTCTTCTATACCACGATCCTCCAATTCTTGGACAATTCGCAGGTTAATGGTGTCCAATGGACTTGATCTGGTCGATTTTGATTTGCTGTCATATTAATCCCCACAGTTGATCACATCTCTGCACAGAATGGTATTTCCTGGAAAAATAAGAGATATGCCGGGCGTCTACTTACTTAGCACGGGCGGTCCTAGTCAACCACCCTACCCCCCCCCCCCTCCCGGGATTTCACTCCAACCGTCTTCACCCCTCCCAACACCACCTTTATATTTAGAATGACAGAACCTAATCTCAACGAGATCCATGACTTTCTTGTTTCACTCGCCTTCAAGGCTGGTGAGATCATCAACAATGCTTTGCCGGACACAAGTGGCCCAGGCTCAAAGAAAAACAGTACGTACGCTGGTTCGACAGCGCCCAAAGAGGGGATATACCATAGAAAAGACAGAGATTCAACTGATCTGACCTTTTCAGGTGCCGACCTCGTAACGCAATATGACCGTGCAGTTGAGAACATGATTTCTACCTCATTGAAGGAAAAGTACCCCGATTACGCGTAGGTTCTCATTCTCATCATCGTCACTGCGCATACACCCGATCTGATCCGGATGCTGTCCCCCAGCTTCCATGGCGAAGAAACCTACGATCCTGCGAGGCCCCTAACGGATGCTCCGACATTTATCGTGGACCCGATTGACGGTACAGTCAATTTTGTCCACGGCTTTCCCTGCGCCTGTGTTTCCCTGGGCTTTGCAGTGAACAGAATACCCACCGTCGGCGTTGTCTACAATCCCTCAACGAAGGCTCTCTACTCCGCCATCAAAGGACAAGGCGCATTCCTGAACCATGAGACTCGCCTACCTCTGAAGGGAGACCACGTGGAACCGTTGTCTGGACTGTCCAATGCGCTCATCAGTATTGAATGGGGATCCGATCGCAGAGGATCCAACTGGGAGACCAAAGTTCGAACCTTTGAGAAGCTGGGCCAGGCAAAGGAAGATGGCGGGGCGATGGTTCGCTCATTTCGGAGCATGGGGTCCGCAGCGCTGAATATTTGTGCGGTTGCTGAAGGGACCCTGGATCTATATTGGGAGGGCGGTTGCTGGGAATGGGATGTTTGTGCTGGATGGGTAATTCTTTCTGAAGCAGGGGGAATTATGGTTGATGGAAATCCGGGGGGTTGGGAGACGAGTCTGGATGGGAGGAAATATCTTGCTGTCCGGGGGGCTCCATCAGCAGGGCAGAAGGGGATTGTGGAGGAGTTCTGGAGTTATATTCAGGGCACATTAACCTACTGACCACGAGACAGAGGGTCGGGGTGAGCGTGCCATGGTATAATAAATTACAGGGTATGTCCAACGACCTAGGTATAATTATGTACAGATCTCTATATATCAAATCGCGCTGATTATGGGGCTGGCCGAAGCGCTGGTGACCATCGAAATCCAGCATCATCGTCTTCATCCAAGCCAGATTCGTAGTCGTCATCTTCGTCCACTTGACGGTCGGTCCAACGCGCCGAGTCCTGTCGAGAGACGTCCGTGTAATGTGAATGCGAACGTGCATGAGTGCTCGCCGTTTCGTGCGATTGATCTTCGCATGGGAAGGCCTCGTGTTGCTCGCGTGCGAGTTTCAACCCGGCAGCGTCATCCTTCCGCCCACCTTGTAGCAAAATGGCTCCGCTCTGCTGATTACCCCCTGTGTTGGTTGCATGAGAATCACATTGGCCTTCCACTTCGTCGCCTGAGCTCGTGGGCCCGATGTTAGGGGATTTGGCCCTGTCGAAATTTCGATTTAGCGTGTCGTCTACTTCCGCCATGGACGAGGGGACAAAGTGTGTATCGACAAGGTGCTTTACAACAGGCCATCCGTAAGCATTGGTGAACATGCGTCGCACAATGATATTGTTATGGGCATCCGGTTCCAGGCGAACAAGAACTTTGCGCCAAGAGAGATCACGGTGATACGCTCGTGCAATCTTCTCCTCGACTTTGAGTCCACTCTCTCCACTATTACCGGGTGCACCCGAGCTTGAGGGTAGCTGTGTTTCAGAAGAAGGCACTGTCTTGGAGTTCTTGTTTTGCGATGAGCCGAAGGCCATGGTGCGTCTCTTGACAGGCATCGGTGGTGGTATATCATCAGGATGATAGATCCGATCATGGAAAATGGTGCGAGAGCGAGCAGCAGGGTCCAGAATGAACTCGCTGGGAGGCAAGGGCGGCATTAACAGATCTCCCGCAGACTCGAAGAAGGTCGTTTTCGGTGGCGTATAAACTCCGTCATCTTCATACAGCGAATTACCCCGAACAGGTGAGGGCGTGGGTGTCTCATGGGTGTCAAAAGATCCTAGTGTCTGGCTTCGTTTATAGATCTTGGAATGCTTGCCACTGGGGGTCTGCTTGGGCTCTAATTTAGCTTCCTTGGGCCGAAACAGGGACAGGAAGCTGCTCAATGGCCCCGAGCTGTTTTCTGAGGCATTCTCCCTTGGGCCGGTCTCGCCTGTATAGTGATTGTGGTTCTGAGAAGGAAGCCCCTGTTGATGTTGATGTTGGCTTTGTGCAAGGAACTGACCCGGGCTGGGCGAGGGTGAATCACCGCCCACCGCGAAGGCTTTATGGCCATGCAACGCAGACGTACCGTCTCCACCACTCAGTTCTGGCATGTCGCCCGAGCGAGGCAGTCTTGGGGACTTGGAATTGGCCCCGGTCAATTCGGCCCAGCCCCATTCAGCCATTGTTCCCACCAAACCATTGCCTCGCCTCGCCTTTTCAACCCGCTCCAGCCCTCGCCAGTCAAGGAAGAGAAGACAAGAAGTCCGGAGCGGGACAATTCCGTCGTTCACGACGTTCGAGTAAAGTGTCCGGTGATGGAATTTGTGAAGCACCTCGTGGGCAGGCCCGCAAGGCAAGATCCGCAACAGAGGCTTTGCACCAGGATCTGACTGGCTTTGGTCTTTTGCCGAGCCTCCACGACCTCCAATGATGGCACCCCAGCCACTGCGGACTTTCGGCGCGGTCCAGCTTAGTCCCAGGTCTTGCCCAGTTCGTCCCACGAGTCCCAAATCAAGTGCAAACCGGACATACATGGGGTTCTCATTGCTGAGGCCCAGGAAGGGTGTCGCAAGAGCGATGAAGTTGATGGGTTGAATCCGCTCAAAAAATTCAGGTGAGTGTTTTTGGATGTAGGCGATGGCGTATGTTTGAATTAGTCCCCCAAGCGAATGTCCGATGAAGCTGATGCTGGTGATCTGATAGGCGTGATCCTCTCCGTCCGTGAGATCCTCGCGAGTCTCTGGTTGTGAATGGGGCTCAAGAGAAGGCTTCGCCTGCTCCTTGTGCGCACTGAAGGGCCGAGAAAAGGGCTTTGCCTTGGGGCCCTTCAGAGGGAAGTACGGTTGATCCGGATAAGTCATGAGTAGAACATATTTGGCCAGTCGCTTCCCAAGATATTGAATGCCACGCTCCGTACGAGCGGCATTTCCAGAGAATCCCCGGACGACAATTTGCTCATCACTATCATCAGTCCCACCCTGGCCCGTTTCTCCTCCACTGGCTCGTTTCCGGGGCTTGTTCATAGCGGCATCGATACTCTCCTTGAGATACAACATATCCGCGCCCAGATTACTGTGCAAGCCGTGCGTTAGTACCACCAGGTGAATTCTTTTTTCGGGGGCTTTGGAGCCGGGGTCGCAGTGAAGTCTCCAAGTTGCTGGAGACCCGATGCGATACCGTCAACATCATCAGTGCTAGACTCGGTGGACTGGGACAGCGGCTTGGAGGGGAGCGGGGGGCTATTCCAGAGACTACTCGTGCCATCGACGTGCACGGTGAGAGACTTTGAATATACACCTTTCGTCGCTATGACCTGCTGTCCTCGCGTTTCTGGAAGCCAATGTTCATGGAATTTCCCTGGGGGCCCCATACCCGCTCCGCCACCTGAGAAAAATTCCATTGACCTTGCATCACGGCCGACCAGCAATTCAAAGTGCACCACCGCGCTACTGGAGAAGATGACCTGTGATACGATCTCGATGACCCAGGTCACACTTCGGTCATGCCCGGGCTCAACTCGACCTGCCGCTAATGCATGCGAGTCCCCGAAGTGCGCCGGGATCTTGATCGTAGCATCCCAGTTCCCGCCTGCTTTCAGATAGGGTTCAAATTGCGGAGATCCTTCGGACTCCTGGCTATCGTATTTGCTGTTGGGGTCGAATTTGGCGGGGTAGCAGGCCGTATAGAGGGTGTATGGCCCATGGAGATAGGCCGCGCGGAGGGGGATCGCGGATGTATTCTTCACTCGTACGTGGAGTTCTGAGGGGATTGGGAGGATCGGATCAGCTGCCGGCGTGTATGTGAGAGTATATCTGCCGATAGCAATTATATTAGTCTTCCAAGCTCTGGTCTTTAACCGAATTCCCCGTCACGGCGGCCGGAGAGCTCGGACGAGGCGAAGCGCAGAGAGAACTTACCTAGCGATTTCTCCGACGCGCACACTGCCGGTCTGGTGGACCAACAGCATATCTGAAGCCAAAATTGCCTCCGCGGGTGCTTGGCGCCAGCCAGCAAGGGTGTAGAAGCGAGACGCGCCTTCAGCGCGGGTGAGGACCGCTCCTTGTTCGGGGGTTTGCGAAGCGGAATAGGTTCGAGGCGTGATCAGCATCGAATCCGAGCACTTCCATGGTCCGGCGCAGCCAGTTGATCGAAGACGACAAGTGCGGAGTCATTCATACACACAAGGGCAAACGAGCACGAAGGCGGGTGATGTCTGGGAAACGCCGGGAGGTCGGGACGGGCCCTGATCTTCGCTCGTGATGGGTCATCCCGCACAAGCGGATCGGCGCCAACATGCGCGGGTTGGACATGCTACAGGCTACCGAGGCGTCCTACGGCTGCATTCACCAGTATCTAAGGCAGGTGTGGTTGGATTTGCGGTGGCTCTCCCTTCTGCACTTGACGTCCCTGTTGAAACGGCGATATATCAACTATCTATGTCTCAGAGCTATCACGGTCCCGACTGGAGTACACACAGGAGCTGCCGCGGCTCCTTGGAGAGCACTATCCAACCGCCCTTCTCAACCACGACAATCTTCCCATCGATGCAGACTCTTCTCCATCGTTCCAATTCCTCCTGGAAATCGATCCGAAGTGATTCAACCTCCCGGTAGGTAACGGACTCTTCGCGCACATGCTGGCCACCCTGGTACGCCAATGTCATGAGACGCATCGCTTCTTCTGGTGACTGAGGACCGAACCGTAGAAATCGAATCTTTCCACTCAAAGGCACCGAGTCGGGCGAGATCAGGAAATCCTTCTCCAGCCTGGGCACAAGGGTAGCAAGTACATACATGTGCTCGTTCTCTGCGACCGTTTCCGAGCGTAGATCTAGATCGGCGTCATCATCGGAGGCAGTCGTCGTCATGGTAATCTGGCCCCGGAATCGATGGGACTCGGAGCCATCGGATGGATACAGCAGCTCCTTAGCCGCCATCTTGAACCGCTCCGATCCGAATCTACGATAATCGGTTGTATCACTGTCAGCCACCAGGGCCGCGTGGAGACCCCAGCTGGCTACCACGGCTCCATACATGGTGTGATGCGTGGCAGTATCAGATTCGGCGCCAGGCTCAATAGATACCCGTCCCTTCCCTTCGTCGGTCACCATCTGACTCCCAGGGGAAAGCTTTACAGTGAAAGTCGGAAGGGGAATCGGTTGTCCCCGAAGTAACGGCGCAAGGCCAGAGGCTGGACCGGATCGTAAGCCCATGGAGCTAGCCATGGCGTTGCCAGTCCCGCATGGAATCAAAGCAAGAGTGGGGGCTGCCCGAATTGCATCCTTGGACTTGGAAAACACATCCAGAATGTCGATGAGCCCTCCATCGCCAGACAGGAGGATGATCGTCTGGGGCACTCCAGTAGAAGCCCGGCTCAAAAACAGCGATTGAGAGAGCTCGAGGATGCTTTGGGCCGATTGTGTTTCATAAACCCGGTAATCTACACTCAGGTTCCTCAGAAATGGTCGTAGGAGGTCCTGGAAGACGGCCCGGGCTGTTCCAGTGCCGGATCGAGTCGATATCACCACTTGAACGGGCTCTCCACATCGGAGATGGATCGGGATCTCGGCCAGGAATGAAGTCAGAGCCACGGGAATTGACGGTATGTTGATCGTGGCCAGGCGTATAGACGAATCTTCGCCTGTGCCTCCATTTTTGTCCAGGAACAACACACGACAACCTGGCCGACGCTCTGGGTTTGGCACCGCGCAAACGATGTCTTCGAAATTCAATTGGCCTTCAATCCCGGTGCAAGCCCATTTGAGCACCCCTTCTTCCGTCGCCACGATTTCTGCTTGGCGATCCGTGGGTTCAGCTGGCATTTTGCTGACCGGTGTGACCGGGGACTGAAAGTTGGGCGGGTGCATAGGCACATTGGGGCCGAATCCATTGTCTAAGCACTGGACAATTGATAAGCAGTGGGGTTGAGGTGCCCCAGCTGGACGCGGAGAGAACAGTGATGACTTCTCGCACCAGCGCGATTCTTTTATATACCCCACACTCCGGTGCCCAAGGAATTTAGTCAAAAACATATGTTGATTTTCGAGTGCATCTATTTTATTTCGTCAGAACAAGTCGCAGACATATCCTGTACTACATGCCCCACGTTGAGAGTACCCCCCCCCCCACCTTGGGAACCCTAGTGTACAATGATGACACGGGACTGAACAAGAGAAAATAGGAAAAAGCAAGCGGATAAATATACAGCTATTGGTACAAAACGGGCAAAATTGGGTTCGATGATCCCAGTCGAACCATGAAATTTAATCAATAAGGAGTCGTCTATTCAAGTGCCCTGAAGGAGAGGCAATCATGGGCTCTGCTGTTCGTCGGGCTGGGGGGCAAGGTGTTTGTCACTCAAATTGACGGCAATGAATGATTTTGGGAGTTTGACTCTGCACCAATAGTCAGAATGAAGCGCATATGTAACGGATGGAGAATAACTTACGTATCAAACTTGGCCTTCAATGTCTCAATCACCTCTTTCCAGTCTTGATGCGCAGTCAGGCTACGGCGCGGGGCACAACCGATGGCGTGCCGGGAGTCGAGTTGCACATCAAGCGGGTCGAAAGCGTGGCAGCCCGGACTGATGGAAATCCGAATGGAGTAGGAATTGACATCCGACTCGCTATCTCGGGCCTCGTAGAGCTCGAAGCAAATCTGAGAGAGGTAGTCGAGCTCTGGGATGGCGCTGCGAGCAATCTTGGTCTGTATGCCACCCTCCAAAATGCAGTTCATGAGTGTGTAGATGTGAGACTCCTTTGTAAAATAGAAGAAGGATTTTGCATCTTCAGAGGCTTGGACCTCTTCCAGGTCGTGAACAATCTCTTGGAGAAGGGGAAGCGAGGTGAGGAGGCCAATCTCCAATTTTTCGCTGTCCGTGATGCCATATTCCTGAGGCGTCACGTAGTCAAATAACACCTTTGCCAATTTGTACAGCTCTCGAAGTTTAGAGAGACGCTCATCCATCTTGCATTTGCTGGAGTTAGAACCCGGGAAGAGCTTGAAATAATGGTCGTACGATTCGTCGAGTGCACGAAGGTGTGGCAACGACTCCGGCACATGAAGTCGCTTCTTCAGTCCCAGTCGGTGGGCAAATGTCTGATTCTCAGCTCGCTCGTCGGTCTTCTCCATGGAAACGTCGGACCCGAGTTTTCCGTCAGAAGCCGAGTCAGATTTGGCCGAGCCCTTGCCTTTGAGGCTGCATTCATCATCATCCTCGCGATCATTGTCCGGAGGCATGAAAACCCATTCCAAGAATTGGCGGTTATGTAGAGCGTCGAACTTCATGCTATCGTATAACTCGGAAAGCTTACTCGGGTCCACCTTTTCTGTGTCACAGAACTCGGCAAAGAGCTTTTCCCATCGTTCCTTGAAAAGTCGTGGGTCCTCTCCGGCACACCAACGTCCCTGGATGTTGGAGATCTCAAGACTCTCGGATTGCAGATCGACATAGTTGTTTTCATCTGGGTTCTTGGCAAAATTTGGTGCGGTACTGGAGCTATCCGCCAGTTTCTTGAAGTTGTGGCGCATGACACTCCGGTGAAATTTCATCAACTCAACCACTGTGGCCAAGACGACAGATGGCTCGGGTATATTGCTGTCTTTGGGCCATGCAAATTGCGAAGGCGCAGAGCCCTCTCTCAAAAGCAGCTTAAGCTTCTTCTTGACCTTATCCATCTCATCCTTTGCAGCATTTGAGTCATCGAGCAGGTCCTTTCGAACTTGTAAAAACCCTTCGGGAATTTCTTTCTGGTCGAGGAATGAACAAGCCCAGATTTGTGCTGATCCTAGTTGTTAGCGAATGCAGAACGAATATGCAACTTCCGGCGGAAAGTCACTCACCACTCGTGCTCACTCTTCGTTCCGAGCTGGTGAAGAGTCGGACATTATTGAGAGCCTCTTTGTTCATCAACTTCAGGTCATCTCGCATGTTAAGTCCAAGGTCCTGCGACTGATAGCGAGCAGCATGTGTCGGTTCCCCACCCCACTTGATGACAAGTTGTAGTTTATCCAGAATCAAATCATTCTCAACCGCAGAAAATCGAGAGAAGGTCGGACCGGACATAGAGTCACTGCGCGTCTGAGACCTCCGCAGGGCTTCGCTCTCCGAAGTGGCTTCTGCAGCTATCGGAGACATTGGTTCCTGTTCTCCATAACCCGCCTCGCCTAATGGGGCCGTGGGGGTCGCCGTGGAGGAAGAGCTCTGCTCGCGCATTTCTTCGGGTCTTCGCTTCCGGAACATGGGCTTGATCTGGACTTTGGTTCCAGGCCATCCACCCTTCTTCTCCAAGGAAGTACGAAGCAGTTTCAACTTTTCCATATCCTCCAGTCCTTTTTCCATGGCAATCTTGACAGCATCAGAAACACTGGACAATGCTCCGGCCCCCTTGATCACCACCTCCTCCTGATGACCTTTCAGAAGATCGACGAAAGGCTGGCTGTGAAAAGTGAATTTAAACTTTTGTTTCGGAGTACGATCCGCATGCCGTATAACAGCCACCATTCCTTTCAGTTTCCATGAATGCTTAGAGGCAGGAAGAGGTGGTGGAGGAGCTTCTTCGTTGGCATGGTGAAGCGATAGCGCAGGGGATTTTGTGTTGTTGGGACTGTACCCGCGAGAATCAGAGCGGCCATCTCGGGAGGCCAAGTTGTTGATGCTAGCGGCTGTATCAGCGCTCTCGAGGCCGGAGGAAGATGCAAGTGAAGGAGTGGTTGTCGAAACATCGGACAAGGCTGTTTCATGAGCTTTGTGGGAATTCTGAGCACCGTATAGCCTGGATGTGCTGGGCGATTTGAGCAAAGTCTTCAATGCCTGTCGATGAGAGCCTGCTGTACTTCTTCTGGAAGGGCCCATGTCTGGCGATGGGGGCTCTGAAGCTTCCAATGACCCATCGGCCTTGCGCCGCTCGATCATGAAGGTATCGCGAAGGATTTTGGCACACTTGTCATAGTAGTCGTTATTGTCCTTGACAAAACTCCATCCATTTACATCGATGACATAACTTCTGTCGCCCACGCGCAGCATGTCAAAGCCGCAGATCCTCTGCCCAAATCCATTAGAGATTTTGGAAGCGGTCGTGGCTTCTTCCTTGCTCAGTTTGGTGATATATCGAAGCTCTTTGCCATGGGTATTTCGACGAACTAGCCCATCCACCACGGGAGACTTCCGCGTTTCCGCGTGGCAGAAGTCTGGTCCTACAGTGTAGGCCTTGACGTCCTCGGCATTATCCACCCGCAGAAATTGCTCATAGAGATAACTAGTCTCCGTCTCTGTGACTGACCTTGGCACGGAAAGATTGGGATCGTATTCCGAGCTTTTGTTGCCAACTTTGCGGAAGAGCTTGCGTCCTCCACCTCCGTACTGTTGGTCGTTGGGGAAGTAGATGTGAATGTTGTGATCTTCGCCATTCACTGGCTTTTCGACGAAGGGCTTTCGAAAAACCTTTCCATCCACCACCAAAGCTTCTCCGTCCTCGGACATGGACACTTTCTGTGTTCTAGGGGCTCCGCCTCCGGTCCCGTCCTCAGGGCCTTCCAACTTCACGCCCGTCAATCGGTAGATGTGTTGAGCGAGTTCGGAGGATTCCAATACCGGTCCGCCGTCGCGATTCACTTCCAGCCTCTTAGGAGTCGGGACGCCCATCTGGTCCAGAATCATCAGGCACAATCGGCGATCCCATAGCACCTTCTGCATGGGGAGGTCATTGACACAGTATGGTTTCCGCAGTTTAGCGTATGCGATCGCCTTGTCCAGAGGGAACCCATCCGAGAAAAAAGCAATTAGAAAATCGCACACCGGCCAGTTCTCCACGGCCTCGTCCAAGATGACCTTGTCGCCAAAAACTATGACCTCGAATTCGCCTTTGGACTGGAGCCGGGTGAGGATGTTCTGGCTTGGCTTGCTCCGTGCTTTGACATCCAAGGCACAAACTCCGATCCTCCAAGGCCTTGGAGCGGCGGGTTGGTCTATCTCGCTGATAGAGCTGGCTGCGGTACTCGCTGCTGTGCTCCCACTGAATCTCCGCGGTGCACGGCTAGATGAGCGAGTCAAATTTCCGAGCAAAGGAGCAGAGCGCAGATCCTGGGTCGCATCAGGCTTGTGCGGCTTCATGTGGCCGTGACTGGGCTGAGCTTGCGGTTTTATCGATCCATCCACGACTGGTTGGTCTCTCTGATTCAAATCCATGGGTGGGACCGGCGACCGGGAGCTGTCCAATATACCCTTTGACGACTCCTTGCTGCCCAGAGCGCTGCTGTTCTGGTCATTGTCGGCATCCATGTCGGTGAGGCACCTGGAGGGTGGGGAAGGGGGGGCTAGATCACGGCGTGGAGGGGTGAGTAGCGGAGGGGTCGGGGAGGTGAAACGAGCGAAGATTAAAGTCAAGAGTGTTCGCTGTGCGATTGCTCACCAATTACCCTTGTGTGGAGGGCGACCGGGCGAGCAGAAGCATTGGGGAGGAATCGCTGGACGGAGACCGGACTTGTTTCGATTTTCGGTTTCCAGGCGGGATCGCCCATTCCGGCAGGCGCGGGGCGGCTCCTCACAAAAGACAATCTCAAGGGACACCCCGGACTACTAAAAGGGGCGCCCCCTGTCTGTTGAAGTATGGTCTGTAGTCATATTGCTCTCCCGTATCAGTTTCAAAATTCTGGTATGATGGACGCTTGTTGTCGAGGTTGGTTTCTATGATTATTTGGGTCAAAGAACGGGCATATCTTGTTACACATAGTAGTATTCCTCAATATATATCATGAAACAGCAACAGTCAAATCTCGACACCCAATACCACCCTTGGCCCTGGATTTTAGGGCCTACACACTGCCACAATCAGTCTCACAGTTAGCCCGGCAGTTACACTCAATCGACCGTCTACTACTGCAGGTACACTTGTTAGTTCAAGTGGATACTACAATCGGTGTTGCACCATAGACCTACTCATACTCAAATCACCCAGTAAAATAACTAATATGTAGATTCCTTAGTTAAGTGGCACGACTAGTGTAACTAGTATTTTTCTCTTGTACTGCATTAGGATACTAGTAAAATCAGGACGGAAGGCGGTCTGGAGCTCTCCGCCGCGGAGGTCGCGAAGTACGGTAAAAAAAAAAAAAAAAAAAGCAAAGACCTCCCAAGGACAGAAAAGAACCGAGAGATAACACAGTCGCCTCTTCAAATCGCTATTCATCCGAAATGTATGGCCGGCTCTTCAGTTAATATTGCTTGACATATCCATTATTTTTCACCTTGCTGAGGTGGAAGCCCGGCCCGGAGTTTCTCCTTCATTTGGCCTCTCGGATTTTCCCGTCAACCTCCAACTCCCAGCCTTTTCCGCATCCTCGACGCCTTCGAGTCGCAGCAATGCCGTCCATGGCCAATGATCAATTTGACTTTCCTCTTGCAAAGAGGCAAAAGAGAGCACCTGATGCCAAACAGGCGAAGGCTCATGGGGGTTCCAAAATTTTCGCACCGTTTCGGGTATGTCGTCTGCTGAGATGGAGAGTTTAGATCTCCAAGATCTAGACCCTGGCACTTTCACTCGCTCGCTAACTAACCGCGCTTCTAAAGACTCTTGGACTTGTTTCACCGACGCCCGTCCCCTTCACCAGTGTGCGCTTGGGTAAATCGACTTTCCAGATCACCACCTCCGTTGGTCATTCGCTGCAGACGTATGATCTGCGCAAAGGATTGAATCTAACCTTCCTGACGCGCCCGCAAACGCCAGAGATTATCACTGCAACCTATGCGTGGCAGGATAAGGTCTTCGCCGCCTGGGGCCACCTTCGGCCCCGGTCACCGGGTGGCATCTGGGTGTTCAAGCGTGGAAAGCGAGTTGCGACTCTTGACAGCCCTAGTCTTGGTGCACCCATCGAACGATTAATTGTGTTTGGCTCATGGGTTGTGGGCTGCTGGGCAGGAGGGCTCGAGGTGTGGAAGACGGGCACGAACGAACACTATGCCAGCCTCCGTCCTCGGTCAACCCCAGGCACGTCCGAGGATCAAGTCTATGCCAGAATCCTATGCAACATGCCTACATACCTCAACAAGATCTTTGTTGGGCGCAATGATGGCGCGATTGATATTTGGAATCTGCGCAGTGGAAAACTCATCCACACTCTGCCGGCGCCGTCTTCAAACGCCGGTCCAGTCACTGCGCTTCAGCCGACTCCTGCGCTGTCACTCCTGGCCGTCGCCCACAAGGGTGGCGCCTTGTCAATCCAGAATGTCAATTCGGGCCAGTTAATTCTCAGTTTGAGGACTGCATCCGCCCGCATCCCAGCGGTCACATCTATCACATTCCGTAGCGACGGTCTGGGTGCCGGACACGATGGCCGAAAGGCCGGCGTCATGGCAACCGCAGCCAGTGGAAGCGGCGATATTACCATGTGGGATCTTAACGATGGCGGCCGTGTATCTGGCGTGCTTCGGGGTGCTCATCGGGTGTCAAGCAACGAGTCTAGCATGGGCGTTAATCGCGTTGAGTTCCTAGATGGGCAACCCGTCTTGGTGTCAAGTGGAGACGACAATGCCCTCAAGACATGGATCTTTGACGAAACTCCCTTCTCGCCCACCCCTCGGCCCCTCCATTCCCGCGGCGGTCATTCTGATGCAGTCAGCGCTGTCGACTTCCTCCCCGCAGCCTCCGACGGCTCCGAGTCGGGTGGGAAATGGTTGCTTAGCGCGAGTAAAGATTGCAGCCTCTGGGGGCTTAGCCTACGAAAGGATAGCCAGCATTCCGAGCTATCGCAGGGTAATTTGGAGCGCAAGGCCAAGAAACTGGGGCCAACCGAGTCGGGCTCTCCTATGGTGGACACATTGAAAGCGCCAGAGGTTACCTGCATGGCCTGCTCGTTGAACCGAGATGGAGGGATGAGCACGACGACCTTCGGGCCCATATGGTCCAATCCAAAGGGTGGTAGTGCCGATACCACTAGCGTGACCGGGTGGGAAAGCGTCGTCACTGGCCATCGAGGAGATAAATTTGCCCGCACTTGGTTCTGGGGTAGGAAGAAGGCTGGCCGCTGGGCTTTAGTGACGAGTGATGGAACTGAGGTCAAGGTACGTGGATTCCTTTTCGACCAGCCTCGCAGCGCTGTGATCACTGACAGGATGTATGATTGTGGGGGAGCAGAGCGTCGCCATGTCCCAATGCGGAACCTTTGCAGTCGTGGGTTCAGCAGGAGGTTCTATCGATATGTTCAATATGCAATCTGGTCTGCATCGTCAAAGCTTCCCGTCTCGCTCGCCCAAGTCTCGCTCCTCGAGGCTTCACGGTGCAAGTATTTATACACAAGACGCCAAACATACCAAAGCTGTGACTGGTCTGATGGTTGACAATCTCAACCGGACGGTGATCAGTTGCGGGTTGGATGGCAAGGTCAAGGTACAGTTTTCCTTTGATATGGTATATTATAGACTTTTACTGACTTTTTTTGGTTGTCTTATAGTTCTGGGATTTGCTTTCTGGGTCTTTGATCGACGAATTAGACTGGTATCCCATGGCTGCAGTCACTGGCCTTCGCTACAGCAAGGCGAGCGAGCTAGTCGCTTTCAGCTGTGACGACCTCTCGATCCGTGTGGTTGACATCGAGACCAGGAAGCTCGTACGAGAGTTCTGGGGGTGTGTCGGACAAGTAAATGACTTCATCTTTTCCAACGATGGACGATGGATTATTGCGGCGTCGATGGACTCGGTGGTGCGAGTGTGGGATTTGCCTACTGGACACCTCATTGACATATTCCGGGTGTCCAGCACCTGCGTTTCCCTGGCTATGCCCTCTACCGGGGAATTCCTCGCAACTGCACATGCGGGGGGCATCGGCGTCAGTCTCTGGAGTAACCGCAGACTTTTTATGCCCGTGTCTACGAAGAATCTCGATGAAGACGTGATTGAAGATGTGGGTGTGCCCACTACCTCTGGCGAGAGTGGCGCCGGACTGGTTGAAGCAGCGTTTGTAGATGCTCCGGAGCAGGATGAGACGGATGGACCCGTTTCGACTACCGAACAACTGCGCCAGGATATGATGACTCTCAGTCTGGTCCCTCGAAGCAGGTGGCAGGGACTTCTTCACCTGGACGCTATCAAGGTTCGTGTCGAATGCTATGTCCCATCCATGAGATATTGATGATTAACCTCGACTCCAGGAGCGTAATCGGCCAAAGGAGGCCCCCAAGGCCCCAGAGAAAGCACCGTTCTTCCTCCCCTCTCTTCTTGGCAAACTCGATCCTCAGGCAAATAGCACAAAGGGCGCCTCCGAGGCCGCCGAACTTGGCAAGCTTACTGAGAATGCCGACGCAGAACGATCCCGGCTTTCTAAGATGCAATCCGCCGGTACAGGCTCCAATTCTGCCATTACGCAATTCTTGGAGTCGGGTCACCGTTCTGGTGATTTCAATCCTCTCGTCGAGCACCTCAAGTCCCTCTCTCCCGCCCGGGCTGACCTGGAGATCCGATCACTGGATCCTCGCGTGCGGAGCGGCTTCTCAGAACTGGCTAGCTTCATCGATGCTTTGACCGCGCGTCTCAAGCAAAGAAAGGACTTTGAATTGATTAATGCCTGGTTGGCAGTGTTCCTGAAAATCCATGCCGATACAGTGGGGCTGTGTGCTCGCCGGAATGAGCCCGAGTATCGCCTCCTCCAAAAAGCCCTGACTGCCTGGGCCCATGAACAACAGCAGGAAGGGAAGCGCTTGGCTGGTTTGGTTGGCTATTGCCGTGGCGTCGTGGGCTTCCTGCGGTCTGCACGATAGTTGATACTGACATTGGATGGTGCAGTTTGTTCGCTTTTTGTTCTTCGTTCTCTGATTATTCTGGTGAATATATTGGCTGTATATATATATGTGTGTGTGTGTGTTTCACGTGAAATGTCAATATATTTGTGCATATAAAATCAAAACTCCAGGATCATTTCTCGTAGAACACTAACTTGAACACTTGAAATTGATGGGGTTGAACCCTCCTTTCGGTCTGACTAATGAGGCCAACAAGCCAATAAACCTCCGGCTTTTCATTTTATGTTACCCCCTCTTTACCAACCTCTAGCACCCCTGGGTCATGGGCATACCACATCTAACGAGGCATCTCACTCCATATGCAGAAACGGTTTCTCTGGGTCAGAACTCGGAGAATACCGAGCTCTGCTACTTGAATTCTGTGGTGGTTGATGGCCCGAGTTTGGTATACCATGTCTATCATCGCCTGCTGGCCTGTATGGATCCGGCCTGCGAAATCTGGGATGTACAGCCGACATGCAATGAGGTCAGCCGGGGAGTTGTGAGCTTCCTATCGCAGCTGGCTAGTGTCGGTGTGAAAGTGTAAGCACAAACCCGGAGCATGCTAGTTGATGATTTCTGATGTTGGCCCAGAGAAAGAATTTGCTTCGATGGCGCTTTGCCTGTTTCTAAGCGTATAACAAGGCTATCGCGTCTGGAAAAGTCCAGAAGCAAACTTGAGCTATGTCGCCGGCGGCCTGTTACTGCTTCAACGCGTCAGTATCGCAAGGAGTTATCGATCGAGCCAATGCGATTGTGGCAGGGCCGCAGCCTTCCGTCTCGTTGGAAAAACATGCCAGAGAATCCCTTCATGGTGTCTGCAGTGCTTGAAGACCTGTTGCATCGATGGACTCGAAAGCTAGCCCTGGAGGAATTTCCGCGCGATGCCACTCTACTCCCCGACACTGAGTATCCCTGGGCTGATATTACGGTGATAGTTCCGGGGGAGGCAGATGTTGAATGTGCTCGTATCGCAAGGGCTACAGGCTCAGCAATCCTAACGAGCGATTCTGACCTGTTACTTTATGACCTCGGATCAGGTGGCTCCGTCGTCTTTCTCAATTCGATGCAGATGATCGACAATGCAGAGAATTCGGCTCGGCGTGAACTGCATGCACAAAGGATTCATCCTTGCGGCCTGTCACACCGGCTCGGGATTCGGAACATCCAATTGTTTGCTTATGAGTTGAAAAGACATCCCCAGATTCAGTTCAATGAACTTCTGCGCCGATCAAAAGCCGAAAATGATACCAAAGATCATTCTGTCGAGTATTACGATTTCCTGCGGGAATATCAACATGAACCAGATCATCATTCTGCTACAAACGAACAAATATCTGTTCGGCATCTAGATCCCAGAGTGTCAGAGTTGTTCTGGCAATTTGAATCGCCAGGCGCCTACTGCGTGATGGATCAACCGCACGTTTATCTTGGAATACTTAACGAGGACCATTCCCGTCGGTGTGCCTGGGAACAAGGCCGGATCTATAGATCTCTTGGCTATAGTATCCATAATATCGGCCGCCCGATGTTACAGCGATTTTCAATCGTCCATGAATTTGTTCGCAGGGGAGGCAGGATTGTTGCTGAACCAGTCACCCTTGCCGGTGAGAAAACGGTGGTCTCTGACCTCGTGTCTCTTCAAGAACGGCTAGATGTGGCTCGCGATTTGTTTGACTGCGAGTCAATGCCAAGATTCTGGTTTCTGTTTGCTCTAGCAGAAATCTACCGAGACCCGTCAAATGCAACTACTGTCCCGAATGCCAAACAGCTGGAGTGCTTTCTGGGAAACGGGTTCATGGGCAAAGGCACTGAATGGGCCGAGATCCACCTTGTTGCCCAGGTACAGGCTGTTCTGTATTCACTCCGTATGCTAAAGCAACTCCTCCATAAAAACGCCGACAGTGACGAGTTCGGGCAATATCGGTGTTTATTGGTGGACTTACCTCCTTTGTATATTCTCATGAGATCACGGCATGGTATTGCGCAGGATTTCTCTGAGAAAGAATCACGCCGCCGAGCAGTGCATCAGATGGTCAGACACTATGGATAATAAGGACTCGCGTATCACCCATTACGGCAACGTTAAGCTATCTGGTCGGGTAATCACTATTCATCATCAGGAAATTTCCATGTTTTTGGGATGGGAACCCCGTGTTTGGGCTGTGAGAAATATCATTTTGTATCACTAGCTGACTAAAATATAATTTGATTATGTACAAATACGGAGTTGGTGCCAATCGATAATCCTTACCAGGCGTTTGATCCGATGCCACGGTACCTCCTTAAGAGGTGCACGTGTAGGTGGCTACCATGGTCCTCATATGGCCGTGGAGCTTATTCTTGACACAGCTAAGATCCTTCGCAGAGGATCGGAGGGGGGCAGCGCGATATGAGTTGAATATCCGGCGGCCAGAACCACATATTGGAGCACAAGGAGATAGGGCACCATCAATTCAATATGGGAGTCTGCGCCAGCCCATAAGTGCGCAAAGTGCCTAAGTCCAAGATTTCCAACCAGGGCATTTCCAAAGCCCCTATATGCTGACGCCCCGGAAGATCGGGGTGATCGGGGTGATCCGAGTTGTGCAAAGGGGCGGGGTCGCAATTAATAGAACAGGAGAACCTGATCACTTTTCGGGGGCATCGGGGAGACGTTCAATCACGTATTTGCCTCGCGCCACACTCATAATCGGGGCACCGGGAATTTTACTATTTGAAAAGTCAGCTGGATGCGGGTTTGGGGAGGTGGGAAAGCGAGCAACCTACCGAATCCGTCGCTTAAGGTCACGATCATTCGTCGCAACAATATACACACGGTGCTTGATAATCCGATCAACGAGACAATCATCGGCATAGGTTCCTTTGTGGTCGCATTTGATTCTCTCGAACCGAGGATCTTTCGCAACGCGAAGGGCCAACCGGTATTTCTGGCCAAGTTTCTCCAATTCAGCAATCACGCAGTCAGTGATGACGGGTGTGCATTTGGCATAGAGGCAGTCCATCATGGTGGGAATGATTTCCAATTTGTGCTGAATGGTATGAGAAATGAAGTTGGTGTCGACCAGTACAGAGTATGGAGGTGTCAAGGCGGTGTTGTACTGGAAGAAAAGGGACGACGGAACCTGGGGCCTATAGGTGTCACATCAGCAGCAGATTCAGAAGATCGGGGGAAGGCGGAACGAACGCTTCGCGAACAAGGTCATCTTTGCCGGTTCTGCGCTTATCCTCCTCCTTCTTTGCATTCTCCTTCCTGTGGCCTTAGTCAGTGGTGGATGAAAATGAACAGGGTCAAATAACGACATACAAGCGATTGTCACGGAGCGAGATTGCCCTCTTTGCTTGTGCAAACTTTCGAGATTTCTTTTGAACTCCCATCGTGATGTCGAGGGAGTAAAGGTGGGAGGCTGAAGTAATATATCCAGATGTCCTGTCGTTGCTGTGGGAAGATTTTTGTTGGCTTATCGGTGCTATCATATTGCTGAGTCATTCTTGCCAAGCATTATTCGAGTCCCTTCACTCCAGGTTCTCAGCTCCGCTACTCCGGGTGGGAAATGTTACGCGTTGCTATCTGGTCACAGTGAGTGGTCAAACGTTGGTCAACAACTTACCAGTTGTAAATCGGTACATAACGATATGTGCCAGTGTAGCCAGAAATGGCCCTCTGAACACCACTCGATCAATCCTTTAACTTCTGACTCGCAACCGTACCGTTGCTATGCTAAGTCTGACACGGACTCGGGTCCTGTTGAGCAACTTCGAAGGATGTGCCAGGTAGAGCGCCAAGTAGGTCAGTCCGAAGAGCTCCCCTACTTGTAGGATGTTTGGCTTGGTCGAACAGTGAAGATAGAATCAATGGTATATCCAAGTAACAATGTGCAATTGATCGCGAGGAACTAAATACATCTGCGTAAAGGAGTGTCCTTATATATCTAGTCCTTCCTATTTCCCGCTAGGATCGGGTCCTATTCCTCAGTGTGCTCCGATCCAATTTTCTGATAGGATATCCCATCCTACGATAGTCTGAGCTGTCACGTGTCCTGCACCCCTGGGAATCGGATTCTATATCCTGAGCACGTGACCTTTGTAATTACGCGCTGTTCCAGAATTATTCAGATGAATTTTGCATCAGGAAAAAGCATTGTAAGCATTCTATTATACAATATATGCTACATGTTTGTAGTTTCATATTCATCAAGCAACCTTGAACGCTTACGAACTCTACCAGATACACGATGCTGGGTGTCTGGAAGATCAACTTCCTCGCCATAATCATTTACATCATTCTCAACCGCAGCCTCTTGCTCTCGGTCTTCACCAATACTTCTCTGTGGCCTCTTGCCCAGTGCCTTTGCAGACAGGACAGGGGGCCCTGCTATCCTGAGTAGATTCCTCAGCCTGAGCTTGTGTAGATCTCTCGTCACTCTCTTCATTATCACTGATGAGATAATATGAAGGCGGCTGTGAAGCTTTATCTTCATGTGCTGCCTCGATCTCTTGAACAGAGAGATATTCAGAGAGTATCTTTTTTTCTGCTTCCTGAACCTCAAATCGAGATACACACAAATGTATCATAAGGTCTTGTATAGTATCAGGTTTTAGAGAGCCTCGGTGATAATGGCAAATACCTCTTGCTGAGTTGAAAAGTCGCTCTACTCCAGCACCGCTTGCTGGAATAGAGAGAACATCTCGTGCAAGTCGTGTCATCACAGGAAATTCATATTCATTCTCTTTCCACCAGATACGAGGATTGGTATTAGGGACAGTTGCTATATTTGAAAGTTAGCACGGACTAGAATCCAGATAGATAGACTTACCACTGTTGAGGTATCTTGTAATCTCATCAGGCTTTTGTGCCTGGAAGAGCTGTGACTGTTGTGAATCATCCAGTGCACATGGTAATTCAAGCTCAGTGAGATTGCGAGTCTTCAAAGGCTGATGTATAGACATATTTTCCTCAATCCCAGACTCAGAGTACAATTGAACCTAGCCCTCAATGCTCTCGCGATATTTCTCTCTGTAGTTAGAATCAGGGTCATCTGGATCTGGATCTAAGTCCGATGATGAAAAGAATTGCATCTTGTCTGGCGGAGAAAGGATGGTGCCAATTGCATAGAGATAGCCATCAATTCTATCAGTGTCCTTGTAGTAATCTGAAAGTTTTTTCATTGCCATCTCAAGAGATCGAAGCATGACCTTTTTCCAGGGGACCTTCTTGCGCTGGAGTTTAGCAATTGCTTTTTCAAGGTATTCAAGGAGCTTATTGTATATCTTGAATACAATATGAACTGTGATACCCTTTGTTCGTGAGAGGAGCTTTGTGAATTTGTGAAAAGATCGAAGAATAAAGAGCAGATAATCAATCTGTCGCCATTGCTCAGGACTTAGAGCAAAATGCTCTTGATCATAGTGTTCACAGAATTCATTAAAGGCTTTCTGTAACTTCTTTGCACGTGCAAGCATGAAAAGGGGTTGAGTTCCATCGGATAGCGATGTCCTGAATTGGAACAAGCTTTGGCTCTTCATTTTGAAAATTTCCAAATGCTTCACGACGCTGAGCAATTGCATTAATATACACAGCAAGATTTCGAACCTAGTCAATAGACAAGTGGAAGTACTAGATAGGGTGTCCACGGTATCTCTCTTTTGTCGTGCTCGAAGTGTGTTCACCCGATCACCAGACCATTCCTGTTCAGCTAATCATTCTTTGGAATAGCCTTCATATTCCCAAGAAGATGTTTGAGGCTCAGCTGTATCACTTGTACCATACAGGGAACACGAATGACAGTAGCTTTATACTCTGATTCAAGTGTGTTAAGCGCTTCCTGGAAGCTAGTGATCAAAGTCTTGTTGTTAGATGCATTATCGGTTGTTACTGAAAGCACCCGATCTTCAATCTCATGCTCTTGCAGTAGTTTGAATAGCACCTGACTGAGACTTACACCTGTATGTGATCCTCGAATTGGCTTAAATCCAAGTAATGCCTCTCCGTATTGCCACTCTTAAACAAGAAAGTAGCCAGTAACAGCCATGGATGATTGTTTAAATGGTGATGTCCAGCAGTCCAGTGCAGTTGATAGCTTAGCACTAGAGGGAAGTGTTTGTAGAATATTTTTCTGCTTTCCATGATCAATCTCTTGAAGCTGCCGTCGCATAACTTTTGCAGAGGGGATTTCCGGTATTGTAGAGGCAAGTTGAGGAAAGGAGATTGCATCATGAAACCCAGAGTGTTCAAGAAAGAGAAATGGTAGATGTGAAACTGCAAGCAATGTAGCAAGCTTTTCCTGCCAAATATGCTGCTGATATCGAATCGGTGGTGATTGTTGTGCCTAGAATAAAGGTTAATTGAAGAACATACAGCATGCTCCATTGCAGCCTTAATAATCGGTCTTCTCCCTCCTGCCTTAGCAGGTTTCTGACATCCAGGCCCTCCTGGATGCTTAGCCATTGATGGATTTCCTCCATTAGCCCATGCATGATGAGCAAGAACCCTCCGACATTGCTTACCTTCCGACATTGCTTGCACATTGTCCCAGGCTTCCCATCTCTCTCTCATGCAACTTGGTCAAAGCTATTCCAGCAATTTGCTTCCCGTCTTGCATCCCATTGAACTTTTTTGGTTTTCCCACAATCAGTTCATATCCACCACTTCATGAATTCACCATCCATAGCTGTATCATAAAGAATATATGAATTGATCCGGTCAGGTTTGACACGAGTAAGGCATCCAGGGGCAATTGGTGGATTCAAGGAGGTCTGAAGATTTCGTTGGCTTCCGGAAGGGATAGGAGAGAGGAGCTGCGTTGATAGATTATCAGCAAGGGGTTCCAGATAGTCTGAGAGAGCTCCATCATAAAGAGATGAAGCAAATGTATCAGAAAACTGTGACATGATCACGATGTGGAACGCATGAAGGATGAAGGAGAGACTGAAGTAAAGGGAGAGAGAGACCATAGAACACTCACTTTTCCTCACAGGCGCTTTCAAAATTCAGGGGGCTCTACCTTGTATCTAATTTCCAGGTTCAGAGGGGAAGAGTTGATAGATCATCTACTATACTCCACCTTCATGTAGAACTTGGATCATAATGATTGGTCAATTGAATGGCTAATCGGAGGTTCTAGAGGTTCAGTCTATTTTCAGCTGAAATTACTAACTAGCCTATTTGAGCTGAAATGCAAAACCCGACGGTGCAAATTCAACTTCTCAAGGCCTTTAGACAGCCATGTAGGGAAAGATTCATTTCTAATTAATACTAAATTGTAAAGCAAGTCCGGAATTACTATATGCTTCAATTTCTTATGTTTCGTATGTTAGGAATATTCTGTTGGAGTAGTGTATTTTGACCAAATTGAGGTGTAGATATATGTCAGGTCAAAATAAATTTCTGTTCTGATACGGTCAAATCCTACAAACTGACAGACAGGCATTATACAAACCACTTTTAGTTAATTGAATGAGTAGCATTCTAATACAAATTAGTCAACTGCACAATAACATATAGAGCAGACATTCAAAATATTACCTTGAGGGATAGGTTGAAACCTGAATATATTGTTCCGCATACAGAACATGTATAAGAGAAAGTAACGTAATCCACGGTCGAGCTGACAACTTTGCCCGACTCGACTTTTCCAATTGGAGGCCTTCCAACCAAAACGCATAAATTTGTTTAAATATAGCGATTTTTACATGAATTAATCCTGTGGCCAATTTCCCTGCATCTACTACACCTTGGCAGAGCCATCATGGCTGGCTGATCCGGCTGGATAGGCAGATCGTTCTGCGCATGCGACACTGCCTTCACCTTCTACTTGCAGATTTTGCTGCTGAGCCAGCTGTAAGCCCTCTTTAACTGTTAGGCCCCCTTTATGTGCTATCTGCCGATTAGATCGAGTGCGTTTCTTCCCATTCACTGCGCGTAGATTGGCGATTTGCTGCGCTAGTAGTGCTGTGTCATGTAGCGATTGATAGTGGCCTTTGATAATCCGATCTAGTATGATTTTTGACGGTGTCGGAGGGCTATTTGACCATTGCTTTAGTAGTTCCTTAAGTATCGAAGCTTGCTTATTTAGTTGAACGGCAGTTTTAGGCGTTTTTGGTGTTAATTGGCTGGATCTGCTGCTTGGCCGGCTACTCGGTGGTGTTGGCCTTCGAAGTGAAATGCTGAGTTTTGAAAGCACCCGTTCTGGGTCAATTGGAACAAGACCAGTAGCAGCGAAGCTACTTTGAATAATGTGTGGTTGAAAGGCCTCCACATGCGCCCGAGGGTAATCTGCGAGTTTATCGATATGGTTGTATCCAACGCGTGCTAGATCGCTCACGAAGCGGCCGTACGCGCGGTTAAGCACAGCAAAACATCCAACATCAAGCGGTTG